GAGGAAAAAGAAAGCAGTTGGATAAATGAAGCCAGTGGTTTTGAATAGACCTGTGAAGGAGAGATGGAAAAAGGCTACAAAATCTGTGTTGGGAGGCTGCAACAGGAAACTTGCTGGCATATTGATATTTAAATAGGACATGGCTAATCCACAAAGGTTTAATTTGGTTGTCAAATTCACAATGCATAAGAACATCAGAGGAGAAAGAAGCTGTGGAAAGGAGAGTGGGTAGGCTGCCAAAAAGGAAATGGCATACAGAACAAGTAACAATAAAAGCAGGATGCAGATTGCAATGGGTTATTAATAGTGCACCCAGGGATGCACTATTCAAAAACGCACCCCTAAAAATATCTCAGTAGCCCTAGAGGTATTTGTTCCAATATGGAAAAGCAGACAAATACCCTATCACTGTTGTTTTGAATTGCACATTAAAGTGGGCACAGAAATGCAAACAAGTGGCAATTCTATTATGTAAGGTGCTAATGCGGAATTTAACAAATGTGAAACATTTTATCTCGTGGGTTGCATTTTTGACTACGCAAATTAAATAATTTGCATAGTGTTCAAATGATCAAATTCTGCTGAAAAAAAACCTCTCTGCAAGTAAGCCTCACAGGTTAAGAAAAGCTTTCTCCCCAACACGTTGGTTTTTCACTTCACAGGCACTGCAACTCCGTAAAGCTTTTAATGAAACACCTCTGCCCTCTGTATTCTGCACCGGGACTATTTTATGAGGAGACTCTGCCACTTCAAAAGCTGCTTATTTGAACCAGATCCTATTTTCATTCTATTAATATACATTTTTTGCCTTAATCTCGAGAGACATTGCCCCAGGGTCTGTGTCCTCAATTTGCTATTCTGGCGTGGCAAGTTCAAACAGAGTGCATTAGAGATCTCTGTGGAAATGTCTAAATGCACATTTGCATCAGTCTACAACTGGCGCACGTACGTGACAACAGGAACCGAACAGGCAGTAAAGATGCTGAAATCCGCAGCCGTGCAAACAGGATCGCAACAACAGTTTACGTCACATTGATTCTCCAGCAGGTCACAGACGCAGAGCTCAGTCACTGAAAGACAGATTTGACAAAAATGGTAGTGAACAGTTCAGTAATAACATAACCTTGAATGCCATCAGCATTGACAAATCTCATCAATCAATTGCAAAAGGCAAATTGATTTGGTGGAATAGCTGACAACCTGCGATGATATCTTAAACACCATTAAAAAAAAAACCCATCTGCATAGGTAGATAAAATGTCGAATTCAGACTGAACATGTGGCTGACTGTGCAATGAACCATATAGTTTATTAAATATGCATGTCCTCCCCCACTGCCAGAAACAGTAAAAATTATTTTGCATGAACTATTTCAATTCAGAGCAATTGAACCAAAAAAAAAAAAAAAATTCAGCTCAAGGGTTCTTTTCTTATAACCATGGGATTTACCAAGGAGAAAAACGATGAAAATAAGGGCCTTAAGATGCTCTGGAAGAGCTCCAGATGTCGATGACTGACAACTAAGTTTTTTTTTTCTTTTTAAGAAAAATTATATTATTATACTTCCATCGTTTTTGTTTTTATTCCTTTGCTATTGTTATCTTTACACTTTGTTTTTAAATCATTTTTCCGTTTTATTGTTATAAGCCGCCTAGCGTAGCCCCATGGCAAATAAATTTAAGAAATAAATAGAATAAACAAACTCCCAGATTCCTCTGGTTTGCTTCCTATAGCCCAGGATGCTGGGAACTGTAGTCCCGCCTGCCGCAGCCAGACCACCCCCGCTCTTCCCGCCAGCTTTTTTCCGCCTTTCCGCTGGAAGCGCCCGACCGGCGTGACTGCTCCTGTCCATGGAGGCTCCATCAGTCCCACAGGAGACCCACCCTCGGTGACGGGCGCCGGCCACGGGCCGACGTGAGACGGCGTTTGGGGAGACGTGCGACGCGGGCTGGATGCCTCGACGGGGCCCGCCGTCGACATCGCCTGGCTGAGGGGCGAAAGAGGAGGAGGGGGCTCTGATGTCGACCCCGCCGCGGTGGCTCCGCCCGGACTGGTGGCCGGCTTCGAAGGGGCTTCGCTCGTCGGCCCCGCCGTGGACGGGCAAACCCCTGGTAGCAGCAGGAAGAGAAAGAGAACGGCCCGCCTCGGGAGAAGCGGCGACGCCGGCCCGTCCGGTCGCCTCATCCCGCTTGCTAGGCCGCAGCGGCCTAGGCCTCAGTTGGACGCCCGGGGCTGGTAACCATGGAGACGCGCAAGGTACGCCGGGAGCCTTCGGAGCTCTAGGCGGCGATGGGCGGATCAACTGCGCTCGAAGCATGTCGGGAACGCGTTGCTAGGGAACGGCTTAACGTTGTAGCCCCTCCCTCCAGTAGCAATTTTTTTCCCCCTTGTTAGGAATTCTGGGACTTGTAGTCTCACCAGGTTTTGCTCCACTTCCCACAGCAGAGGTCTTCAAACTTGGCCGCTTTAAGACTTGTGGACTTCAACTCCCAGAATTCCCCAGCCAGCATGAGGCTTAAAGTTATGATACTTATAAAGGAGAACGGTTGTAGCTCAAGGTTGAAATAAGTCGATGCACTGATGATGTTACCTAGGTTGGTAATGAAATGTCTGCAAGAAAATAACAAAGTTCAGAGAGCACCAAGGACCCCCACAGTTCTCCTCTTCCTCCCTGCAAACCCCATTCTTTTAGCACTGATGATGTTACCCAGTTTGGTAATGAAAAGTTTGCAATAAAACAACCAAACTCAGAGCGCTCGGGACCTCTTAAAGTTGTGTTTTTGGAAAGTTTAATTAGCATCTGAGTGACTGGACTTGAAGGGCATCTACTCTCTCTAAATAGCTCCCATCCTAATGAGGTTCAGAAAATTGCTAAAAACATAGCTATACTCCTATGTTTTGGGATACAGCAGTGTTGAGATGTCATTGGTCATGGATTGTTTTGGCTGGATGTCTGACTTTCTTGATTGTTCTTGCTTTTAAAACTGTAAGCCATCCACAATCTTGTGCAGCCAGGGGCTTCTACCTTGTAAAATTAAATTAAATGTTCATCTGGTTATTAAATGAAAAATTCCCTTTGTCTATCAAGGTCCCAAGAGGGAGCGTTTTTAATACGCCTCTGTAGCTTCACCATTTCAACTGCAGAGGGAGTCCGGTACCAGAAGTTATTTTGACAGTCCTAAGGAAGCTAGAAAAATACCAGCTGCACAGGAACAAAAGGAAGGGAAAAAAGTTTCAGCTCATGTGCAAATGTCAAATTTTCCACCGCTGTCAAGTTTGCCACCAGTATGCGCTGATGACTCATTCCTTACCCAAGCAAGAATAGATGTATAATGAACCTCAAACTTCTCATTTGAAAAACATTTTTTTGACCTTGCATCTATCTTTGGCATTAAGAAACGACTTTTGCACATTTTACAGTACACTTAACTGCTTGTGTTTGGTCAAGTTTGAGACTCCCACCCACTTCCCTCATGTGCACTGCTTGTCCTGTCATGAGCCTAATGACTAACAAGCTCAGTATGTGGTTATGTAAATCGGCCTCAAACTTTCCAAAATTTCTCAAAATGAATGTGAAGCAACTCATATGCACCTCATATTATTAGAAATAACAGATTCCCCGTGGAGCAGACTGTTCTTAATCAAGAATCTTCCATTCTTAGTTCAGCCAAATATCTTCACCACTCCTCCCAGGTTTTCAGATGTTCTTGTTGGGAGACAAAATCACAAACTCTTTGATTTGAAATTAAAATGTAGATGAAAGGACTGCTGATGGCTATCATAGCCGTATAAAAACCTTCACATCCAGAAGTATATTTCCTCATAGAAGATGCTGGAGCAATGTTTCTAAACCCCAGCAGGTTCTGGATCTGTGGACTTCATCTCCCAGAATTCCCCACTCCCCATGGAGCCTGGGAAATTCTGGGAAGTACACATCTTATAGCTACACTTTTTCTAGAGTGTAGCCGAAAAAGAAGGCTGTTGTGCTTGTGGGTTTATCAGGAATGTGCGCTGAGGAATAATGGAATTGTAGTGCCAAAACTATCTGGAGAGATTTGATTTATGCAATTACAACTTTAATTCATGTCATTCCAAATTGCTTGGATCCTTGGGAGGTGGCAGGTGGGAGATTTATAAGCTGATGTAATCAAACAAATAAGACTGTCCATTGCTAAATACAGTGTTATACCTCAGCAACATAAATTCTGGGCTCAATCATGGCTGTAATTCGAGGACATGTATACAAAGAGTAATTTACTCCCTTGTCAAAAAAATTGGCCTGAAATGTCCTCAGATCCTCCCAAATTTGTCCCCCCACCTCCCAAAAAGGAGCAAAGTGCATGTCTTTGGTGACGCTGCAAGAAGACGATCCTCCCTATTCAAAGTCCACATTGCGGGTTGGAAAACAACATTTTGCTTTGCAAGGAATGTCGCATGTCAGAGCTGCACCGGGCTTTAAAAAAAACACACACAAATTTGATCGTAAAAAGGCCCACAGCCCTTAGTGCAGCGTGGTCCACAAGAGATTTGAAGCAGGCCAGGCTTGCCTTTGATTCAGGGTTTAAGCAAGAGGAAAAGGTGGTTGAAGCTGGTACAACAAGGTTTCCCAGTTTCAACAACTGTTAAGATGTGCGGACTTCAACTCAATGGGTGCTGGAGAATTCTGAGAGTTGAAGTCCACACGTCTTAAAGAGTTGCCAAGGTTGGTCAATCCTGCTCTCTAAACCAGGGGTCTCCAACTTTGGCAACTTTAAGACTTGTGGACTTCAACTCCCACAGGGCAGGGGTCTCTCGGGCAGGGGTCTCCAACCTTGGCAACTTTAAGACTTGTGGACTTCAACTCCCACAGGACAGAAGTCTCTCGGGCAGGGGTCTCCAACCTTGGAGGTTGGAGTTCTAGGGCAGGGGTCTCCAACCTTGGCAACTTTAAGGCTTGTCACAAGTCTTAAAGTTGCCAAGGTTGGAGACCCCTGCTCTAAGCTACAATTAAAAAGCAGGTGAAGAAGAAACCGTTTATTTCGGATTGGTAACAGTAAACTCCTAGATTCTCTGTACTTAGAAAAAGCTGGAGTGAAAATTGTGCTTATTCTTTTTTTTAATGGTTTGCAAATGAAGAACCAGAGGGCGTTTTCAACCAGCCTTTCTCCATGGTAGGAGAAAGAATCCATTTGATGCAAGCCTGGCAATTAGAGGAGCAGCTATTCAGGCTGAAGAAGAATGCTGAGATGGGAGCTGATTAAAACACTCTACGGGGGTTAGGAAAAGGGCGAGGCGGGATTCCAACTTTGCTTCCGCGTCCTCCAGCTTGAAAATGACATGCCAAGGACAAGGAAGGCCACACCTGAATGGAAACAGAACAAGGGTGGTGAAATCTTTCCTTGGCTAAGATCTGATCGACTTCCAGATGCTACTTTTCAAAACTGGGAGGAGAAGGAGGAGGAAAGGGGGAGGTTGGCACTTCAGCTCTCCCGATTGCAAAATTGCACTCCTGAGTTGTCCATCCTGCCAAAAGAGATCTGGGCACCCCTCAGCCTCCATTCAGCCTCTGACTGCTCTTATCTTTTTGAAAAATGTGTACTGCTCTGGTAGCTTTCCTGAGCCAATGAAACCACTATCCCGTCTTCCTAAATTTGCAAAGTCGCCCAATTTTCGGGTGCCTCTGAGAATTCCTCCTCCCCCTCCTAAATCAAGGCAAACCATGTGTCATTTTTCCATTTACTCATCCTGTTTGTTCCGTCTGTCCAGATCTTCTTGTACTTGGTCCCTGACAGATCTCGCCATGCTTATGTTTATGTCTGTGAAGGTAATTTAGCAATGCCCGATGAAAAATTTAATACATTGGCACATCTACCCTGCATCAAAGTTCCCCTCTATCTCATTCTCTCCCCGCCCCCCAGCGATCATGCAAAAAGACACACACATTGCAATAAACCAGAGTTTCCTGAACAAGACAACCTAACAACTGGGATTTCTACATTCTGCCAAGCCACAACCAAGAAACCAGTTTATCCATTTAGTTCTCTAGCATCTTGGTCGCAAGAACCTGATGCAATTATACTTCTGGAATTCTTCCAGTTTGTTTCTCGCCGGCAAAAGCCATATAAGAAAACCCATAGGAGCCCTTCCTTGATTTTTCAAGCATCCTTAAAAAACTATATATAGGGGGAAATATACAGATTGAAATGCCATTTTTTAATTAATGCGGCGTCTTTTAAACCAGAGATTAAGAGGGAGAGAAATGCAGGCATGGTAGAGAAGGCAGCTTTCAAGCGTTACCTGAGGAAAGGTAACTGAATCTAGCGGGATTGCTTTTTGAGCAAGAAATCAGCAAGACAGAGTTTCCCTCCTTCTTGCTTTTCCTTTTGAAGGCTTGAATAGAATAGAATAGAATAGAATAGAATAGAATAGAATAGAATAGAATAGAATAGAATAATAAGGAATAGAATAGAATAGAATTGAATAGAATATTTCTGCAATGGTGGGAGGAGTCCTCCCCTTCAGGGACAACCTCTTGTGCAGGATGTCTAAATCTCAGCAACATACACACACAAACACACACATACTTAAACTCCCAGAATTCCCCAGCTAGCATTGCTGGCTAGGGAATTCTGGGAGTTGAAGTCCATATATATCTTAAAGTTGCAGAGACTGAGAAACTGGTCTTGCAACTGCAGGAGAGCCAGGATAACTCTGATTATTGGGGGGGGGTTGTTTCCCACCCTCGACCCCCAAATCTCGCAGCCAGACCAATTCCCTGCCCATTTGCATAGGCAATTACGGAGAAGACGTCATAATTGGAAACCCCCCCCCCCCGGGGGTAAAACCTCTCCCGGTGCCTCTTTCGACCCGTCGCCCCGCTTTCGCTTTTGCTTCCCGCTTTGCAGAGGAGAAGGTGACCCGCTCCCGGTCTGCGCACGTGCTCCAAAAGTTAGGAAGAAACACCACTTCCCGGCAGGACTTGCGCCGGCCGAAGACGGGAGAAGCCGGCCATCCCTCGGCCCCGCGGCATGCCGGGACGGGTAGTCCGAAAGGCGAATGGTAGCCCTGGAGAGTGACACCCGAGCAGGGCGAATCGTCACCGGGGCAAGGGCGGGGTATGTAAATCCCGAAGGCCGCGCCGCCAATGAGGGCCGCGCGGGGCGGCGTCCTCGGGAGCCCGGATGCTGAGGAGCTCAGACCGACTCCGGGCCGGCGCGGAGGCGGAGCTGACCTCGCTCGTCTCTCCTTTCCCCTGAGGAGCCGGTGGCGGCGGCGGCGGCGGCGAGGCGGGCGATGGCGGCGGCCCTGAGCGCCTGAGGGAGGGCGGCCCCGGCTAACGAGAGAGCGAGCGGCAGAGGCCTCCCCCTCCCCCCTCAGAGAGCGGCGCCTTCGCCTCAGGGGGCTCGCGGGCCCCTCCCCCACTCTGGCGGGGGGGCAGGGTCGCCCCCCGGGCCTGGGCCGCGGAGGAGGGGGCTGCCCGCCGGAGGAGGAGGAGGGGGCGCCCCGCGGGAGCGCCATGGGGGCCTCGGCCCGGCCCTGAGCAGGCGCAGACCCCCCCCCCCCCCCCCCCCCCCCCCCCTCGCAGACGCCCCCCCCCCCCCCCCCCCCCCACCCCCCGCATGTTCTCGGTGCTCTCCTACGGGCGGCTGGTGGCCCGCGCCGTCCTGGGCGGCCTCTCGCAGACCGACTCCCGCGACTACAGCCTGGTGACGGCCAGCTGCGGCTTCGGCAAGGACTTCCGCAAGGGCATCCTGAAGAAGGGCATGTGCTACGGCGACGACGCCTGCTTCGTGGCCCGGCACCGCACGGCCGATGTGCTGGGTGAGCCCAAGCGGGGAGCTGGGAGGGCGGCGGCTGCCCCTCCTCCTCCTCCTCTCGCCTGCTTTCCTCCCTTTCCCTCTTTTCCTCCCTCCCTTCTCTTCCCTTCCTTCCTTCTTTCCCGCCCTCCTTCTGCTTCTTTCATTCCTTCTCTCCCTCTCTCTCACTCTTTTCCTCCTTTCTCTTCCCTTCCTTCTTTCCCTCCCTCTGCTTCCCTCTCTCCCTCCCTCCCTCTCCTCTTGCCCTCCCTCCCTCCCTCCATTCTCCCTCTCCTCTTTTCCTTCCTTCCTCCTCTTCCCTTCCTTTCCTTTTCCTCCTCCCTCCCTTCATTGCATTCCCCCTCCCCTTTCACTCTTTTCCTTCCTCCCTTTCTCTTTTTCCTCCCTTCCTCTCCTTCCCTCTGCCTTCCTCTATCCCATTCCTCCTTCCCTCCCTCTGCTTCCTTCTCTCCCTCCCTCCCTCTCCTCTTGCCCTCCCTCCCTCCCTCCATTCACTTCCCCTCTTTTCCTTCCTTCCTCCTCTTCCCTTCCTTTCCTCCTTTCATCTCATCCCTCCCTTCATTACATTTCCCCCTCCCCTTTCACTCTTTTCCTCCCTCCCTTTCTCCTTTTCCTTCCCTCTGCCCTCCTTTATCCATTCTTCCTTCTCTCCTCTCCTTCCTTCCTTCCCCTCTCCTTCCCTCCATCCCTCCCTGGGCTTCTTTCTCTCCCTCCCTCCCTCTCCTCTTGTCCTTTCTCCCTCTCTCCATTCACTTCCCCTCTTTTCCTTTCTTCCTTCCTCCTCTTCCCTTCCTTTTCCTCCTTCCCTCCTTTCATCCCATCCCTCCCTTTCTCTTTTTCCTTCCTCCCTCTCCTTCCCTCTGCCTTCCTTTACCCCATTCCTTCTTCCCTCCATCCCTCCCTGTGCTCCCTTCCTTCCTTCCTCCCATTCCTCCTCTCCTTCCTCCCTGCTTGCACCAACTCCCAGCTTGGGAAAGAGCAGCCCCAGGTAGCAGTTGCTGGGCCACCTGGATTGCATATCTAGAGGCGCTGGGAAGAACCAGCTAATTGCCGATTAAGCCTGCTGCTGCTGCTCCTCCTGCTGCCTCACTTACCACCGAAGCTCATCCGGATGCCCAGCCCAGCCGTAGCATCCTAAACCCCCGGCTGGCAGCCTCCGAGCTAAGCCTGGCAATCCCCGCTTGCTTTGCTCCTTGGCAGAGCGCTGAAGAGGTCACCGGCAGGGCCAAAATGGCAGCGGGTTTTATTCTTTGAAAGCCGCCGTTTCTAAGTGGTGCTTTTGCCTATCTGGATTACAGTTGGGGGGGGGGGGAGGCTCTCCCTTAACCTTGAACCCAAAGCCAAGCCTTTGGAGGTGAGGCTTCCCCGCCTTGTGACCTTGCCAGGGGCAAAGGTGAAGTGACACCTGCATGACATTGGGTGGGGGTGCCAGAGGTCAGACGTGGCTTGCCACACCCGCCCCACGGGGTTTCGGGGCTCCCTCCGGAGGGGCAGCTCAACAGCGGCAGGAGAAAACTGCAGCTCCCCTGCGAGGGGAGGGGGCTTTCCGGACCCCTTTCAGGCACTTTTGAGAGAACAGAATTCCAGGTTACGATGTCAGCCATTGGGGCTTTGGGACGTGTGTTTAACAGTGGCCGTTTCTCTTGTGTCTGAAATGTATTTTATGAACATTGCCGGGGTAGCCTTACGCAGGGAGTAAACCCTCAAGAAATGCAGCCAATGAGCTGAGCTGGTCTTCCAAGCCCGGGCACATGGAAGGGAACGCTGCAGCTGCTGAAATGCCCATAGGAGCATCAGAAGAGGGCAAAGGTCCTACAGGGCAGGCTGCCTTTTCATTTTTATTGACCAGTCGTCTTTGGCTTTGGGCTAGGAGGCCCAGCGAGATGGAGATCCCCGAGGTGCCCTAACCTCTGCCTGCAATCTTTTCTTAATTCGGTTGAAACTGAGTAGGATGTGGTGCAGCCCTGTCTCTCTGCAGAGGCGCATGGGCTGAGTGGGAAGGCGGGGAGCGAACTCGGCGTGATTCATCCTGGTTCTGCACTGCGTTTGAGGGCTGCACCTCTGGGGTGCCTTGCCTGCCTGCCCACCTCCCCTAATTGATGGCGCTGCAGGGCCTGAGGCTGCTCACAGCATCGCAGGTTCACCCGCACCGTAGAGAGGGAATTCTGCTTTAGATCCTCCCCGTTCAGGATTCTTGGCAGTACAGATGCTTTGGGGAAGGGGAAGGGATGGATCTTGCAATCCAGCTGCATCAGAACAAGCGCAGGTAGTCCTCGACCTGCGGCCACAATGGAGCCCAAAATTTCCGTCCCTAAGCGAGACATTTGTGAAGTGAGTTTAACCACCTTTCTTGCCATGCTTGCTCAGTGAATCCCTGCCGTTGATAAGTGAGTAACCGGGTTGTTAAGCAAATCATGCTTCCCCGTTGAGTTGGCTTGTCAGAAGGTCGCAAAAGGGGATCGTGTGACCCTGGGATACAGCAGCCGTCATAAGTATGAGTCGGTTGCGGCTGCATTTTGATCACTTGACCTTGGGGATGCTACAAGGGTTGTAAGTATGAAAAACGGCCCCTTAAGTCCCTTTTTTCAGTGCCGTTGTAACTCTGGTCACTTAACGAACTGTTGTAAATTTGAGGACTACCTGTAGATGGCTTTAAAGCTTTTGGGGTGCCCTTTAGCAACTTGGTGGAGTTTTTTGGTCGATGTGAAGATGTTTCATACCTGCCTTTTAGCCAAGGCTGAGTCCAGCACAGCCGGCCTCTACAATCCACAGGGGCCTCGTGTTGGGTGACTGGTGTGATATTGGTGCCTTGGGACCCCCCCTCTTTCCCCCCCCCTCAAATGATCTCGCTTTCAACCAGGAGGCGCTGCAGATGGAACTGGGTGGGTTGAGGTAAAGATGGACATTTCTTGATTCCAGCTCAAAGCCTACAATAAGGAGGATTCCGGTTGCTGCTGTCACTTCTCAGTTCAATCTCTTTGCTTTTTTTAATGGGCTTTTTGTGTGTGTGTGTGGGGGGGAGGGTACCTCATGGCATCCTTTCCCCCCTCCCCCCCTTCTGCTTTTCCTCGGTGTCCTCGCTTGACCTCTCTACCCTTCCCTTCTTGCCATCCGCAGCTCCGTGTTTTCCTATCTGAGATGTCTTTAATTTATGCTTCTCAAATGCAACGGATGACACATCGCTTATTTTGGCACCCTGGACATTTTGATCCTTTCGGAGTCTCTTCAGCCAAAAAGGAAGGAAAAACAAAAAAAACAAAAACCGGGCCTTATTATGCCAGTTTCTTTTTTTCCATCTAGGCCCTGAATTTTTTCTCTCTTTCTCTCCCCCACCCCAGCCTCCCCCTCTCGATGGTAGGAGTTCCTTGGCTTTCTGCTTGGAAAGCCTCTGTTCACTGGGGAAGGGTGTGGAAAAGTCAGAGGAGATATTCCTAGGGGGTGGGACCTGAATGGGACACCTGGAGCCGGCCCAACTTCCAAGCCATGACCTCGTTTGACTGGAAGTTGGGGGGAAAAAAAGTACACACAACTTTTGCCTGTGGTGTAATCGTTGTGATCCGAAAAATACACTGGTCAAGGAGTCTGCTCTGTGCATGAGAGTGAACTGTGACCCAGTAAGTCTTCCCCACCAAGGCCCAAAACTTTGGCAAAGTGCCCAGGTCCTCCAGACAACAAAGTCCTAAAATTCTCAGCCAGGGTTTTGGAAGGAGTGGCAGGCTGGTTTTAGATAAGCCATCAGGATCTTTTTGAGTTTCAGGCCTCGCCTCGCCTGCAATGGAGAAGCATCTGTAATGGACTGGCAGATTAAGTCATCCCGTATATTAAGGCAAGCGTCATATAGGTACCCGGGGAAATCTGGGTCTTACGCCCTGTGTTTTATGTGTAATATTTATATATTGCTGACTCCTCAAGGACTCCCTTCGGTTTACAATCTCGCATGCAAAATCAGTTAATGTATAAAAACATCCGCCTCTCTCCATCTCTACAATCCAGCAACAATTTAGGTATGAAAGCTTCTGTCCTGAAGGCCACAAGAGGTGCACCATCTCAAATTGAGGGAGAAGTTATTCCAGGGAGGATAGATTGAAGGCCCCAAACAGTCCCCTTCCCCACATTTCATAAATGGGGGAAGACTCTCGACATCTCAACTTAAGACAAGCGAATTGGGTAGGAAGGTTGTACCTGAAGGAGGTGATACTCTGCATACAATACTTGGTCGCCAAATAATTAAAAGGCTTTGCAGATTAAAACCAGCACACCTCTTTGCATGCATAACATCCTCACCCATATTTGCAAATATGTGGATTTAGGAATCGCATTTCTCAACTTTTGATTGTCAAAGGTGATCAATTTTCTAGGTGAGGGGGGAAAATGCTTGTTCACCCTTATGACTAAATCGTTTTTTCTACATTTTTTTTAAAAAAAAGACTCCTGTCATCACCAGAAACACATTTTTAAAAATTCTGCAAGGTGATCCTTCCATTTCCCCAAAGGTTAGAGTGAAGTTACGACGACAAACGTCAACCAGGTCTGGCTGGTTTCCTCCCGAGTCTTATCTGCTGAGTTAAATTCTAGAAGATCTGTTTTAAAAAGAGAACTGCGTGCCAGACCAGTTAGTAATCTCAATCAGGTTGGAAAGATAACACATTTTTGAAAAGACGGAGGAAGCGCGAGAACAGATGAGGAAGTTGTAAGCTTCTTCAGGGAATCTAGTTGCCCAAGAGGCGTCTCTCGTGTTAAATAATCAGAAATATTTAATTGAAGGACATTTCCTTCAGCGAGGGAGATGTCCTGTGTAATTTTGGCACCTTTAAGATGGGTGGACTTCCATTCCCAGAATTCCCCAGCCATCATAACACAGCATACCATAGCTGGCTGGGGAATTCTGGGAATGGAAGTCCACCCATCTTAAAGGTGCCCAAGTTGAGAACCACAGATCTAAGGACACCTTGCCTTCTGAAACCCCTTCAGGTAGACAAAATTTAAGCATAAGAGGGTGAGGTGTGATAGAGGCTGTTAGTGTGTGTGTATGTGCCTTTGAATTGTGTGTACTCCCAAGTCAGACAAGGTGAAATAAGTCCCTGGCATTTGGATTCTGGGAGCGCCGGCTCTGATAAGAAATGCCAGAAGGTGACTTTGCCAGTTGAACCAAAACAATAGCCGGGACAACCTCCTTCGGCACACGCCCGCTTAGAAGTCAGAGCGCCATTGTCTTAACACCCCTTTACGTCTCTTCCCTTAGCAGCCTTGATTTCCTCAGCCCTCCTGAGGGTGGGAGGAGGTGCCCGTCCCATTATTCTGCCGAAATTGTGCCGTCTCTCTCTCTCTCTCTCTCTCTCTCCCCACAATCTCATTGCCGGTTTCATCAGGGTGATCTTGCTTAATGAAAGAAAAGAAGAAAAAAGGAAGACTCTCGTGATGCAATTGACTTTGCAAATCAGGAAGTCTCGTTTGAAGGACAGCCGGGCGACAGATGAAGGGATTATTTCCCGTAGGCTGGGAGGCAAATCACCCAGGAAGGCCTTTGAACTTTGCCACCCTTCTCCATTACTCAGCTGGGCTGACCTTGGCATTGCCTTTGTGCTCAGCCTCAAATCTGCTGCTCTGCTGCCGCGTTTTCCTCATCCTGGAGAAACCGCAGGCCGTTTACTTGCGGGAGGCGTTGATTGCCGACTGAGGCCGAAACGGGGAGTAGTGAATCTTGATAACCCTTTGCCATTTGTAGGCATCGTGGCCATCTTTCATGAAAAGGTTCCTGCCGTTGCTCTTTCTCTTCTTAGTCATCAATGGCTTTTTGCAAACGGGAATAAAAAGCTCAAACCAGCTTTTGGGGGGGCGGGAACGCTGGAAGCTTTCTGCCGATTCCCCAACGCCTCCCTCCCTCTTGGCCTTGGGTTGCTCGGCGCTCCTGTCATCCTCTGCAGCTGGCCTCGTCATTGAAATCCACGTACATAACGTGTCACAGGCGGTAACTCCGGGGACCACGCCGGCCGCCTTCTCTGCAGATTGTAAAAACACAGAAACCGACTGAAGGCAGACAACAAAAACCCACTTCGCTCTCCTCTTGAGAAATCGGCGACTTCCCCGCTCTGTTTTATCTGTGCATTCATAACTCTGAGAGTTGGGTCAGCCCAGAGGCAGAGCACAGATTCTCACTGGGTTGTCGTTTGAAGAGTCAGCTTGGCTTTTGAGTTTCATGTTCAGCACATAGATGTTTAGGAAGGAAGGAAGGAGTGGAGAAGGCAGGAGAGATGGAAGGAAGGAAGGAAGGAGATGAGAAGGAAAGAAAGGGAGTGGAGAAGGAAGGGAAGGCAAGAGAGAAGAGATGAGAGAAGGCAGCCAGCCAGGCAGTGCAATTGTGTTTTGTTCTGGCTGGCATAGAGAAGGGGGATCCTTCGTTGCTGTGCTGATGCGAATACTAGAAAAAATACTAGAAAAGAAATAAACTGGGCACAGCCACACTGGGACTATTTTGGGGGTCGGTTGACGCTGATCTCCTGCAACATGTTGGCAGAGCCCCTGGGCCATGCCACCGTTGGCTTTAATGGCTGTTTCATCTGGGAACATAAAGAAAGGGCAGTTGGCAGATTAGCAGACTTCATTTTATGTAATAAATCAGTTTTAACTTTTTGGCCAGAGATTAGTGGCTCTTTGTTCCGAAGGAGATATGCCCGAAGCAGATTTCCTGATTAGTGACTCATGCGGCCTCCTGAGCGATGCTGTAGGATGATCTATCTTCATATCTGCGGTAAAAGGTTGAATTTTTCCTGTGTTAAATCAGTCAGCTGGCTTTTTCCAAAGAAAAATGCTGCATTCTGCCTTCCCCTGGTTGTTATTTCTTATAAGTATTGTCATTTTCTGGAACACAAAATATCAGCTGATCCTCCTGCTGCTGCTTTTCCTTACGTCGGTTTGGTGCTGAAACCCTGCGAAAATTATTTTCAAAATTACCTTTGGGACTAGGACATCCTCTGCCCCGAAAGTGTCTTTATTCTGCATTTCTTAAACGCGTGGCTAACGTAGAAATGAGAACATCTTTTGTAAAAAAAAAACTCCAGAAAAGGCGTTCAGAGGGGCTGTCCTTGGTCCTGTTGAGAGCAGCTGCTGCTCTACTTTCCCACTTCTGCAATCCTGACATCACTGCATCAGTTCCTCCTTTGGGCTTTTGCAAGGAGAAAAACCCAAAACTGGTGCTTTATTGAGGTGTTGGGTGAGGAACTCTGGGAGTTGAAGTCCCCAAGTCTTAAAAGTTGCCAAGGTTGGAGACCCCTGTTCTAGTCCAACCTCGACCCAAGGCAGGAGTCCTTATAAATGGCTGTCCAGCACCCACAATTCCAGCAGACAAGCTGTGCCACTGCTGTCTCCTTGCCAGGAAATTCCTCCTTAAATCCAGGTTGGATCTCCCCTCCCACCCATTGCTTCTTGTCCTGCCCTCAGGTGCTACGAAGAACAAATTGACCTCCTCTTCTTGTGACAGTCATTGGAAGATGGCAATCGTGTTCACCCCCTAAGTCTCCTCTTCATTAAGCTGAAAGCACCCTTGGTACCTTTTGCTAGTCCTTCTCGTGTGGCAGGGGTTCTCCACACTCGGCCACTTTTAAGACTTGTGGACTTCAACTCCAAGAATCCCCCCCCAGCCAGCGTTGAATTCTGGGAGTTGAAGTCCACAAGTCTTAAAAGTGGCTGAGTTTGGAGACCCCACTGTATGCCATCAATTCAGAAGGCAACTAGAAAGTCCTTTAGAAATTGTTTGTTTGTTTATTCAGCATGTGGCAACTACAGAGGTCATGCAATCAGTGATGTGCCAATTTAGTTTAAATTAGAAATGGTGGTAAACCAAGAATAAACCAGTCAGGGCTGACTTTTCTTTCTCTCTCTCTCTTTTGAAGGGGTGGCTGACGGCGTCGGAGGCTGGCGAGACTACGGCGTCGACCCGTCTCAGTTCTCAGGGACTCTGATGCGCACTTGTGAACGTTTGGTCAAGGAAGGACGGTTTGTGCCCAGCCACCCGGTGGGAATCCTCACCACCAGCTACTGTGAGCTGCTGCAGCACAAAGCCCCCCTGCTCGGTAAGAGAGAGACCCCTCCCCCCCATAGCCCTCCACTCTAGGGGGTGGTGCTCATCTCCGTTTCAAAGCCGAAGAGCCAGCGCTGTCCGAAGGCGTCTCCGTGGTCATGTGGCCAGCATGACTCAATGCCAAAGGCGCACGGATCGCTGTTGCCTTCCCACCAAAGGGGGTTCCTATTTTTCTACTTGCATTTTTTTTGACATGCGTTTGCTAGGTTGGCAGAAGATGGGACAAGTCACGGGAGCTCACCCCATACACAGCGCTAGGGATTCGAACTGCTGAACTGCCGACCTTTCAATCGACAAGCTCAGCGTCTTAGCCACTGAGCCACCACGTCCCTATTACAGATTTATTAGGCATGTCATATTGGCACATCTGGTGAAAACCCGACTCTGAAGGTCCCGGGGTTTCCCCCATCCAAATTAAAAGTCAAAGTTCTTTCCCCCCCCCCCCCCCCCCCCCCCCCCCCCCCATGGCCCAAACCGGTCACAGCCCCAACCCCAGTTGGTTCCAGTCCCCACCTGCCCAGCCCCTGGGGAGACCGTCCTCGGTTCCCAAGAGAAAGAATTTTATTTTGGCTACAAGTCCCCAGCTGTCTCTATTCCCTCCCCCACTCCCGTTCCCACAGCCCCAACCAGCGTAACTGTGGCAGCCCTGAAGATGCTCCAAAATGGCTTCAGGATTGACACCTTGGGCATCTGCTTCCCCTTTTATCTTGAGTCCCCAGGACCAGCCTGGCCGAAGGGAAACGAATGAATGACCTTTTGCCCAGTGATGACTCCGCTTGCTGCTCCTCACCTGTTTTGAGGCTTCTCTGCCAAGAAATCTCTCCCCCCCCCCACCCCCCCCGGTCTCTCTCTTAATGTGGGTTATTTTTAAGTGCCCTCAGCTGATCCCAGGAGGAGGCACTGTCCTTGCTGTGACTCGTCTTCCGGACAGTCTTTGCCCCAGAGAATGGTCTCCTTGGGTCCGTTCAAACGCTCCTTCTCCAGGGGGGCCCATTCTCCAATGCCATCCTGTCGGTCTGGGGGCCCAGGTCCTCCTCTAAATGGCACCTTGCCAAGGAAGGCCCTCTTGAGGAGAACGCCTGCTCAGATCTGCCCCCTCCACGAGGACCACCGAGGCTGTCCTTGGAGGGATGTACGTTTAGAATAGAAGAAGAGAGTTGAAGGGACCTTGAAACGGGGGTGAAATCCAGCAGGTTCTGACAGGTTCTGGAGAACCAGTAGCGGAAATTTTGAGCAGTTTGGAGAACCAGCAAACACCACCTCTGGCTGGCCCTAGAGTGGGATGGGAATGGAGATTTTGCAGTATCCTTCCCCTGCCATGCCCACCAAGCCACGCCCACACAGAACCGGTAGTAAAAAAAAATTGGATTTCACCACTGCCTTGGAGGTCTTCTAGTCCAACCCCCTGTTTAGGCAGGAAACCCTATTCCACTTCAGACAAATGGTTATCCAACCTCCTCTTAAAAACCTCCAGTGTTGGAGCATTCGCAGCTTCTGGTGGCCAGCCGTTCCACCGGTTAATTGTTCTAACTGACAGGAAATTCCTCCTTAGTTCCAGGTTGCTTCTCTCCTTGATTAGTTTCCACCCATTGCTTCTTGTCCTGTCCTCAGGGGCTTTGGAGCAGGGGGTCTCCAACCTTGGCAACTTGAAGACTTGTGGACTTCAACTCCTAGCTTTGCTGGCTGAGGAATTCTGGGAGTTGAAGTCCACAAGTCTTCAAGTTGCCAAGGTTGGAGACCCCCTGCTTTGGAGAATAGCTTGACCCCCTCTTCTTTAGGCCATTTCACTCCTTCATCCCTTGGGATTTTTTATCTTTTCTCCAAACGGCTAGGGAATTTCCCCTTATCCAAAGACCTGCTCCCCAACCGGTTGGTTCCTGCATTGATGGCGCTGCTCCCACCATCCAGAGGTTTTATCTAGCTTTGTGTGGGTTGAAGGCAGGGAAGGAGACCCCCTTCCCCCTGGTTGAAATGGGGGCAGAGGTTTCCCCTCTTTGCAAATCCTCAGCAAAAGGAAGCCGGGACTGCAAGGCACCCAGCTGGCTGTTTTTCCTTTCGGGGGGGAAGAATTCTGCTCCTGCTTTCAAAGAGGCTTGAAATACCGGCTTTAACCAGAGCGGTTTTGACTTGTCAGGAAGGAGAAAACAATCTGCCTTCCCTCAAAACTGCAGGGGGCAGCGGATTTAGAAATCAGCTGGAAGCCCCTGGCCAAAATTCTCACCTCAAGGACCTTGTTTTTTTATACCTCATTTGCGCCTGGCTCCAGGTTTTGTGCCAAGGGGAGTTTGTAACTGCTGGTGTTTCAGAAGCTGGACTGCGAGTCTGGGCTTTTTGGGTAGTCCTTGACTTATGATCACAACGGAGGCCCCCCCCCCCCCCATTTCTGTTGCCAAGTGAGACCTTTGTTAAGTGAGCCTTGCCCCATTGTACGACCTTTCTGGCCACAGTTGTTAAATGAATCTGGCTTCCCCCATAGACTTTGCTCATCAGAAGGTCGCAAAAGGGAATCACGTGACCCTCCCTCCACCCCTGGAACACTGCAACCGTCATAAATACGAGTCAGTTGCCAAGCCTCCAAATTTCTGTTTTTCTTCTAGTTTTAAAAAGGTTTTATTAAATATAAAAAATTCAATGTCCACGTAAACAGTGTGTTGTCTGAGTACAGTCACTTTTGAGAAATAGTAATCACAATAAAAACCATAGTGACACTTGGGCTCTTATTGTCTTTATTGTGATTGCTATTTCCCAAAAGATCAAGGGACCACGAGGATGTTGCCACGATTGTATGAAAACCGGCCCTAAGTCGCGTTTTTCTGTGCCGTCGTAACTTCGGACGGTCACTAAACGAGAGGTTGTGAGCCAAGGTATCAGCCAGCCAGGTTAAAAGCAGCCAGATTGACGTTTCCCGCCAGGTGAATGTTTGACTCTCCTTCCTAGGGAGCAGCACGGCTTGCATTGTCGTCCTGGATCGGACCACGCGGCGCCTGCACACCGCAAACCTGGGCGATTCGGGCTTCTTGGTGGTCCGGGGGGGCCGAGTAGTGCACCGCTCCGATGAACAGCAGCACTATTTCAATACTCCGTTCCAGCTCTCGATAGCGCCGCCCGAAGCCGAGGGAGTCGTCTTCAGCGACAGGTAAGGCCTTTCCCGTGTGATTTTGCGAGGAGGGAAGGCAACCTGCCCCTCAGGTGGGTCTGCAGGGAAAGTTCAGGAGGAGCTGCGTTTCCAGCTCAGTTTCTACCTGGTGGAGACCGGATTGGAGTTGACGCTCCCGAGTGATTTAGCTGCTGATTTTTCTTTCCATTGTTGTTTTTGTTATTTGGTTTGGGCCTTCCAGTGATGGCAAATGCTGTTTGGTTATTTGTGGCATGGGGAAGGACTCTTTAAATCAAGGTTTGTCCGTCCTGGGAGTTTTCAGATGGGTGGACTTCAACTCAGCCGGCTGGGGAATTCGGGGAATTGAAGTCCACCCATTTGATAGCTCCCAAGGCTGACCAACACTGATTTAAGTAGATTAAATTCTTTTGCTAGTGTTTGGCAGGGCTCTATTCTCTTGCAGTATTCCTCACTTCCCTTTCTGCAGCCGGTTATCAGTTCGCAGAGCTAATTTCTGGCAGCTATTTTTAAGTGCTCGGGCCCAGCTGATGCTTTCCCTCCTTCGACTACAAAGGCCCAGGCATCTGATTCAGTCCTTCCTATTTCCCCCCTGGGCGACTTGTTTGCAAAGCAAAACCACCGTTACGTGTTGTGAGGGGAAATATTGACACGACGGTAGGGAGTGTGTTTGGTTTTCAAACCTGGCCGGGTACATGCCGTATTGTACCCAGAGGACATAACTCAGTTACAGGGATGGGAGGTGAAGGAATGTGAGAGAAAAACATTAAAAAATGTTGAGGCTGCTGGCCTGCTGATGGAAATGGGGGTGCCGAATAGGTCAGCATAACAGAGTTGGAAGGGACCTTGGAGGTCTTCCTGTCCAACCCTCCACTCAAGCAGGAGACCCTATACTATTCCGGACAAGTGGCTGTCCAATCTCTTTAAAAAATCTCCAATGATGGAGCACCCACAACTTCTGGTGGCAAGCTGTTCCACTGGTTAATTGTTCTCACTGTCAGGAAATTTCTCCATAGCTATAGGTTGGATTTCTCCTTGATCAGTTTCTACCCATTGCTTCTTCTCCTGCCTTCTGGTACTTTGGAGAATAGCTTGACTCCCAATATCTCAGAGGTTTGTGGCAGCCCCTGAGATATTGGAAGACTGCTACTGTCAAGTTGCAAAGCTTTCAAGTTGCCATGAGCAGGAGGGAGGGAGAACTGATGGAGCTGATTGAATTCCCTAACTGAAACTACATTCCACAGATGTTTTCTTTTCCCGCAATCAGTAGGAGAGTTTTGGGTTTCACAGACAGCCAAAGTGGTTAATTGGAGAATGTGATTTAGGATACGGCCAGGGAGGAGGGGGGAGAGAGGGTCATAGGGGAACGTAAATCTACGTGGGATTAGTTCTAACTGCATCCGAATATTGCCGAAATGGTGCTCCTAATAAATGACTGTATTTCTTTTGAAGTTTGGCTCGTGGCTCATGAATTAATTAGGGCACCTTTCGGAAACTTCACAGCTACCATGTCAATGCAGCTTGACTTTGCCTGTGAAGGCTGTAGTAGCTCCAACACAGCCTCGTTCAATCAGGGGCTTCTCCTCCTCCTCCTCCTCCTCCTTCTCCTTCTTCTCAGATTTTGGGAAAGGTTCTGCGGCTGCTTAGATATTCCTGCAGTGAGACAGCACCTCCTGACAGCCAGAAAAGGGGAGGCACATGACTGCCGCTTGTATTTCAGCCCCCTTGAAAGTTTCCAGCCGTGCTGGATGCCCCATCCACTCCCCCTTGGCAGAACCCCAAGATCTGGCAGGGAAGCCTTGGAAAAGCACATTTTGTCCGACTGGAGCCCCGGCTGCAAAGGGCACCGGCATCCTGCAAAGAGCTGGAGCAAGAGGGGAAAAATTTCAGTGCTGGGTTGATCAAGGGAGGGCCTTTTGCATTCCTTTTGGGGACCCTCATTTGGAAAGTGTCGGGCAAGGCGTCCTCCTTGGCCCTGGGTGCCTAAAACCTCCCCCAGTGGCTCAGTCAAGCATCACCTCCGTGCTGGTCTTAAGGCAATTTAAAAAGGCCCTGGGTTCCATGTTGATTAGACTGGAGAAGTCTGTAGAGCAGAGGTCTTCAAACTTGGCAGCTTTAAGACTTGTGGATTTCAACTCCCAGAATTCTCCAGCCAGCATAGCTGGCTGGAGAATTCTGGGAGTTGAAGTTCACAAGTCTTAAAGCTGCCAAGTTTGAAGACCTCTGCTCTAGAGATTCTCAGTCATCCAGGTGCTTTTTCAAATGTCCAGCAGTCTGCAAGGACAATAAATCCTTCCCCACCATCCAGTCAGAGCTGAAGAAGCTGCTTGGATGAGAAGCGAAACGTCTTCAAAGAAAACAAAACAAGGAAGTCCAGCTGCCTCCTGAAAAAGCCCTTTTTGGGATTAGACTGGGGGAGCCTGCTCTAGCTGCAGGATCTTGCTGGCGTAGGGGGAACTGCCCTTCCTGTACATCTTAAGCATGAAAACCCCCCGAGCCTTTCAACTCACTCTCTCTATTCCCTCAATGTTTTCTCAGCCCGGATGCTGCTGACAGCACCACCTTCGACGTGCAGCTGGGAGACATCATCCTGACGGCTACGGACGGGCTCTTCGACAACATGCCGGACTACATGATCCTCCAGGAGCTGAAGAAACTAAAGGTAAGAGGAGAGGAGCTTGCAGTGGGTCCCACCGGGGAGAAATTAAAAGCACATAAGGTCCGCTGACAGGTAGCATTTCTTCCACAATTGTCCTGGTTGCCTTGGCGTTAAACGGCAGGGTGCAACTTTGGCTCAAATCTTGGTGGGTTTGGCAAAATCTCCCGGTCCTCCGCTTCATGAGCCTGTGACCTTCTGAACCTTTTCTTGGGGTTCAAAGGTACAGCCAGGAGCCGAGTAAAAGTTTAAAAGTTGAGGGCAGGTTTATCTTTTAATCTGCTCTTGTGCATCCCCTATAATTCCTGAAGCAGACAGGCTGCTCTCGGAGAGCTTAAAAATCAGCTTTTCAGAATCGGATCCACTCAAATTGGCCACCGTAGGGATTTGTCCTTGGTTTATTTAGCCTCGTGAGCCCCAGGTGGACCCGCCTCGCGAGAAAATCCAATCCCTTTGTGTTAGCGGTCCTGTTATACCGCCTGCTTTTGCGGCAGGTGAAAGGGAGAATCCCTTTGAGCGTTCACACGGTTCCTCTTCACCTCCTCTTCCACCCAGAACTCAAATTACGAAAGCATCCAGCAGACGGCGAGCAGCATTGCCGAGCAAGCTCACGAGTTGGCCTACGATCCAAATTACATGTCTCCCTTTGCACAGTTCGCGTGTGACAATGGACTGAATGTAAGAGGTAAGAGCGGCTGAGCGGCCGGAAGTCAGCCCTCCTGCACGGCTGGGTTTCTTCCAAGGGCTCCGGAAGCCATGTTGGCTAGAACTCAGTTTGCAGAAGTGCGTGGAACGAGAGATGTTAACCCACATGCTAATTTTGATCGGGCAGGCATCAATGCATGCGCGCATATTTTTATACCTGCCACCGCATCATATGATTCGATTTTGTTTTGTTTGTGTAGAGATTTGTCTCAATTTCTTGGCAGGTTTGAATTGCTGGAGCTGGAGACAGTTCCCAAAGAATTTAGGGGAGGCTGTTGATACGTTTTGACGCCTTTTGGGGTTAAGTTTCCTTTTCCCGGCTGTGTGCTTAGGGGCAGGACTATTTAATTTTGCTCCTGCAGTTTTATAGCACCAGGTCTTCAGCTGCAAACTTATAGAATAACAGAGTTGGAAGGGACCTTGGAGGTCTTCTAGTCCAGCCCCCTGCTCAAGCAGGAGATCCTATACCTAGGATCCTAGACAAATGGCTGTCCAGTCTCTTCTTAAAAGCCTCGAGTGATGGAGCCCCCACAACTTCTGAAGGCAACTTCTGTTCCACTGGTTAATTGTCCTCACTGTTAGGAAGTTTCTTCTTAATTCTTGGTTGCTTCTCTCCTTGTTCAGTTTCCATCCATTGCTTCTTCTCCTGTCTTCAGGTGCTCTGGAGAATAGCTTGACTCCCTCTTCTTTGGGGCAGCCCCTGAGATATTGGAAGACTGCTACCATGTCTCCCTTAGTCGTTCTTTTCATTAAACTAGACACACCCAGTTCCAGCAACCTTTCTTCATAGGTTTTAGCCTCCAGCCCCCTAATCGTCTTTGTTGCTCTTCTCTGCACTCTTTCCAGAGTCTCCACATCTTTTTATAATACTTTAAAAACTTCTCCCCGTCTTGCTTTTTAGGTGGGAAACCTGATGACATCACTGTTCTTCTCTCTATAGTAGCTGAATACACAGACTGACCAGCTGTGACACTCAGCTTTGAAAGACTGGTATGTCTCCAGCTGTTCTCCGCTTCACACGTACTATTTTCCTGCGGGCAGGAAGTCTCCTTTCTCTCTCTCTCTCTCTCTCTCTGCATCTGACCTCAGTGGCTAAACACACCTTACGTCCATTGCCTGTTCTAAGATGCAGTCAAGACCCCTGGCCCAAAACCTCAGCTGGAGGACACCTGGGGACACCTCCAAGCAAGAAATGAAGAAATTTTCAATACTTGAAGCCTTGTCTTTCAAAATTGGACTCAAGAGTTATCGCGTAGAAAGCGGGGTGGGGAAGGGGGGCTGAAGAGGGAATAACCTTTACTTATGGCTCTGAAGAGAAAAGCGAACAAACAAGAACGTCAGTTTAAAACTAATTCTGGGGAAGGGGTTTTCCAAATCGGCAAACAGGACCTAGTGAGGTCCCGAGAAGGTATTGCTGGAAAAAGCCCATTTCTCAAATCGGTGGAAGGTCAGTACGTCCTGTCCCTGGCTGAACATGTTGGAAAACTTGTGTTTGTAGCTGAATTCTCCATAGGCTTTCCAAGGGCAGTGAGCCTTTTGGTCTCTCTCTCTCTATATACATTTCGACCTGGGCGACTTGGAAGATGTGCTGGCTGGGGAATTCTAGGAGTTGAAGTCCGCCCCATCTTCAAGTCACCCAGGTTGCAAAATATTGGTCTGCCTGCTATTAGCCAGGAGCTTTCTTACTCAATTTGGAACGCACAACTCGTCTGGAATTGTGGTGCGCATGTGTGAGAGAGAGTTTGTGAAGGTGCTAAACTGTTATACCAGTGGAACGTCGGCCTGTGGCAAAACGGGGCCCTTTTCGTAGCTGAATTGTTCTGCCAGATCATCGCCTAACGCTCTCTTCGGTTGCAGAGAAAGTCTCAAGATGTCGAGGGAGGTTGAGCACCGGCTCGGGTGCTGAGCGCGAACAGGCTTCCCCGAGAAAATACATGTTTACAGGGCTCTAATTGCTAATTGGCAATATCGTAAATTTTATTAATTTTTTTTTTTTGCATCCACCCACACTCAGTCCAACTTCTCAGTAGCTATAAGTTCCCCTACCCCGTTTTTCTAAGCTCGTGTAAAAAAAAAAAACAAAACCACAGCTGTTTTTATTTATACATAACACCTAAAGGTATGTATAAAAATCTTGGTTAGTTTTTCATAATTTTTTGTTGGTGTTTTTTTGCCTGTAGGAGAAACAAAAGTCCTTCGCAACGAAAAGCCATGTTTTATACAGCAAGTTGGGTCACGTTGATGTTTAGTTGATAATCTTGGCGAGTAAAAGCAACCGTCCTTGTTTTTTTAAAAAAAAACTCACAAAAAAGGGGGTTTTTTTACTGCCAGGTTTATTCTGTTAAAACTGTAAGTTTGAGGTTACCTCAGCCTGTTTTAAAAATTATTTTTTGGTGGTTGTATTGTACATTTGCATTATTGTGTCCGACTTTTTATTTATAATTTAACATGTACCGTGTACATGTGGTTCGTTCCTGCTTCTAACAGGCATTTCATTTGCGACGATAAGCGGCAAAAACAATAATAATAATTCATTTTTTAGAAACTGTTCCAACCAACTTTTCCAGTTATTTTTTAAAATCACCTTTTTTTTCTTTTGTCCAGATTGCCTTAACAACGTAGCTTGACGAAACTGATCGGTTTGGGGGGTACGGATACAGGGTGGCATACGGTGAATGGATGAAAATTGCATAATATATATTTTAAAAAAAACCACGGCCCATTATAACGTTGTACAAACCATTTCAATCCCCTTTTCCCCCTCATCCTGATGCTGAACCAGCTGGGCCTAAGTACCTTCTGCTAGAAATTGTATATTAATAGGTCTTTATGCAACCCGTTTCCCACTTCGTTGGAGGGGTAGGTGAGCTCTTAATTGGGAATCCGCGTGTCGCTGGTGCCATCTCATATTTTGAGCAAATCCTGAAGAGCTACCGACTCTCCCCACTGTTTTTCCCATTGTCCTGGGTCTCTAGAGATCATCAAGCAGGGGTTAACATTCTTGCTGCCATACTCTTTAGCCTTTCTGCAACGATTGGCTGACTATGGAGGGGAAGGTGCTTTAAAACACTGTTTCCCAACCTTGGCAGCTTTTAAGATGGGTGGACTTCAAGTCCCAGAATTCCCCTGCCAGCTGTGGGGAATTCTGGGAGTTGAAGTCCACCCATCTTAAAGCCGCCAAAGCTGAGAAACGCTGCTTTAGAAGTAGCAATGGGATTCGTAAGCCTTGGTTATGTTTCATTTAGAGCAATTTCTACTCTGTAAAGCCATTTGTTCCTTAGGACCATTTTTTTTTTTTTTTTAGCCATGGTCAAATTGAATTTTTAAAACTTGCATCGTCCCCCTTTCCTCCCCTTTGGGACACCAAAGACCCCCGTGGAGTTTATAGCTTTCCGGCCATCTGTTTTTTAAAAGCAATACTGTATTTTAAAACAAATTCTATTGCATGCTTGAGATCTCCCGCCCACCCCCTCCCACCCCCTATTTTAAGATGAGCCTTCAATCCTAATAGACCCCGATTTCTTCCCTGGGAACTTTAAAGCTGTCTGCGCACAAGAATTTTATTTTTTTACAAAAAGGAAAAAAAAAAAAAACCCAGGAAAGGAAAAGGCGAAGTCTCCTGGCCTTGGTAACACCATCTTCACGCCGACCCTCCAAGCCGTAGTGCTTCTATTCCGGGCAATCTGGGCTTAGGAATTGGCACATTCCATTTTCCTTCCTTCCCTAAAAACCGGGGACACCTTGACGGCCAGACCCCAACCTGCATTTGAGGAGGGTGGGAGCCCATGTGTGAGAAACCCCTGATTCATTGGAGCAGCTCCGGGGTCGTTGCATTTTGAGATGCAAAGAGGGTGGTGGAGGGGCCTCTGCCGCTCTGAATGAGGAGGGGGTTTGCATCTTGGGCTCCATTTTCTTCGCTCAGGCTGGGGGTGGCAGCATCGCCTGTGGGACCCAGAGCTGCCTGGCAGAGAAGCAAACTCTGATTTCTCGAGGGTGGGATGGGCGACGGTTTTCCCAGCCCTCCCCTTCTCTGTAGCACCTCTGCCCTCTTAAGTCTGCTGCATGGCAGGGGGTCCCCCAAAAGCTGGAGATGGGAATGCTAAACATCTTCACCCATCTCTTCCTTGAGGGGGGGGCTTGGCAGCCTCCTGCTTCCCCCCTGCTCTGCAGAAAGCTCTCTCCTGCTTTCTTAGGAGCCCCTCCGGATCCCGCTTGGTTTCCCCATTCGATCTCTCTTGCTGTAGTAAGGATCGAATAGGAAAAGAAAGCAACTTGAAATCTGGGACTTGAAGGGGAAAGGGATCTTAAGAAACTGTCCATGGTGGAAGCAGAGATAAGAAATCATGGGAACGGCTCTTTTCCTGCAGGAGACCAGACTCGATCCAGACCTGGGTTTTTGCGTTTTTAATTTCGTTGTTTTTTTTTTTAATTTCCTTCTGACGAGGATAGCTGATCTAATGAGGATGCCGTTTTTTCTTGTTAAATGAGACTATCGTGACCTGTAACTTACCTATAAAAAGGAAATTTAAATTATGTGAATTGAATGTCTGGAGTATAATTTGTGCGAGAATAGTATCTGTAAATACATTTAAATGAACTGTAAAGATATTTAATAAATATAGTATTTATACAATATACAGGGGCTTCCTTGAATTGTAACTGTTGTGGTTGCTCTGTTGCAATTTTGTCTCCCCCGCACACCCACATTTTCATCAATGCTTCTGAACCTTGGCAGCTTGAAGATGTGTGGACTTCGACTCCCAGAATTCCCTAGTCAGCATGGGGAACTCTGGGAATCGAAGTCCACACATCTTCAAGTTGCCAAGCTTGGAAAACACAGATTTAAACCACCAGGCCTCAAAATGGCCCCTCTAAAAGCCAAGAAAGAGCTATTCCAAGTATATACAGCATGTCTGCCTTTTAATTTCTTTCACTAAGAAAATTTCTAAAAAACACATTTCATTGCTCAAACAGGCAACATAAAAGGAATATATTGATCTTTCGTACAATATTTGCTTTTGTTGTAATATTTAGCCAGTAGTTCCCGGCAGGTCATGCGTCCTTAGCAACAGCGAGACACTAAAATTAAAATTTTTTAAATCTTGTGTACAACGAGGAATTCAGTGGAAGGAGCAAAGGAATATATGTCTTTCTCCAAAAAAAAAAAAAAAAAAGCATTTTATGGACGTTTGGGGGAGTTTAATAAGCGCTCTGCTGCTTGAGAAACGGTTCTCCATTTTCTGTTCCTGGTTTCGCTTTGCTTTCAAAAGCAGCCTCCCTTCGCATTCTTCTTCGCTGAAGCAGATCTTAAAGAAGGAGCCCAGGCAGCAGCAATAGTGGGTGATTAATTGCCTTTTGTTAGGTTGCTGTGGGGAACTGCCAGCGAGAAAGGCTAAACCTGCCCAAAGCATCTTGACCACCGAATGGCTGAACACGCTTGTAAAACATGGCATCTGGGATTGCATCCTACGATGCTTTCAAGTTGATTGTAATATAAAAACTCTGATTTTTGAAAAACCTCCAAAACGGCTCTCACAAGTTTTTCCCACATTGAAACAAGGTCGCTGAATATTATACACACCTAGACCAAAAGGGGTTTTATTTTTTTTTAATCCCATCTAATCAACTAAAGAATTCTGAACAAAGTTACGACAATATCCATAGGTTGAAGATAAAACAACATTTGGCAGAAACAGTTGGTAAAATAGGAAGCAGCTGCCATCCATTCGGGTAATTCAAACACCTAAAATAAGCGAAAATGGCATTTTCCTGCAGGCCAAACTGCTGCACCAACGGGTACGTCCTGCGGTTAAAACGTAGGAGAGAGCTGCCCGTGGGCGCAATCCTCTTCCGTGTCGCTCACCGTTGCCAAATTGTGAAGCAAATTGGCATCACTTTGCTCATTAGGGGAAACTGCTCCGAAGAACAAGGAATGAAACTGGAAAAGGGGGGGGAAAAAAAGGAACCATCACTGGGACCTGGAGCCAAAACTAGAAATTGCTTGTAGCGCTATCAAAAGTGGGATCAAAAGAAATGGATGATGATGAATCTCGGGATGGTTTTTCATTACCGGAAGGCCAGGCCAAACTCAGTTCTTTGCAACTCTCTTTTCCAACCATTTTCGGCCAATGCATTAAGGATAAGAGAGCCACCGGATCGAATTCACTTAAGGCAATTTGATTCTTCTCCCTTCTTCTGCTGGCAGCTTCTACGATGCCTGTGAAAGCTAAGAGGCACGCGGCATAAAATGTGAAACTTTGGGGGTGTGATTTCTTTCTTTTACCTTATTATAGTTGGGATGAGGTGGTTCCTCTCCTGTGGAAAAGCCCTCGGAGGGAGCTATGGATGCCTTTCTCCTGCAACTGGTGATGTGTTGATTACTTCTCTCTCTGGCAGGGCCCCTAAAACGCCATAAAGATGGATTTGTGTTATGGTTTTCCCTTCCAGTGGCTGCTTTTAGAAGCTTCACCCTGGAGGGCCTCTAAGGGCTCCTTGGGGGCCTGTTCTAAGATTATCTTCTTTCTGCCAAGTGGATGTGTGGCAGGGACCGTATTTGGGCAAGACGTTGGCATGATCTGACAGTTTAAGTTTTAAGGAGGGAAGAGATTTGTAAAGACAAGTCTTGTTCGGCTTCGGGCAACCGAGAAATGGATTACAACCTCTCAATTACTTTGCTAAGCGAGTTGCTGATAAACAGCTGGCCGTTTCCTTATTTGCAAACTCTACTTACTCATTTAGGGGGTCTTCCATGGCCCTCAGTCACATCGAGCCCATATGGAACACGGTGAGCAGCAGTTTAAAATTATTACGATTGTTTGGAACTGCCTTTGGCCAGACGAAGAAAGTAATTTGCCCCAGAGGTCACTTTGAGGGACTTTTTCTCGTCTGGCTTCTGCTCTGGCATGTAGACAGACCTGCCAAAGGCCTGACTTGGCTGCCTGCAGAACCTGGAGTACACCCGGCTGCTTGGGATATTCTTCGGATGAGGACAAAAATATATTTCTAGGAAGTTCGCTCCCGAGAATGTGACTTTTTCCCTCCTCTCTCCATACTGAGAGAGAGAGAGAGAGAGACCCCTTATCTAAAATGGAGTGTTTTACAAGAAATCTTGGCCTGAAAATAAGATTACCTGTTTTGGCTTTGCTCAAGGCACGCTGGTTTACTGGCCGTTGTGCAGCTTTCGGTATCGGATAAAGTGGCCAAAACAAACAGGGCTTCTATTACCGGATCCTCAATGCTGAAGGCAACCGGCCTTGAAATGCAAAAAATAAGGTTAGGCTAAGAGAAAGGGCTAGGATCTGCATTCACGCAGCGGCTGGTTGGCCTCACAGACAGAGATGCACAAATGGAATAGCTTCTTAAATTGCATCCATATTTCAACTCCCCCAATCCCTGACTAAAGTATAAGCTTGCCAATCCATCTTAGCACGATATAACAATGTTCCTTAGTAGCATTCAATTTTTCATTCACCAACTGCAGGCCTCCAGATGCCAAAATAATGAAAAAAAGCTGCAAATTCTCTCTCCCCACCGCACCAATAAAGAAGAATATATGTAGCTTCCCCTCCCCTCTGCCTCTCTCTCCCCTCCCCTCGGTGCCTCCTATTGCAACCTCTTCCCTCCTCCCTCTCTTTCCTGCTCCCCTATTTGCATATGCAAAATAGGACCACCCCCAGGTAGCTGCATGACCCAGGAAGATTCATGTTCTGACTGCTGAAATAGGCTTTATAATCCTATGGGGGGGGGCATAATGCCTGGAGCCTTACCTGTCTGTTTAAAGGCTCACGGAGGGGGCAGTCTTTTGTTTTTCCAAAAACCAAGAAATTTTAGTCTGATCAAGATCAATCACATGCCGGCTTATCTCCTTAACAATGGAATCCTTAAATTGGCTGCTTTGCCACAAAAGCAGAACTTTCCTTTGCAATAGAAAACTTTCCCTTTGTATAAACATGTCCCCAAAACCTGTTGAATCTGGTTTCCCGCCTCTGAACCTCAAAATATCTAAGAATGTCAGTCTTTCTATTGTAACTTGGAAAACACACCCTATGATCTTGGCAATAACCAGGGCTGTTCTTAGCACCATGTTACTTTCTTCCAGAAAAAAATCCACACCTTAATTGGGTGCTGTCATGCTATTAGCGTGCATGCTTCCCCATATTATATATGGGTCTCGTACGGTAGGGTAATCCTTAGAAGTGTATATTTCTATTCCATAAATCTCATATAAACGCATTTTTTACAAAATGCATCTCTTGTGGTCACTTGAGGTAGTTTGAAATTTCTTCTCGGAGTTTTAAAACAAGGTCATAAAATACGGCACTGCTTTCTTAAAAGGATAAAGATCTACCTACTTTCCAGATACATCAAAATGAACGGAGACTGGGACGCTGAGAGCTTCTGCAAACACCAGAAGACCCTAAACATAAGTGAAAGAGGGGAGTTAATTCAGAAGAAGATCATGAATTCCAATGCTTGCCACTGCAGTGTTTATGACTAGATTTAAGTGCTACCTGGAGCCATTTGGCCATCCATGGCAGCATACAAAATGCTGGGTTCTGTGGGATGCTGAGCTTTGATACAAGAACAGCATCAAAAGAATATCCCAGTAGCATTTGTTCCCTTATCCCTCCTTTCCTAATGCTGCTGTCCAAATGAGACACTCAAGCAGATATTTATGAAGTACACGCTACAATCAAAACAGTAGAATTAACCATATTACCCGCAGTTCTTTAAGGCAAAACGTGACTTCCGAATCTACTCCGACTTGAAAGTATTCAAATTCATCAGGACTGAGATGAATTTCCGTATGTGCTGTCTTTGCAAATTCTGTCGAAATAAGAATGCTGCGAGTTTAAAAAAACTTTAAAAAACTGTGACTGTGACTTTAAAAAACACAGGTTTGTTGAGAATTCTTAGGATGGTTAATAAAAATTCGATTAGCGTACAACACACGGCTGCTGACCATTTCCATCCCAAATATGATAACAGGTGAGCCTTCAGCTATTACATGCTACAAAATAATGTATCTGAAGTCAATGCAAAACCATTCCAAATATCAGAAAAGAAAATACAGACCACCACAATTAAACTACAGATCGGATTAATATGCTGAATTAGGGGCAGAAATGGATGTGTATTTGACAGCTTCCTATTTATTAACACTCTATCAATTTGTAGCAAATTTGAGCACCATTATCAGGATATAATTTTGAATGTTTCTTTCATTGTGGCTACTGTTTATAAAAGAGTAAATAGTAACAGAATATATTTCGCTATTGGTTTTTTAAAAAGGTTTTTTTCAGTTCCCTGCTTTTTGAATATTTAGTAGGTGTTATTTGATTGTATAATATGCCATGGCCATATCTTACAGTAACTTCTTGCGTTCAGGGATATTACAAATTCAAAGCTGTATTTTGAATCCCACCATGGAAGCACAATCCTCACCCATCTCATCCTCTGTGTAAGTCTTGAAGCAAACTTTCATTGGCGTCACACCTAAAGTTATTTCTTCTTGGTACGTCGGAAAGTGGATCAGCATGTCAGACAGCTGCCTGAAATGTACAAAAATAATTAACTCAGGTTACAAATTGGGCAGCTCCTATTAAGTTCTTTTTTCTCTCTCTGAATTAATAAGGCCGAGATCCCATCGGTGACAACCAACCATTCACATTTCATTCGATACACACAATCAAGCACAACAAAACAAGCAAATGGCTAATGTGCCTATTATATTACCTGGAGTGGACTTTCAATACATTGGTGCACAAATCTTTTGCAAACACAGCTTGAAGAGGTTCACACTCCTGGAAAGCTAAACTATGAGTTTTCACGATACCTGATGGAAAAGGAAATGGTTTGAAATCCAAGTCTCCCTGCAGGCTACCCTAGACCAATGTGAAATGAATTGATTAGAGTATTTTTATTTCAGCATGATTAAATATACTAATATTATCACTGATGGTGTTACCTAGTTTGGATCATGAAGCGTCTGCAAGGAGACAACCAAGCTCAGAGAGCACCAAGGACCCCTCCTTTCAACCCCGAGCTACAAATACTCTCCTTTATCCAAAGTGTGCTAAATGTGTTACCTGCCATGTAAGCTGAGGAGAAAACCATCCGCGCTCAGAAGGTCAAAACAAAAATAATTATCCAAAAGCAAGATTTGAGAATGGCCTTGAGAATTTCTCTGCATGAGCCCATCTTCTCCAAAGCAAGAAGTGATGGATGCAGAAGCTTGCTGAATTTAGCAGCTGTCCTAGGAACTCACTTAAAAGAACCTTAATAAAATGGTGTTTGTTTGTTTTTTAATATACCACCTCTTCATATAACAAAATCAATCATTTGCTTTTCATAACATCTTACTACCCAGCTCCATGGTAGACCTGTGCTGATAAAAAGAGGCCATTTGTTGCTCTCTGGTGGACAATTTACAACACAGTTTTAATTTTTCTAAAGGGCTAGGATTTTTTTTTTCTAGCAATGGCTTCCACAGCATGCATACTTAATTAAAAATCTAGTGCCACCTGATTCATCTGTAGCATATTTAATAACTGTAACTGACGCAAATGCTGTTTATTGATTTAATCCCAGGGTGTTAAGCTGTAAGTGACACCCTGTTTTTATCTCAAAAGCTTTTCAGAGGATTCAAACAACAGCAACAGTTTCATTTCACATGCTCCCTTCGGGCACTCAATTTTTGGGAAAGTGGAGGGACTTCCTTGGAAAATTCCACGGTCAAAATATCTCCAACCCAAAGCCAAGGTGGGGTGGAGTTCTTTAAATCCTGACCAATAACATTTTTAATGTTGCCTTTCAGGTCATGTAAGACTGACCAGATCACCCACTTACCATGTTTGCAGAACAGCTTAAAAACAATATGGCAATCGTTCACATCCGTGTAAATGTTGCACTTTTCCACATTTCTTTCCAGTGTGTGCAAGCATCGAAATAAAGGCAGAATGGCCTGAAATGAAAAACTCTTTATCAATGCAGGGATTTCATGAGGAAAAATAATGACTGCAGAATCCTTTCGCAGTCAAAAAGTATGCAGCACAACTGTATGAATCAGCTTACGTCTCTTATTTTCTTAGGCATCGTAATTAGTATAGTCTTAGAATTTCATTTTTTTTCCTGATTACTAATGTTAGAAAGCGATATTCCTTTTTTTCTCAAGTTTTATTAGCTGCAATAAATTCTTTCTCCACCCCCCCCAAGAAAAGTACAGACTGACCAAAGGTATATTTGAGGTGAAATATACATTTGATAATACATAGCTTTTCTACATATTTCACTAAATAGAACTGTATTTTTGTGGCAATTTTAGTTCAATTGGTTGAAACTTACTTTGATTATTAATTTACATGCGAATTGAACAGTGTCCCCATTCAGGCTCCGTTCGGTGGCATTTCCATAGGAATAATTTTGGAAGAACGTGGATGAAAAGAAGACACAGGCATAGGCTGATCTAGAACTATTTACCGTCCTCAGGAAAAGCTGTGGACAGGATGAAATGATGTATCTGTATTAACTGTATCGCTCCTAAGTTACAGATAAGGAAAAAAAAAATTGCACAATATGGTAACATTGGAAGGTGCTTGTTTGCTTCAACCTAACTCTTAACAACCCCAAAATCAGCTGTTTTCTTTGTTATATGCTGTGCTAGGATTTTCCAGATGGTGACAGGAAAAACACTCGATTTTGCAATACGGGTCTCTTGTTACTTAATGGTGGAAATCCTAGCAGGTTTTGCACAAATATCCAGTCTGTGTTTCTATATTGCACATCGAATTCTAGGCAACATTTAAGCACAAGCAAGGGAAAGAAAACGGCAGTGGGCGGTTGGTACAAAGGCTCTCATCCAAATGAGGCCCTTCTGAGCAAAACAGGGGTTTTCCTTAATTAACAACGGATGCTTGGGTAGCCCCACCCTGGCGTGGCAATTGAGAGTGCATTTCTCTGGAACCCATGATGACTCAGTTCCAAAGTTGTTTTCTTCTGGATCCAGGATCTACTCACTCCTTTTTCTTTGGGGTCAATCCAAAATTCGTCGCTGATTCTCGCAATGGCGTGCAGAGCCCTTCCAAACACTGCAGGGGGAAGATTCGGGAAGGGGCACAATGTTAATGTTGCACGATGAAAACCATTTTGGAAGAGGACAAGGGAGAGACTTTTAGCTTAGACACTTAGGCAGCCCAATTGGGCAAGGAACTTCAATATATTCGGTTTAAGTGCTGCACGACAGGGAAGCCGATGGGGAAAGCCTGATTTCGATTAATCTCTGAATTCAACTCCACAGAAATTTTGCTCATTTTCCATTTTATCCCCTTAAAAACAGATTAAATCTAAATTCATTCCATAATCATGTAATCCAGTGTTTCTCAACCTTGGAAGCTTGAAGATGGGTAGACTTCAACTCCCATGGCTGGGGGATTCTGGGGGTTAAAGTCCACCCATCTTCAACCTACCAAGGTTGAGAAACACTAATGTAATCAAATTTATTTATTTATTTATTGGTTCGATTTATATGCCGCCCTTTTCCGGAGACTCAGGACGGCTTACAATGCTTTTAAGCAATAGCCTTCATACTTTTGTATATACCTGCTTAGTAGGCTTTTTTTTTTTAAGTGTCTTTTCCCCACAGCCCAGATTTTATTAGCATTGCTGTCCCTTTGGGTTGCACTTTATTCTGATTCTTACACTCAACCAATAAATTTAATGGTTGCTCATTTTAATGCTTTGATATTTTTATGATTTTAGGGAACTGTAAACTGCAACCCTACAGTTGCTTTGGACAAGGAAATGGGCATTATCAATTTGATAAAATAAAAAAAAATCACACACATATCATACATACATATATGTACACACACATCTATTCCTGGCTGAGAATTTGGATTTTGGCGGGAAACTGGCAAGATTAAACTGCGTTTTTTCCCCCCTCTTAAAGCATTGAGGTGCTATACCTCTGACACGGGCGCCCCCAATGACACACTTCATCATGAAAAGAAGGGCGATTTCCCTCCCCCCACCTCAAAAAAAACAAAACACGCGTGTCTGGAGAACGTCTGAAAAGTCCCCGCCTCAAGAAAAAAGCGGGAAATCTCACCTGGAGGAAATATCGCGAGAACTCAGGCAGCCCTTGTGAGTCCTTAAGAGGGTGGGAACGATGGGGAAAGGGCCTTTCGTCGGTGGAGCTGTCACTTCCGGCTCTTTTGCGATGCCGCCATATGCGGGGCAGTTGACACCCCCCCCTCTCCAATCCGCCTAAGCACTCTTTCCCAGCCCCGACTACAGTTTCCATCATCCCCCACTTGGCTAAGCGGCGTACGATGAGGACGGTCCTGAACACGGTCATGCTAAGTTCTTATTTCTTTCACCCGTGCCTGGCTTCCACCCTCCACTCAGCGACCCAACATCGCCGCTCGTGTAGGGTTGCAATCGAAGAACTCTTATCAGCCCCACCTCCTCAGCCTCCAAGTCTGCTGTAGTGGGCGCTTTTGCCTCCTCTCGGCTTCCGTAGTCAGCACTTCCGGCCTTCTGGGTTAGGCTCACCGGAAGCGGCGGAAAGGGTGGGGGTCGGTCCGAAGGAGCCGTCAAGATGGTGAGTCGTTCTGGGAGGGGGGCGATGAGGAGGGCCCCCCCCAAAGGGCCGGAGGTTGGCCTGGAAGCCCAGCCTGCGTCTATCCTGGCCGCGCTGACAGCCCGGGGACCCTCCAGCTGCGTGGGACAACAACTCCCATCATCCCCACCCAGCTGGGAGGGTGGCATTGGGGCTCCTCTTCGGTGGGTGGGGGGGGGGGGGGTTCAATCTGGCTCCAGCCCCTCAAATTCAGACAGGCCGTAAATTGGCTGCATTGAATGAGCCCCTCCCCCTTCCCCTCTCTCCCCCCCCAGGAAGAAAACATTCAATTTTGGTCATTTTCCATAAATATTCTGCTTCTTACTTCAAATTATATACTATTATATATGTGTGTGTGTGTATACACACACACACACACACACACACACACACACACACATAGAAGACATATATATATGTGTGTGTGTGTCTGCTTCTTTTTTTACTAATATACCTGAAAAAATTAAAATCTCGGGTGTTTTCCCGCGCCATGTTAAATAAGTTAGTTAAAATGTTTAAAATTCTGGTTAAAATCCTAGCTTAAAATCTTCTAAAAATCCTTACAGAGCACTCTGCAAGGTCCTTTAAAACCTTAGCTAAAATTCTAAAAATGTAAGGATTTTTAGAAGATTTTAAGCTAGGATTTTAACCAGAATTTTAAACATTTTAACTAACTTATTTAACATGACGCGCGAAAACTATATATATATATATGTCTGCCTAATATGCAGGCAGCCCAAGTTCGAATCCAAGTAAGAGTATGGCTAGCTGAAGAGAGCTAAATAGCTTGAAATAGATCTGTACTAGTCTCCTTTTTTTTCTTTATCAGCGAAATATAAATTTGGTATAAAATAGTTTGTCATGAATGCGACTGCTTGACGGCTCCTGGATTGGAGCTGAAAGGCGAAAGGGATGCAGTATGCTCCCTCCCACATGCTGGGGCAGACCAGGTGTCTCGATAGAAAAACACTTTATATATATATAAAGTATATATGTATATATATATATGTGTGTGTATGTATGTATGTATGTATGTATGTATGTATGTATGTATGTATATTTCCTTTATAGATTAGTTTCCCCCAGCCTAGGGGAAAATGGGAGTTTTAGCCCTTGGGTGCATTGGAGCTTCTTCAAGAAAAACAAATGAAACCAATTATAGGGAAGAGCTCGGACCTTTGGCCTCCAAACCAATTACACCTTAATTTTAAATTCTGAAGCATTGGAGTTCCGTGCGGCCGATTGTGCTTAGATCTGGCAGCAGGCTTCATTCTTAGACATTTAGACGTTTACAATTCTTTTGATGTTTCAAAGTAACGGATGTGGTGCGATGCTCCATTATTTTGTTATCAAGTTAATATCTCAGTGAATTTTGCGGTAAGATTGAGCTCCAGGAGTTTCTCTCCGTCTTCTGACTCTCCTGCTTCACCTTCCTGGTAGTCCTGGTCATCTGCCTGCAACACAGACGGTCCTCGACTTACGACCACAATGGAGCCCTGTTGCTAAGTGGGCCATTTCTTAAGTGAATTTTGCCCCGTTGTACGACCTTTCTTGCCACCGCTGTTAAGTGAATCACCGCAGTCGTTAACATTAGTAACACGGTCGTGAAGTGAATCTGCCTTCCCCATCTTGTCAGAAGGTCGCAAAAAGGGATCACGTGATCCCGGGACACTCCAGCCGTCATAAATACAAGTCAGTTGCCCAAAAAAAAAAATCTCAATTTTGATCATGTGACCGCGGGGATGCTGCAACGGTTGTAAATGTGAAATACGGTCCTAAGTCCCTTTTTTCAGTGCTGTTGTAACTTTGAATGGCCACTAAATGAACGGTTGTAAGTCGAGGACTACCTGTAACTCACCTGCTTCCGTGATGTGTAAGGCAACAGCTTATCTATCATGATGGTGCTTGGCTAACCCTGGGAAGTTTTACGATCAACCTGTGATATGAGCCACTGTGTGTAACATCCTAATAGGAAATAGTCGGTAACGTTGAGAAGAAGCGAGAATAAGTGCTAGTATTTATTTGTACAGTGCATTTTCTCCGTGGAGGCCTTTAGTTGCAAAAGGGCCATTGAGTCATAAATTATTACAGTATTTGGTATCAGGTAAGAACTGATTAGCTTCAGGAAGGCCAGTTTTGTGTGTATGTTTGCAGACATCCTTCTGGGAATTTCAGAAAAGGGTGGAGCTGTCATTTGGGGTGTCAGGCATGTGAGAATTTTCATAGTCAAACAAGGTTGTTTTTAGACTGCATGGCTGCAAAGGAGCTTGAGAAGATTGGACTTTGCAAAGTCTTCAGATCCCAGTAGATCCCAGATCCCAGTAGAATGCTCGGACTTGAGGATGGAATTTCAGCAGTCGGCTCTTCCTCCATCTTTCTGAGATATCAGCTTCAAAAGCAATAAATTAGGAAGTTCTTAAAATCCTAAATGGGGTGAAATGACAATCAAACGAAAATCCAAGTTTTAGAAAATGGGATTGAAGCTGATGTCCATGGTTCTTCATCATTTAATATCCCAGGCCTTTTTTTTCATGTGGCAGCTATACGGAAAGCATTCATAAAGCATTTTTCATTATATTTGTCTAGGATATTTTGGGTCATTTCCAACCCATGCCTGCCTACACAAAGAACTCTTTCCATTGCTAAAATGAGCAGAATCCGCACTGAAATTTGCAAACCTGCTCTTTTTACCAAATATTTTTACCATAGATTGTAAAATATACGGTGTAAGTTTTTTATGGCTTATTCTGTAAACAGGTTAAAATGGGAAACTGCTGGGAGAGTTGATTGGATAACCCGTTACTTGCATAAATCAGATTTATTTTTAACATTTCCTTTGCTAACATTCAGATTTCATTGGTGATTTTGCCTATTAATTTGGCTTTGAGATGTTTCCTTTTCTGTTGCTTTCTTTTAATTTAACACTATTCATGTCTCACCCCTATTTTTTTCCATCCCCATCTCCACCCATGCTGCCCCACATCCTTTGCTCTTGTCTGCAATCAACCTCTTCATCCAATAAGGCTGGGCACAGAGTAAGTTGGTTCATCTTGGCCTCTTGCTGACGGTGGTGGTGGTAGGTGGTAACTCCTTTTAGCGGCTTTCAAGGTGGCAGCATTTAAAGGCTCTTGAAGTCAAAGCTTTGCCTTGTTTCAATCACCCTGCTTTAACTCCTTCTTTTCCAGTCTGGTGTCATCCAGCATTTCCAACTCGTCTGGAGGGCACCATGTTGGCTGGGGAATTCTGGGAGTTGGAAGTCCATAGAGCTTAAAAGAGTTGCCATGGTTGAGAAACATCTCCCTAACATCCTCAAGGTGCAATCTCTTCACCCTTAATAAAATCAACCATAGAGCCATGCGATTGGCAGGTGCCACCTTGTAAAGTCAGAAAGTTGGCGATTGTCAACCTGTCCAGTAGTGGCACAGCCACCCAGCAAGATACACGTGTAATATACATATATAGGGTACAAACACCCAGGCTTCCCTCTAGAATCCTGCCATTCTTTACCAGAGGCCAACCGAGGAAAGAGGGCCAGCCTAGAGCTAATTTTCAAGCCTGCAGGAGCTGCTTTCTTTAGCGGCCTTTGGTGCAAAAGGCATCTATTTACAATGGAATACTTCAAAGAATGGGATTTTTTTTTCCTGAAAAAGTAGCTGTTTATAATCCACAAGTCCACTTGCAATTGTCTCAAATTTTACAGCCTGTTTGTTCGAATGGGGAAGAAAATGGGGGAAAAAATCTGGAGCAAGTTATATTTTTAAAATTCAAAAAAACAATTTGGATTAAGTCGTTGTTTTTAACTTTCCTCCAGTGTAATGTGTCATCATCCTCATGATTTTATCTTCAGTGGTTTTTTTTTAAAAAAGGAATACACAATTGCAACGGGATTTGCAAAGCTTCTAGAAGTTAGCAGGTTGGCCTTGATTTGAGGGGCATTTCTTTCTCTCCAGTGCTGGAAAGCTGGTTGATGCGTTGCTAGAACCTTAACCGCTTCTTCTTTCTTGTCCTAAGTTGGTGTTAGTGTTGGGCGACCTTCATATTCCTCATCGTTGTAACAGCCTGCCGGCTAAATTCAAAAAATTGCTGGTTCCGGGCAAAATCCAGCACATTCTTTGCACCGGGAACCTCTGCACGAAGGAGAGCTATGACTACCTCAAGACCTTGGCTGGAGACGTCCACGTCGTGAGGGGAGATTTTGATGAGGTAATGACGTTTGATGAGGCTGCTGAAAACGGGGGTTTCTGTCTGGGTAATTTATCAAGCTGTTCTGTATCCCTGAAGGCTGAACTAATTCTTTTAAACTAATTCTTTGCCTAAGCCACATCCATATGTTATCTTGCTTCCCAGAACTTAAGAAACATTTTGGCCTTTTTTGTCCAGCTAATGGTTTCTGAATATTTCCATCATGTTCATCTTCTGCATGTACATAAACAGAGGGATAGAGTCACGATCACGTGAAGTGTTAATACCACTTTATAAGGCCTTGGTAATAAGGCCACACTTGGAATACTGCATCCAATTTTGGTCACCACGATGTAAAAAAGACATGGAGATTCTAGAAAGAGTGCAGAGAAGAGCAACCAAGGTAATTAGGGGACTGGAGGCTAAAACATACTATGAACAGTTGCAGGAACTGGGTATGTCTAGTTTGATGAAGAGAAGGACTAGTGGAGACATGATAGCAGTGTTCCACTATCTCAGGGGCTGCCCCAAAGAAGAGGGAGTCAAGCTATTCTCCAAAGCACCTGAAGGCGGGACAAGAAGCAATGGGTGGATACTAATCGAGGAGGGAAGCAACCTAGAACTAAGGAGAAATTTCCTGACAGGGAGAACAATTAATCAGTGGAACTACTTGCCTCCAGAAGTTGTGAAAGCTCCAACACTGGAGGTTTTTAAGAAGAGATTGGACAACCATTTGTCTGAAGTGGTGTAGGGTTTCCTGCCTAAGCAGGGGGTTGGACTAGAAGACCTCCAGGGTCCCTTCCAACTCTGTTATTCTGTGTTTTGATTCACCCACTTTTGCGACTTCATTACAAGGGACAGTGACTGTTCTCTCGTCCCTGTTCTCTCCCCCCCCCCAAAAAAGAGAGGACACTTTCCTCTGGAAAGGTTGAAAGAGGGTAACGCCAAGGCTCTTTCCTGCTGGTCTCGTTTTCATGCTCTGCCTTCAATCCTAGAACTGGAACTATCCCGAACAGAAAGTGGTTACTGTGGGGCAGTTTAAAATTGGGCTAATCCACGGCCATCAAGTCATTCCCTGGGGAGACGTGGCCTGCCTCGCTCTCCTCCAGAGGCAGTTTGACGTCGACATCTTGATTTCGGGCCACACGCACAAATTCGAGGCCTTTGAACACGAAAACAAGTTCTACATTAACCCGGGGTCGGCCACAGGAGCCTACAGCCCTTTGGAAAAGTAAGTTATACTTTTATTATGTGTAGACACCTTCCCCCCCCCCCCCCGAACTTCAGACTCCTGACACTGTCAGCAAAATAACGGGTTGGGTTTTTTTTCCCCCTTTCGGTTCCTTTCCCAGCAACATCGTCTCTTCCTTTGTGCTGATGGACATCCAGGCTTCCACGGTTGTCACCTACGTCTATCAGCTGATTGGCGACGACGTGAAAGTGGAAAGAATCGAGTACAAGAAATGTTAAAAAGCAAGTGGGCCTCCCCTAACTCATTCCAAGCTTTTTTTTTTGCAATATGCACCCCCAACAGTCCGCAGTGTTTGCAGCCTTGCGAGTTGAAAGGCAGCTTCTTATCCTGCCGTAGGCAACCAAGTTTACTTCCCCTGAACTTCTGGCAAAACCTGTCTTGGTTTAGCTTGTTTGTTTTTTTTCCCCTTTTGCCCTCCAAAATCGCTCCTTGCTTGTAAATACTATTCAACATGCGCAGCAGAATTCTACCTGTTCATGTGAACTGTCTTACAATAAATATATTATTCAACTTCGATTTGATAAAAGATTATCATCATTAAGATTATTTACGGCAGTGTTTCAGATACGTTGGTCTTCAGCTTGCTTCATCTCCAAGCCACGTGGCCCTGGAGAGCCTTAAAGTGCGTAAAACAGATCTGTGCCTTAAATGTCGATGAAAGAGGAGAGCCACATCTTCACAGATTTATTGATTTATATTTATTTATTAAAACATGGAGATTCTTTGCATCTCTCATTATATGAAAACTTTCAGTAATTAGTATAAGGGGCTATCAGATACATTTTGTATAAGCACCCATGAAATGTGGAAACCATGTTTCCTGTGATAAAATTAGCATATGTACACAGAGAAATGACACACTGATCCCATTAGTCTCAAGTAGAATTGAGGCTAAAATCTTAAATTTTGTATATCCAGATAAGGTTATCAAGAAATACCATCTTCTTTGGGGGAATTTACAACAGAGTTTCTGCCGGGTCACTGAAGTACATCTAGAAGGAGATAAAAAATGACCAAGGTAAGATCCAAGGATCAGATAAAGATAAATTTCTCTTAAAACTACATTATACACCTGACAGCCAGTGGAAGAAGGTGCTTTTGGCAGAATAGCACAATCCTCCCAAATAAGCCTTTCAGTCTGATTTAAAACATAAATCTGAGTACCTTCACCACCTCGGAAGCCGTCCGTTTTGACGGAAGAGACGTTTCGGGAGTCTGAAGATATTCTGTTATTAGAGACGCTGCATCCTCCATCCTGCACAGCCACAAAAGGAAGCAGGCGAGGGATTAGGGTTCATTTTGTATATTGCAAGGCACATATTGCATAGAAGAGTCCTCTTCTTTTCCTTAAAATATCGGAAAGCTCAGCTTCCCGGAAAAATTTCCCCGGGCAAGGGTCAATTAGCTCGGCACGTACTTTCCCAAAAGAAAGGCGTGTTATAAATTTAATATAAAAAATGCTGGGGCTTCAGAAGTGTGCTTTCCCCTTCCAAACAGAGCCATCAATCCAGAAAACGTCTCCCCTCTTCCCTTGCCTACCTATTCTTAGCTACAAGTTTTTCCACCAAGCCTTTCACTTGCCCAGGATGCCTGTCTTGTAATTTTAATAACGGGAAATAGCTGACATCTGCCAAGTCCTTTTCGGCCTGGTGGAGGATGTGGTCCAGGATGGAACTCCTTACCTACAAAGCAGGGAGAAAGTTACTCTGGAAGACCAGCCGGTCAACCCTGCCAGGTTGGCTTTAACCCCCCGCTTTGCCTACCTGTGAAGCCACACCGGCCGCTTCACCCAGGCTCAGGTGTTCTCCTGTCTGCTGCAGCACCTGCTCCAGATCGGACGAGGACAGAAAGGCCTACCCGGAGGGAAAAACGGGGTCACTTCTCTTCAAATAAGCGTGTGAAATCACATCACGCGGCTGAAATGCTTTGGATCTCGTCACGGGAAGAGTGTCACGACTGGGAATTGCGATCGCCACGCGTGGGGAGAGGCCCTGGGTTTGGGAAGACGGGCGCCTTCGCTCACCTGAATCTGCTGGGCTCTTTTCTCCCGCTGAGGAATCAGCACCAGGCATCCTAAAGCCAAAGCCATCAGGTCCAACTGGGCGTATCGCTTCGCGATCCCAGTTAAATCCAGATCTGCCAAGACGGGGCACCTTGTTGGAGGCGGAAAAGGGTTACGTCAGCCATAAAAAATCAACTCGCCAAAGAACCAGATTTATAAGTCTAAGACTCGATTCTTTCCATTCTTGCTTTCTGCTATTCTGTCTTACAACATGTTTTCCAGGCTGAGCCCCAACATGGACTGCATGCTCCCATATATTAACAATTCTTAGTAGATAAAGAGTTGGCTGACCGAGAACAGCTTCTCTTTTTATTACTGATAAGAAAAAACTGATTTCCCCTCCTATGTTACCTATACTTGGTTCTTTATACAGTAAAAAGAAATAATCACAGTGAAACAATCCCCCTCATCATCTCATCTGGCCTAAGGAGCCTCTCTTCCAATTACTACAAATAATTTTATATTTTGGTGTCCGGGTCTCACACACAAACATCCCCTCTCCAGAATGTTCCTCTGCTTACATCAGAAGCATCTTGAAACTCCCGCAAAAGGCTTCTAGTTGATCGGGATTGGGTGGACCTAAAGCTTTAAAAGAAAGACACACAAAGAGAAAAAGTTGCTGAATTTGTGCCATCGCTTCTTTTCTTTTCCATATGATGGCAAGAAGGTAACCAAAAAACCCGAAAGACTCACCAGAAAGAATTGGGGCCAGAATGACATTCTGCCAGGCTCGGCTGTAATTTGGGATCTGCCGAAAGTTAAAAAGCATCTTAAAATTCCAGAGAGAACAAAACTGAACCAATCAGTCACTTGTGAAACACGAGAACCCCTTTCTGTTGGTGAATTTATGATTATTTCACTAAAATAAGAGATTAGAAAGATTTTGTGCTTGACATGGTAGAAATTTACGCACCGTCCATAAGGAATAAATGCCAGAGATCTCCACTAAAACTTTCCTCAAATAGTGAACCTGAAATGCAAGAGAGTAAAATACGTGAATAGTATCTTGTTGAACACAATGACAAAAAATTGAGTCCCCCCCCCCTTTACATAATATTTGGGCTGCTTGGCAATAATGGTGAGGATTCATTACGCAAGTCAAAAATTGCCAGAATCCTACAGGCAAATCTCCCTAACTTGCAATCAGTAAAAGAACTTGGTGCTGATACGTTTGCAGTTTAAAAGTAACACAGTGCAAAAAAAAAGAAAGAAAGAAAATAGGATTAAGACAGAAAAGGAGAATGTTTTTAATGTTAGAAAGGCCTCAAAATAGCTTACAATAACCAGCTAATAGTTCTAAGGGAGGAGAAAACAGTGATTTCTCTTAATCTTTCTCGGCTAAGCAGATGACAAGACTCTCTAAATAATCCTTTTCCTTAAAAAAAAGCACACCTCCACTTATCTTAATGTTTTTTTCTTTTAAAATTTCTCCCCCTCTTAGCATATCAGAGTTAAGCAAATGTAACTAAAAACCTGTGCAGGCATGGGTACGGCTTTTTTCATTCTGCAGTACCATGTTTTCCCGAAAATAAGACCCTGTCTTTTTTTTTTTTTGAACCCTGAAATAAGTGCTTGGCCTTACTGCCATGCCCTCAAAAGCCCAATTGGGCTTATTATCAGGGGATGTCTTATTTTGGATACAGTAGAATACTCGGTATTTCTTAGCGCTCCATAATTCGTCCCGGGTGGGGTAGGATGGGGGGGGGGGGAGAGGGGAAACGGAGAAAAAGAAAGGGCCTTACCATTTTGAACCCCATTAGCTTCTGTAGCAAACCGTTCCAGAGCACAGGATCGTGGACTTTGTATTCCAAGGAAAGCTCAGCCACCAGTTTGACTGCCTGAAAGTGGAAGCTTTTGTGGGAAAGCGCAGGATTGAAAGCCTATTCTGCGTCTGCCTTCCCCCGACCTCGGCAATTTTAAATTCTGTGGGCTTCCAACTCCCAGCATTCCCCAGCCGGCCTCACCTTGGGTTCGTGGCTGTGATTTTTCCACAGCCCTTTAATCATTCCCTCCTTCAGTGCCCTGTGGAAGGATTCATAGGTATAAGGAATATTCAGGACTTCCAGCTGGGCCAGGTAAATGAAGCATTTCATGAAGTTCCTGTTAGGAAGCAGAAAAACAGAACGTGTAAGGGGCTGGTGAGAGAGGAATTTTTTTTTTTGCTTTAATTTATATGCCGCCCTTCTCCTGAGACTCAAGGCGGCTTACAATGCGTTAAGCAATAGCCTTCATACTTTTGTATATATTATACAAAGTCAGCTTATTGCCCCCCACAATCTGGGTCCTCATTGTGAGACTCTTAGCCAGTGAATGTAAAATGGATCACTCTCTTGATTTCACTAGGCGAGCCAGGGTCTGATGAGGAGCACCAGCTTACATTCGGGGGAAGATACTCTGCCAAATTTAAACAGGTTATAAATTCCCTTTAATATAGTTTAAGGAACTCACTTAGATTTTAAGGCTAAGTAGAGTTAGAACCAACTAGAATTGTCCGTTGGGTACCTAACCAATGCTTGGTTACAATTACAACTGAATTCCCATTTGGTGCCTGAGCCCAGTCCAGGTGGGTTTTTTTTGTTTTTTTTGGAAAATGCCACTAAGCTCACCCCAAATGGGAGACGACCCCTCCTCACCTGACTTTCTTCATGGGTTTTTTGAAGAGCGATTCAATGGCGGCAGGATCCGCCAGGAAGAGAAGACACCGTAGAGCTCGGCTCCGGTGGGCGAAAGTCAGCTGGTTGACCCCTATGGGCTGAAATTAGGGGAGACGATGTGTCTTTGACGGTTTCATGAAAGCCAACTCTTCATTCAGTCTATGGGGTGGGTGGGGGGTGCTTGGGGAGAGAACTGGGCAGGCCAATTTAAGCCTTAACGCTTCTCGAATTGCAGTTTGTTTGCACTGGCCTTTATGGCTCAAGAGAGGTAGACAATATTAGGGCCAGGAAGAACATGTTTTGCCAGGTGCAAATCCTGTCCAGGGTTGTTGTTGTTGTTTTTTTTGACTGCTTTTTGTGACGGTGGCCCTTGTGGATTGAAAACTGCATGCACAGTTTTAAATGTTATCCCTAAGGAGGCCTCCATCATACCCCACAGATTTACTGTTAAGAATTTCCTTGCAAACTTTGCATGCTCATGGAGAAAATACTATTTCAAAAGATGAATTATTGTTCCTCAACTTTGGCCATTTTAAGAGGGGTGGGCTCCAGTTCCCAGAATCCTGGGAATTGAAGTCCACCCCTCTTAAAATGGCTAAGGTTGAGAAACACGGAATTATAATATAGGAATTAATTATAATATAGGCACTTACAGAGGTTGCAGAAACGGCGCATTCGTAAAGAATCCTTAACTGATTATCCGCTGGGTAAAGCTGAAGAAGGTATATGATTCTGCAGAAACAAAAATAGAACATTTTCTTTTCTCAACTATCTTGACCATCATTTTTGCAACCGTCATCAATACGAATTTTGATCATGGGGATGCCACAACAGCCATATGTGTGAAAAAACCAATCCCCCCCCCCAGTTCCGTTATAAGACTGAATGGTCACAAAAAAAAAACCCGTTGTAAGTCAAGGACTCTCTCTACTTTACCCAGCTGCATTCTAAAAGATTGGGAATTTGCAGGCTCCGTGCTACCAATTACACTGCTGAAGGGAAAAACACCCACACAGAGGCAACCTTGTGCTAGCCAGCCATAGCTTACCGCTTCAAGTCTTCATCCTCTTGAACATTTTCCGAACCCTCAAAGGCCTCCTTTTAAAATAAAGTGAAAAAAAACAAACAAAACCTCTGATTTTGGGAAGCTGAATTCTGATAACAAAGTCAATTAAATGAAGGATATTCTTCCTTGGAAGGGTGACATGATAGCAGTGTTCCAACATCTCAGGGGCTGCCCCAAAAGAAGAGGGAGTCAAGCTCTTCTCCAAAGCACCTGAAGGCAGGAGAAGAAGCAATGGGTGGAAACTCATCAAGGAGAGAAGCAACTTAGAACTAAGGAGGAATTTCCTGACAGAACAATTAACCAGTGGAACAACTTGCCACAAGAAGTTGTAAATGCTCCAACACTGGAAATTTTTAAGAAGATGTTGGATAACCATTTGTCTGAAGTGGTGTAGGGTTTCCTGCCTGGGCAGGGGGTTGGACTAGAAGACCTCCAAGGTCCCTTCCAACTCTGTTATTCTATTCTATTCTATTCTATTCTATTCTATTCTATTCTATTCTACCATTCCCATTCCCATTCCCATTCGACTCTGCTTTTTCTATGCCAGGTCAACATTCTCTCCCTGAGCATTTGTATGTAGGTTTTCTAATTTAATTTAGTTTTGCTGCATGTTAGAATGCCTTTTCAAGGATTTTATTCATCTGCTTTTATTGGTTCACCGGAGTTTGGAAATTAATGTTTTTGAGCAACTATTGCTATTGGGTAGATGAAAAGCATTGTGATATCATTACCGGGCAGGTGGTTCAGGCAGTTCCTCCCTGGGTGTGAGCTACAGAATAAAATCAGATGCCTTTTAATCTAACTGCTCAGACTAACATGCCTTTCATGTTAGTCTGAAAAGGTGCTGGCTCCAGAAATTTGCCAGGCTGGGATGATGGACAGGTTTAGCAAAGAAAAGATGTTCTCAGCAGCTGCTGATGCTGAAGGCCAGAAGGAACTGTCCGTGGTACCACCTCAGAGCACCTGGCTAGCCAGACAGAAGAGGCTGAACTTACACCTGTCGGGAGGACGTTGGGACACAGCCATCTCTCCAGCAAAGTGTCCCAGATTTTCTTCAGATCCAGGTTGTTGATTTGTGCTATTTCTCTAGCAGCAGCATGGATATCTAGCCAGAGAGAAGAGGACAAGTTTGTGAAGGACAACATCTTCCTTCATGTCGGACTTGTCTCAGCTTGAACCTCCAAGTAAGAAGGATCCTTCACTCTATTTGGGTGAGAAAGTTCACTAGAAGTCAGGTGACTTAATGTAAATTCACTTGACTTCTAGTAAAGTTTACCTTTCTTACCCAAATGGAGCGAAGGATCCTTCTTACTTAGAGGCTCAAGTTGAGACAGGTCTGACTCTTCGCTCACTTCTACCCTATTACGCTCGAAGGTCGTTCTTGCCAAGAGGCCGAGCTTGAGCTCTGTTGTGGCCCACTGACGGCCAGCAGAGCTGGCAGTGGAGTCAGACAGTGAGGAGATTGGGGAGGAACTTGGCCCAGTCCTGGGGTCTGGGGAAAGCTCGGACGAGCCCTCTGAGGGAGATAGGCAGCAGCAAGGCAGAGGAACAGCTGGAGCCCGTTCCCATTGTGCGCATGCGGAGCTGCCAGAAGACAAGAACAATTAAGAAAGCAGGATCGACTCGGGAGTAAGGCCACACCTTGGAGATAATTGGCCCCTCCCATAGGACATAAAAGAGGAGTGAATGGGATGTGGGCTTTTGAAGAAGCAATTAGTTCATTTGCTCGATTCAAGACTGGAAAGTTCTGTTGGTGACTATAATAGAATCTGTGCCAAGTTTGGCCTTGCCCTGCGTTGGGAAATTGGTTCTCTGGCAGCGTTCCAAGGGAGATGCAGTGGGTGTTGATGAACATTCCTCTGAAAGACTGTTTGCCAAAGCTTTGTTGACTGTGAATGACAGTCATTCACAGTCGTTTAAATAAAAGAGGTTCGGCTGGCATTAAGACTTTGTTTTGTGCTTTCTAAGGAAGCCTGGCTCAGAACAAGCTCACCCGGATAGTCTCTCCCAGTTGGGTTTTGGATTCTCTCCACGATGCTGCTGTGCTGATAAAGCAGAATGGTCAGATTGGCGGGTTTGCCGAGGAGCTTCTGATGGTCCTCCGAGTTCAGTTTCTGGGCTGCCAAAACGGCTTCTGTGGCCGCCTTCTTGTGCTGCCCCTGCAGCTTCTTCAGATGCACCTGGACCTTCTCGCGAGACTCGTCCTTTGAAAAGAAGGCAGAACGTTCACTGCAGTTGGGACGCCACTTCCCGCTGCCCTTGTTCACCTTTGCACCTGCTTTTCGTAGCCATTCAGGTGGAAGAGGTGAGACAGCCCACCTGTTCAGGAGGAGCCAGCTTCATGCTCTGAACTGTCTTCATCGTTAATCATGAAACACGGGAAGAGTCTAAAACCACAGGCCCATCTTTGTTCACCCCTTTCCCCGTTATGGGTCTGCAGCAGGGGTGAAATCCAGCAGGTTCTGGAGAACTGGTAGCGGAAATTTTGAGTAGTTCGGAGAACTGACAAATGCCACCTCTGGCTGGCCCCAGAGTGGGGTGGGAATGGGGATTTTGCAATATCCTTCCCCTGGAACTAACTACCCTGTTTCCCCAAAAATAAGACCGGGTCTTATATTAATTTTTGCTCCAAAAGACGCATTAGGGCTTATTTTCTGGTTAGGTCTTATTTTGGGGGGAAATACGGTACTTAATGCACCCATCTGGCTGACAATCTTTAACTGGGGCTTATTTTGGGGGGTAGGGCTTATATTACAAGCATCCTGCAAAATCATGCTAGGGCTTATTTTCCGGTTGGGTCTTATTTTCGGGAAAACAGGGTAGTTAGTTAGCACTTCATATTATACATCTCTGTGTGCAATTCTAAGCTGTTCTCTTAAAAACATGGAAAGGTTTCTCCGTTACCGTTACTGTTGAATTCTTCAGCCATTTTTCTGCTAAGCCGAGGCATATTTTCAAAGTCTGGACCTTGGTGGGCCCTGGAGGTAAAGCAGAGAAAAGAACCATGTCCATAAAGTCCACAGTTTCCTGTCTGGGTTTCAACGTCCAGCCTCTCCGGACAGAGAGGCAGAAGACTGACATTGGTAGGACGCAAGAGATCTGCTATGGACAATAAGTTGGCTTCCTAAGGATCTATAGTTGAGAGGGTGGATCTCATGGGAAGCCAAAAAGGGATTTTGGTTTGGCTCGGTCTGCTGAGGAACTCCTGCCAATGGTAGGTTATTCAGTAAAGAGGAAACCATGGCTTAACCCAGTTTTGAAAGGTAAGGTTTCCCTGTCCACTCGTGTCCAGTTTTAGGGACCGGTGCTTATCTCCATTTCCTGGATGAAGGATCCAGTGTTGTCCAAAGACGCTTCCATGGTCATGTGGCCGGCATGACTACTCTGTTTCCCCTAAAATAAGACATCCTCTGATAATAAGCCCAATCGGGCTTTTGAGCGCATGCACTAAAATAAGCCCCCCCCCGAAAATAAGCCCTCCCTGAAAATATTTAAACACATGCACAGCCGCCCCGACATTTCCTCTGGTTTCCTCCACGCGCCCCAAAATAATAAGACCTCCCGAAAACATGGCCAACCGCTTATTTCGGGGTTCAAAAAAAATATAAGACAGGTCTTATTTTCGGGGAAACACATTATATGCCGTGGCACACAGAACGCTGTTCCCTTCCCACTGAAGTGGTGCCTATTTATTTGCTTCTGAACTGCTAGATGGGCAGGAGCTGGAGCAAGGAACGGGAGCTCACCCCCATCAAGCGGTGCTTGGGTCTCGAACTGCCAACCTTCCGGTCGACAAGCCCAGCACCTTAACTGCTCGCCACTCTTAAACCAGCATCTCTCTGGAACCAACCTGTCGGAAGCTCTTGAGCTATCTGGTGGGCTAGCGCTGTGGCCCATTCTGGCTTAGTGATCGACAGTAAGTAAGACTGGACAGCCTGCATGGTCTCCTCTGTTCTCTTGTCCACTGGCCACAACTGACCACTGGTGGCTGCTGCTAACAGCTTTGGCTTCAGTTGTTCTTGGAAAATGTGGTTCACGGCAGAGACATAGAGGTTATCCAAGGAAACCTGAACAAAAGTAAACAGTGGTGAAACAGGCACCTGTGTCCCAAACTTCATAAGCAACCAACTTTTTCAGCAAACTTCATTTTATATCTTTCTGGGACAGACTTAAGCCCCAGCCTCGGCTGGAAAGTTTGAGCCAAAGCTACCAAGCTTCTTCAATCAAATCCTTCCATCAAAAGCCTCTTTCTCCACCCTTTCATGGAAGCCTTCGCGTTTCCTCCTTCAGGGACTTAAAAGAAGAACAAAAAGGGAGACCTTGTTACCTTCATGACTTTGCATATCAAAAGCAGCTTCGGGAAGGATTCCTGATTGATTTCTGCAGCTGTGGGGAAAAAAATAAAATAAATAAAACCAGCAGCGATTTGGGGAAGGAGCCAGCGCTCCAAATGCAGCTCTTAAATCCTAAGACTTTTTTTTTTAAAAAAATCCCTTTATGAATAAGTTTTGTTTGTTTGTTTTTTACAAAATGTGCGCTCACAAACGATCTTCCAGAAGCACTGTGAAGTTTTAAAGAAGATCAGATGGAAAGGCAGACGGGTTTGAGCAGACGGGGACAGGCGAAGCCCCTGATCGAAGAGAAATTGCTGTTCCAGATCACCAGGAGGGGAGAGTCTCTTGTAGGATGCCAAGTGTTTGAGGAGCATGTTGGCCTGGGAGCAACAGACAAAACAATGTGAGTTTCTTCTCTGGTTATTTTAAAAAGAAGCTATAGATACACACAATAAAAGCAACTGGATGACATTACACTCAATATTTACACAGCCATTGAAGTGTCCTAATGGAACGCACAGGGCAGCATTCTTGGGACAAAACATGGTCTACTTGGTAAACCAGATCAGAAAAGAAGGAAGGAAGGGAAGGGGGAAGGAAGGAAGGAAGCAGAGAGAGAGAAAAGAGGAAGGAAGGGGAAGGGGGAAGGAAGGAAGGAAGCAGAGAGAGAGAAAAAAAGGAAGGGGAAGGGGGAAGGAAGGAAGGAAGCAGAGAGAGAGAAAGGAAGGAAGGAAGGGGAAGGGGAAGGAAGGAAGGAAGCAGAGAGAGAGAAAAGAAGGAAGGAAGGGGAAGGGGGAAGGAAGGAAGGAAGCAGAGAGAGAGAAAAAAAGGAAGGAAGGGGAAGGGGGAAGGAAGGAAGGAAGCAGAAGAGAGAAAGGAAGGAAGGAAGGGGAAGGGGGAAGGAAGGAAGGAAGCAGAGAGAGAGAAAAGAAGGAAGGAAGGGGGAAGGAAGGAAGGAAGCAGAGAGAGAAAGGAAGGAAAGGGAAGGGAAGGGAAGGAAGGAAAAGAAAAGAGAAAGAAAGAAGGAGAAGAAAGAAGCTTTTTCTCCACCGTGGGAACGTGAAGATACGTGGACTTCAACTCCCAGAATTCCCCAGCCAGTCCTGGGATAACAAAGCTCCCCTTTTCTTACCCAGTTCAGTGGGAAGCCTGTGGCTTGACCTCCAGCTCTTTCGATCACCGTCAAAAGGCTTTCGATGATTTCATAGTTATACGGATCCACCTGGTTCCCCAATCAAAAGCAAAGTAGGTTGATCAATGATTTTGTGATTAGAGAGCCTCTTTCAAGCAGCTCACCCCTTAACTGGGGGTTAGGGGATCCTCTGTCCCGCCCCCCCTCAGCACCCCCATCCTCAAGCTCAAATATATCCCACCTTCCCCATGGCCTTTATTACCCTTTGCATTAACTGGCTTCGGATAACCATGATTGGGAAATTTTAAATCCCGGCTTAAATCAAACCAGCATCGTTCTTCCCTGCAAAACAACATTACGTTACCTTGTGGAGCATGGCGCTAAGGCTGGTCACCAACCCTGTGGTACTGCTAAGCAGCGGGATGGTCTTGACCGCTCTGGCCACCGCCAGGACGTGAGGCTCCTTCCCGGCCCCCACCTCCAATTCTCCTTTATCCCAGCTGGCATCCTGGAGCTGGGTTTCAATGTAGACCTGCAGGGCGGCGTCCGTATCTAAGTGGAAGGTTCTGAAACAGGAGAACAGATCAAAAGGGAGAAAGGACTTGGAATGGAGAGAAGGGGAGGGGAGGGGAGGAAAGAAAGGAAGGAGGGAAAGGGAAAAAGAAAGAAAGACGGGAGGGAGGGTGGGAGGGAGGAGGAAAGAGAAAGGAGGGAAAAGGAAGGAAGGAAGGAAAGGAGGGAGGGAGGAGAAAGGAAGAAGATGGGAATCAGGGAAGGGAAGGAAAGGAAGGGAGAGTGGTGGGAGGAAAAAAGGAAGGAGGGAAAGGGAAAAAGGAGGGAGGGAGGAGGAAGGAAGGAGATGGGAATCAGTGCAGGAAGGAAGGGGAGGGAAGGAAAGGAAAGGAAAGGGAGGGTGGGAGGAAAGAGGGAAAGGGAAAAGAAAAGAGGGAGGGAGGGAGGGAGGAAAGGAAGAAGGAAGGAAGGAAGGAAGGAAGGAAAAGAAGGAAGGAAGGAAGGGCCAAAGTTCCCTAATCAAATCAAATATTTGGTGAAATGTGATAATTTCTGTATAAGAAAGGTCAGGAAATGTGCCGCATGTAATTCCAGATTTTTCTTGATTTGTCCGAATCCAGTTTAAATTTGTCATTTTCAACGGAGAGAATGAAAGGGGGCTTCAGCTTCCTTACCTGCAGAAGTTCAGGATGAGGCTGGTATCTGCATTTGGGTGTTGAACCAGGGTCCTTAGAAGCTCCTTCTTCCTTACCGACGGCATCCGGAATATATTCTGGAAAGAGATCTTGCCCGCAAAACACCCGCGTCAGCATTCAGTTTAGCAAACAAAGGCCTTTGGGGACCCCCGTTTTCTAACCTATAATTTCAGGTCTCCAATTCTTGACTTCCAGGGATCAATGGTGACCTGATGTTCCCTCTTGCCTCCCCTATTTCTTTGGGGCAACCAAAAACAGGGACGAAGGCAGCAATACCTGACCATCTGTTTGGTTTTTAGTGCCAGACAAAGGCGGACATAAGCAGTTTCTGCAAAACCCGGGGGGGGGGCAGGGGGGAGAAACAGAAGTGGCTAGAATTACCCCATAATCTTTTATTCCAAACCTGAATATTTCAGCAAAGGGACTCACCCAGGGGTGAAATCCAGCAGGTTCTGGAGAAATGGTAGCGGAAATTTTGAGTAGTTCGGCGAACCGGCAAATACCATCTCTGGCTGGCCCCCGAGTGGGGTGGGAATGGAGATTTTGCAGTATCCTTCCCCCAGGAGTGGGGAGGGAATGGGGATTTTGCAGTATCCTTCCCATGCCACGCCCACCAAGCCACGCCCACAGAACCGGTAGGGAAAAAAAATTTGGATTTCACCACTGGACTCACCCCAAGTTTTCCGAGCGCGATGCCCCATTCGGCGTCCATGACCAAGTCCTCAAAAGCTTCTTTCTCCTGGGGGTCTTCATAGTGAAGAGCTAGTTGGGTTCCCACAATAGCCACAGCCTGGGGGAGGGGGGTTTGGGGAGAAACGGCACGGGTGGGCTGAGGAGAGGCCCACCAGCTCTGAAGTCCTGCCTCGTGCATCTTTTTCCGAACAAGCTTCACGGCTTACCAGGATCTTCTTGTAGTTCTGGGATGTTTGGTTGACGACGTCCCAGAGTTTTCCAAATACCACAGCTCTGGGCAAGAGGGTGCAGTAGCCAAAGGCCAGCTGATGATCCACACAGTGGCTGTTGAACACCTGTGGAAAAAAGAGAGCCCCCCCCACCGCCAATTACCGTATTTTTCGGAGTATAAGACGCACCTTAGTTTTTGGGGAGGAAAGTAAGAAGAAAGCTGACTGGCAGGTGGATCGGCCTCCTGGAATACCCCCAACCAGTTGTTCCTAGAGGTGAATTTTAGCGACAGGTTCCTTGGTTGTGAGCTCTGTGCCTTGCTTTTTTTTCTGCCTCTGAAACTTCTGAAACTTTGTTTCAGAAAAAACTTTTTTTCTTGCCTCTGAAAGCCTCCGAAACAGAGCTTCAGAAAAAAAAAGCCTCTAAAGTTCTGTTTGGAGGCTTTTTTTCTGAAGCTCTGTTTGGAGGCTTTTTTTTCTGAAACTCTGTTTGGAGGCTTCTTTTCTGAAGCTTCGTTTCGGGTGCTTTTTTTCAGCCTCTGAAACCTCTGTTTGAGAAGCTGGGCGGGGCTACATTCGGAGTATAAGACGCACCCAGATTTTCAACCTTTTTTTGGGGGGAAAAAGTGTGTCTTATACTCCGAAAAATACGGTAACTGAAACGATCCCCCCAAACTCCCTCACTTGCTCGCTCCCTCGACGGGCACCTGCTACAGACTCACCTTGTGCAACAAAGCCGTCACAATGCCCTGGATGAGCGAGGTCGAATTCTGCATCACTGCCAGGAAGAACGCGCGCACTTCCTCTAGCATCTCCTGGTCGTGCAGCTGACGGACACAAAACGAGAAGGGGGAACCATAACAGACGGTTTTTTAAAAAACCTATATCCCGCCTTTTTATTTTGGCAAGTTGCGCAAGGCGGCAAACAGATCCAACACACCTTCCGCCTCCTGTTTTGCCTGCTACAATAACCCTGTGAGTTGGCTTGGGCTGAGAGGGAGGGACTGGCCCAAAGTCACCCAGTCGGCTTTCATATCTAAGGAGGGACTAGAACTCACCATCTCCTGCTTTCTCGACTCAACCAAACCAGCTCTCTTACCTTTTTACTTAGCGTGACATCCATGTTGTTGGAGATCATGTGCTGAAAGAGGGAGCCGAAAGAGTAGGAGATCAGCCCTAAAGCCAGCTCGTACTGGCTGCCTTCTTGGAGGCTGCTAAGCAGAGCGAAGATTGTGTCCTTGCACAAACGGCAACTGCTTCTTCCTACAGCAAAAAAAAATAAAAAAATAAAAAAAAGGGAACTCTGGGAGTTGAAGTCCATGTATCTTAAAAGTTACACACTGCACCCTTGGCTGTCATTGAGGGTTTTCTTTCCAGCCACAGTTGCAGAAATATTCAAGTGTTCAAAAGGAGCAAGGGAACTCCATCTTTCCGCTGACGTCTTGCCCATTTAATCTCATGCATCTTGACTCAAACCCCACGAACTGTATGAGACAGCTCAGTCTACGTAATCCTGGAGTACCTTGTTCGAGCGGACAATACGCCAGGCTGGCAGATCCCAAAGGAGGGGAAGCTTTCCATTCTGCAAGAGAAGAGAATTTCTAACTGAATTTCACCCAAGGCCAGGGACGAGGTGGCTCAGACACTGAGCTTGTCGATCGAAAGGTTGGCAGTTCAGCGGTTCGAATCCCTAGTGCCGCATTACGGGGTGAGCTCCCGTGACTTGTCCCAGCTTCTGCCAACCTAGCAGTTCGAAAGCAGGTAAAAAAACGCAAGTAGAAAAATAGGGACCACCTTTGGTGGGAAGGGAACAGCGTTCCGTGCGCCTTTGGCATTGAGTCATGCCGGCCACATGATCACGGAGACGTCTTCGGACAGGGCTGGCTCTTCGGCTTTGAAACGGAGACGAGCACCGCCCCCTAGAGTCGGGAACGACTAGCACAGATGTGCAAGGGGAACCTTTACCTTTACCCCCAAGGCCTCACGTGCTGGAGATCTTTCACAGCACCGTGGAGCATCGTCTAGCAATTCAGGTCCTCCAGAACGAGGCCAAAAGCTTTCTTTCTGTGTGGAATTTTAACACGGGGCTTAAAGCGAGTGAACCGTGAAGGAGAGATGGAGGAGGTTGAATCTACCTGCCAGAGGCACAAGGGAGGAAACAATTTTGTACGCAAAAGGTAGCACGGTGGGGGTGTCGAGAACGGCCCCGTCTTCAGTAAAGAAACCCTCAAACGTCCAGTCTCCGTAAGGGTCTTTATCGGTATCAAGAGAGCCTGCCTAAACAAGGGAAGAAATGTCACTTGGGCGTCAAGAGGTCCCTAAGCAAAGAGAGAGCATTTTCCTTTTTTTATTATTATTATTATAAAAGACAAAGTTGAGAGTCCTCTGAAGGCCCAACCACCAGGGACAACTTTGTAGTAAATACAGTGAAACCAAACAAGCGCTACTTTACCTGTGGTATAAACCCAAAATCTTCCATTTGGCATTTGGCATAAATTTCACGGGCAAATGAAGTGTATTTACAAAACTCCAAGATATCTAGAAAAAGATCTGGGAAAGGGGAGAAGGATAAGCATATTGTTAAAAAGGAAATCATTTTGTGCCGTCACCCAACAGGTTAAATTTCATCCTGAGGCAAATATAATTTTAGGAGACGCTGTTGAGCCGGCAAATGGGATTTAGAAAAGGCTTGTAGAAAAATTGTATTCAATACACTTCCCTAAAATATAGCTTTCTTTTTGAGACATTTTACTGTGCCATTGTTATTTTATTTTAACGTGAATTATCCCTACATTGGTCGTTCAGTTAAGATTAAGGAGAAAAAGCCATCAACCTCGCAGCGGGCCAGTTTTTAAAAATCATTAAATTTGAGAATCGTGATGTAATTATTTAGAGAAGTGGTTTTTTGTTTTGTTTTTTTAAACCAGAAGTTAACAAGCAAAAGCATTTCTAATTACTTACCCAGACTGCAGAGTGTAGCAGCTTGACAAGCCATGCAGTAGATCGTATCTGGAAGATCTTGTCCTTCTGGCAACACCATAGGAATATTGGACCCCAACATATGACAAAGCTTTTGAGACACCAGGAACAACAGCCGTCCCGCCTCTTCGTTATGGTGGGATTCATAAAAGTAACTTAACCGAATCAAGGGGAGAAAAAAAAGGAAGGAATTGAACACCAGAAGACAAGAGAACAATGAATGGATGGGAACTAATCAAGAAGAGAAGCAACCTAGAGCTAGAACTAAAGAGAAATTTCCAACAGTGAGAACAATTAACCCGTGGAATGGCTTATCTCCAGAAAGTGTGGGTACTCCATCACTGGAGGTCTTCTAGACCAGGGGTCTCCAACTTCGACAACTTTAAGACTTGTGGACTTCAACTCCCAGAATTCCTCAGCCAGCAGAGGTTTGGTGACAAACCTCAAAAGATTTCACCGCTGATTCAGATGAATTGATAGTTATCAAGCCATCGACTGCAACCAGAATTTTATTATTGCTCACCTGCATATCTGCAGCGCCTCTTCAACCTTCCCATCGTCTAATGCTCGGAGAGCCAACTGTGCCCCCATTTCAGCTTCTGACTTTTGCAGGAGGAACCCCAGTCGGTACAATCTCATTTGAGTCAACTCTTTCTTCACGCTGGGATCTCCCGGCTTGGCCTCCCCTTCTCCCTGCCGGTTTCTGCGTCTCCTTGCTTTTTCGTAGGCTCGGATGTGGTCTTCGAGGAGCTGAGCCGTCCGTGAGGGATCGCAGAAATCCTTGAGCGAAATGCAGATCTCGAAACTCTCCTGAAGGAGAAAGAAAAAGGCCGAAGCATGAAAGTCAGGCCAAGTCAACTTTCACAACCACCAGTGAAATGAAAGCTAACCTTGGCAAGGCGTTCTCAATGCCACATTCGTCTCACCTGCAGAGTTACCAGAATTCTAAAGATTTCCAACTCTTTCTCACGCTCTTCTTTCTGCAAATGATTTTCTGTCCAAAAAAAAAAAAAAGAAAGGAAGAATGAGAACGATTATTGAATTGTTCCCAATTTTAAAAACAAACAAACAAACAAGAAAAACACGAATTGTGCAACATTTACCTTTCTGGAGATTAAGCAGGAATTTGAGAATTTCTACCAAGGCCTTTTTCACCTGCAGGTGCATTTTCTGTCGGTGAAGCAAAACAAGGAAAGAAAGACATAAGAATCCAGATTCTCTGCACAGGAAGAAGACCTAACAACAAAATTTTTGTTTTCAGTAAAATAAACCTGAGTCAAATCAAAGGTGCTTTTTTAAAAAAGACAACTGGACTTTTTTTTTTACTTGAAGGCGTTTCGCTTCTCATCCAAGAAACTTCTTTAGTTTTGACTTCAGAAATCAGGACTGAAGTCAGAACTGAAGATGCTTCTCGGATGAGAAGCGAAACGTCTTCAAAGAAAAACGAAGTCCAGCTGCCTTTTGAAAAAGCACCTTTGGGGGAACCATGACCTGGGTGGCTGAGAATCTCCATAGACAAAACTGAGTTGACTTTCATTTTTTCACCAGTCTGTTATTTAATCATGAAGATTGTTTGATCGCTCTTTTGGATAGCAATTTAATGTTTTCACACCCAAGTCGTGCTTTGATACCTCACCTTATTTGCAAGCAGTTTTATCTGTCAAGGTGCAGACTCTTGCCAATAATGAGCCCTGAAGTAACGGGGCCCTTGATATTAACAAAGCTCCCCAGCCAATTGGTCACAGCTGTAAGAGTAATTGTGGTATTAATATAAGACTCCACCCCCCCCCCGAAAAGATGGACCTTTTCTTCAACGGTGTCCACTTCTTCCTCCAATACAATTTTCCCCCAAATCAAGGTTCTCTCCGCAATTTCCACGGCTTCAGACAGAGGCAGAGACTTCAGTAGATCCAGGACATCTTCTCCCTGTAAGCATATCTGAGGATTACCGTATTTTTCAGAGTATAAGACGCACCTTTTCCCCCCCAAAAAAAGAGGGTGAAAAATCTGGGTGCGTCTTATACTCCAAATGTAGCTTCTCAAACGGAGGTTTCAGAGGCTGAAAAAAGCATGAGAAACAAAGCTTCAGAAAAGAAGCCCCCAAACTGAGCTTCAGAGGCTTTTTTCTGAAGCTGTTTCGGAGGCTTTCAGAGGCAGAAAAAAGAGTTTTTTCTGAAACAGTTTCAGAAGTTTCAGAGGCAGAAAAAAAAGCAACGCGCAGAGCTGATGACCAAGGAACCTGTTGCTAAAATTCACCTCTGGGAACAGCTGATTGGAGGTATTCCGGAGGTTGATCCACCTGCCAATCAGCTTTTTTCTTATTTTCCTCCCCAAAAACTAAGGTGCGTCTTATACTCCAAAAAATACGGTATGTCCAATACTAATCATACAGATGTTCCACGTGCTTAGAAAAAGAGTACCTCTTTCCCCTTAAGCTGAATATTGTTCTCACCATAAGGCGCTTTAGGGAGCCCCACATTGACAAAATATCTGTTTTCTCTGCTTAACTGCATTCGAACTCAGGGCTTCGACCTGCATTTGAACTCGGGGCTTTAGGGACCCGATCTGCACCTTTTCTTTGTCGATGAGGTCCGCAATCTTCCAAACGTAGACTTCGGCAGTGGGCAACATGTATGCCTTTATGATTTTCAGGGCGTCTCCCAAAGCAGACGGCGTGTCCTCTTTAAGGATGTACTTGGCCAGCATCTGGAGGGGAAAAACCAAGCATCAGGTCAACAGAGAAGGTTCTTCGGGGTTTTTTTGGGTCAAAATTATGGGATGTTTCTGAGCATTTATCAAGAGTGGGCTGGAGTTCCTTACCAGAATCATCTGCTTATCGTTCAAAAGATTGGTGTCTCGTATGCCGTAGCTCCGCAGAAGCTTCTTCATCTCCATCAGCCGGTAACCTTCCTCGAGCAGCTTCACCCTGCCAGGAAAGGCAGCTCCTTTTACAGGGTTGCTGTGGGCCATGGAGATGATTGACCCAGATGGGCCGGGAGGTCTAACCCAGGCCTTTTTGACACGGGAGGGGTAAAACCCCCGCCAAGCAAGGCAACTTCAGAGCTTTTCAATGACTCAGGACTACTGGCGGTCCAACGGGCTACTGAGCCAATACGGGAAGTCCTTCAACCACAATTGAGCCCGAAATTTCTGTTGTTAAGACACCTGTTAAGTGAGTCTCCTAGAAGAGGGTCTGTCTTTGTCAGAGAAGAATCATTTTTCTCACTCATGGGTGCATCATTAAGAGGTTTAAAGCAGGGGTCTCCAGCCTTGGCAACTTTTAAGACTTGTGGACTTCAACTCTCAGAGTTCCTCAGCCAGCTTTGCTTCAACTCTGGGAGTTGTTGTCCACAAGTTGTTGTGGTCCGCCAGCAGCCCGCGGAGCTAGCAGCGGAGTCGGACAGTGAGGAGTCTGGGGAAGGCCTGGACGAGGGCTCTGCGTCAGAGGCAGAGACGGGGCCAGGGCCATCTGGGAGTGATGTGTGGACTCCGGAGCCTCCAGAGTTGGACAGCAGAGAGGCAGAGGAACAGGAGGAGCCTGTTCCAAGTGTGCACATGCGCAGAGCTGCCAGAAGGCAAGAGCAGCTAATGCAAAAAGGACGACTCGGGAGTAAGGCCAGGAGATGATTGGCCCCTCCCATAAGGCTTAAAAGAGCAGCAAAGGCTCTTGGGCTCTTTGTAGGAAAGCAAGGTTGCTAAATCTGTTTTCCAGTCGGCGTCTCTTGTTTCTGAACTTCATGGGGCTTTGCCAAGAAAGGCCTTTGGCAGGGTGCCAAAGAAGACAAAGGTTTGTGATAAACCCGAAGGACTTTTTCTGAAGGACTTGATTTGGAATTAATTTGGACTCAGCTGGGAATGAAGTAATTCTCAGCTGTTATAATAAAATAGTTTTGTTGGAGACTAATTGTGTCCTGTAATGACTAAGTGAGCCTAGGTCACAACACAAGTCTTAAAAGTTGTCAAGGTCCCTCGCTTTAAAGCCCCTGTGTCATTGTGTGGCTCGGAAGGATCGTTCTCTTCCCGCAGAGAAAACCTCTTGAGGGAGATTCAACCTTTAAAGCGGAGTTTTGCCCATCCCTCTCTTACCTGGCATGCTCCATGCCCAGGTACCGCTGAACTAGATCTTCCACGCCCGGGCTCCAAGGAACCACGGCGCTATGCATTACGGCCAGCACCCCTTCGAAGATCAACTGGAAAGAACAACCCGATCATTATCCAGCTCAAAACATTTCCCATCCCGCAATTTGGAGCGGCGAGAGTCATTTTCTGGCCTGACGCACCTCTAAGTTGGACATGCAACCCAAGACGGCTATGGCTTTCGCTTCCCATGTGGTGTCGAAAATGGAGGACGATTGTGTGCAGTGGCACAACAGCAGGTCCTGGGGGCGGTGAAAGATTCAGAAAGAGGCAGGGGAGTTTGGGGGAAAAAACCCTAACCCAACAAAGTCGAACGAGATCAGGAACTTGTCTCTACCTTTATGTACTGCAAGAGAATTTCGTCTTTTTCTAGACGATGGTGACACATGTACGGTGCGATATACTTCTCTAAAGCCGCAGGGAGGAGTTCAGCTGCCAGGATTTTGTCAAGCATACGGAACACAATTGTGTTTGCGGTTTCCTAGAGGATGGGTGGGGGGGGGGGGGGGAAGGAAACCAAGACTGATAATTGTTCAGAAAAGAAGCGGATCCATACAATACAGGCAGCTGAGCACAAGTCTTCTTCATAATGATTTATTCTCTATTTTTTAATATCCCGCGCTCTGTCAGAATATTCACGCCCAGGAAGACATGGTAACAAGGTCAGCCAATGAATAGGCATAGCAACTAAGTCAGCCAATGAGGACTGCTTGGAAACTGAAACTGAGAAGGAGCCTGGGCGTGGCTCTGTGTTAAGCTCTGAAGCTGCAAACAAGTCTGGTTTAGTCTAGTGATGGCTAACCTTTTTGCTGCCAAAAGCGTGGGGAAGCGTAGGGGGGGATCGTGCGCATGCGTGCCCACATCCATAATTCAATGCCCTCCTTGCCCCGCCCCCTCACGCTCCCCACGCTTTTGGCACGTGATGGCAAAAAGGTTACCGGTGGGCCCGGTAGGCCTGTTTTTTGCCCTCCCCAGAGACTTTCTTGGAGCCTAGGGAGGATGAAAACGGCCTTCTCCACCCCCCTGGAGGCTCTCAAGAGGCCAAAAACGGCCCGTTTCCCGACTTCCGGTGGGTCCAGAAGGCCCAAAAATCAGCTGGCCGGCGCGCACATACATGCTGGAGCTGAGCTAGGGCAACATTCGTGTGCCCACAGATATGGCTCCGTGTGCCATAGGCTTTCCATTGCTTTAGGAACCAGCAGAGGGGAAAATCTTCACTGTGAGCCCAACGATAGGATGATGCCATTCGCCCCAACTGCAAAAAGCTTTTGACAGGCACCCCCAGACTCTCTCCTTACAAACGACAGCTTCACGGGGGTTTATTTTTCCTCCCACCTTTTCAAAGTCGCAGAGAGCCAGACGACAGTTATATTTCCTGTACAGATCTACCAAATTCTGCAAGGCGCCAACCAGATCCATCAGGTGGTGGATCTCCTTATCTTCACTGTCCTTCTGTAAAAACCAAACGCAACCAAGTCTCATTTTCTAGAGGCAAAAAATTTTCCTTTTCTTTTCTTGGTTGGGGCATCCGGGGTCTCTCAGGCTTCACCACTTTAAGCTGTGGGGGGCTTTGACTCCCAGAATCCCCCCCCCCCAAGCCAGCCTTAGCCAAAAACACTTACCAAAAAATCCCAGTGGGAGAAAGACGCCAGTCCAATATCACCCACATCTTTGCTGGTGAAAAACACCTGTGCCAGCGCAAGTCCATTTTCTGGCCAGTTGGCCTGTTTGGGACAAAACAGCAACGATTAATCAGACAACTTTGGGAGGAAGGATAACCTTCTTTCCTTCCGTCGCGAGCTGAAGATGTGGCTCTTCCGCCAATTAAACTGATCCGTTTGGGGGTACACTGGTATAATTTTAAATCGTTTTTTAATTGGGTTACTGATTTAATTTGGTATCGTATTGTGACTTGTATTGAAGTTGTCATTTTGTAAGCCGCTTTGAGTCCCTAGGGAGAAAGGCGGCATATAAATTGCAATAAATAAATAAAATAAAATAAATAACGCCGTCTCTAAAGACTCAATTAAAATGAGCTTACTTTGTCAGTCAGTTCAAGGCTTCGAGCACGTTCTTCCAACCACTTTGCTACTCTTTTCTGGAGAGAGAGAGAAAAAAAGTTATCAACCTGGGTTACTTATTAATCTTATATCCAGAGCCTGGATGGGACCGGGATCGGGCAACCCGGTCCGAACCGGGAGCATTTCATTCCTGCACTAAACCATTGGCTGTAAATTGAGGCCCTTCTGTAAGGCATTCTCTCCTCCTCCCTTTTCCAGAACAACCTCTCTATTCTGCCCTCGGACCTTCCTCACAGGGGTTTCCTGGACCTTACCTGTCCGTGAGGTAGAACCCGCCTTACGAAAGGAAGGACCACCTCCTTCAGCCACAGAGCCAGCTGTTGGAGAGGAAGCGTCCCCGAGATCGACTCAAGCAAATCATCCAGCATTTCCTGACTGAAGCTTCTTTCCAACTCTGCCTGCAGGAGAAAGAGAGATGTTCTCACCACCAAGGGATTAAGGCACTTGTGAATGGAGTCTTAATGGAGTCTTAATTTAACTGGAGTCTTAGTGGACAACCAATTAAATAGGAGCCAGCTGTGTGCGGGGGCAGCCAAAAAAGCCAATCCAATCCTAAATTGCATTAATAGAGAGATACAATCAAGATCAAGGGAGGTAGTAATACCACTCTATAAAGCCTAAAGTACTGCATTCAGTTTTGGTCACCACACTATAAAAAAGAGATTGAGACCCTAAAAAGAGTGCAGAGAAGGGCAACCAAGATGATTAGGAGACTGGAGACTAAAACATACGATGAACAGTTGCAGGAACTGGTCTAGTGAAGAGAAGGACTAGGGGAGACATGAGAGCAGTCTTCCAGCATTTGAGGGGCTACCACAGAGAGGAAGGGGTCAAGCTGTTTTGGGTCAAGCACCCAAAGGCCAGACAAGGAAGAATGGATGGAAACTGATCAAGGAGAGATTCAACCTTGAAATAAGGAGAAATTTTCTGACAGTGAGAGCAATCAATCGATGGAACAGAAATTTCCTTCAGAAGTTGTGGGAGCTTCATCACTGGAAGCTTTCAAGAAGAAACTGGACTGCCACCTGTCAAAAATGGTGGAGGGTCTGCTTGGGCAGGGGGTTGGACTAGATGACCTACAAGGTCCCTTCCAACTCTGTTAATCTGTAAATCTAAATGGCTTAAAGATGGGCTGGATGAGATTGCAGAGCTGCTGGCTTAGTGTGCAGCTCTCACAAAGAGCTTCTTGGGACCAAGGAACGGTTCAGAAACCCCTTCCTACAAATTTGAGAGAGCCACCAGCCTCCAGTATGGAAGACGTTCTAGGAGCCTTAATAGTCAACTCTACGATGGAACCAACACACCTGGAAGCCGCTTACCTGATGCCTTAACCAGAGATACTGGGCGGAAGAGAGGCTCCCTCCTTTGAGTTGTGAAAGGACGTAGCTGACGACGTTCTTATTGTTGAGAAATTCTAACCACGCCGTTCCACTGGGGAGGAAACAATGCACAATCAACATTCCCTTGTGCCGAGATGTGCAAACGCACCTATGAAAAGGGAGGCCTTGCTTACCACCAGACACACAACCCCACCTGTATTTCTCTGGCCCAAAAGCCCCATAAAAGGTCGTCAGTTTCGCTTGCGTTCGCAGCACCTGCAAAAAAAAAAAAAAAAGGCAGAAAATCCTTCAACATGTGAAAAGCAAAAACACGCGTGAGAAAATTCAGCAGCAGGTCCTGATTTTTTTTTTTTTTTTAAATGGTTTTGGAATAGAAGTTGACAACATTATATTGCCGTGATGGTGAACCTGTGGCACACATGCCAGAGTCCCAGGTCAGATCTTTCTTTCGTGAGCTTCTGTTTCCCTGCAAACGACGAAACAGAAGCTGACGAAAGAAAAAGATCTGACCTCTTGCTGCTGGTATTGGGATGCCCCACCTCCCAGCAACCAGCTGGTTTTCGGGTCTCTGCTGCGTATGTGCACACGTCTGCACGTGTCCGTGAACATCTGTGCATGTCCATGAATGCGCACATTCATACATGCACTTTTTAGTTTGGGCATGCACGTGCACAGTTTGGGCACTCAGTGTCTAAAACAGAGGTCCTCAAACTTGGCAGCTTTAAGACTTGTGGACATAACTCCCAGAATTCTCCAGCCAGCTATGCTGGCTGGAGAATTCTGGGAGTTGAAGTCCACAAGTCTTAAAGCTGCCAAGTTTGAGGAGCTCTGGTCTAAAAGGTTCGCCACCACTGCTATATCGGACCTCAAAATTGGCCCAAGAAGGAAACCACAGATTTATGACGTTTGTTCTCTTTACCTCTGTAAGGAGTGAGGCAGGATCCACGTTCGTGAAATGGGTAACAGATCCATCTTCTTTCTTTAGGATCTGAAAGGGATCGTGGAAATATTTTTGGTTTGGTGCCCCAAATCTCAAAGGACCCTGAAAGTCCCTGATTTTTATGAACGCGCCAACCATAAACCTACCGTCATCCGAGCATAATTCAGCATTTCTTGAGCTGTTTCGTAGGTCGGCCAAGGAGTGTTCATGCAATACTCCACCACAAATGAGTGATCCTACGGAGAAGGAAATTTAACGTTTTTAAAAGGCAGTACCACCCCCCCACCCCCAATGCCCTGCTGAGCCACTCGATCATCAGAGGCTTTTTTTTTTTTTTTTAAATTAAAAGCATTTTTTCTACAACCTCTTCGGCCGAAAAAATGCTTTTAAAAGTTAAAAAAAAAAAAAAGCCTCTGATGATCGCGCGGCTCAGCTGGGATCATCAGAGGCTTTTAAAAGCATTTTTTTTACAACCTCTTCGGCCGAAGAGGTAGTAGAAAAAATGTTTTTAAAAGAAAAAAAAGCCTCTGCTGATCAGGCAACTCAGCTGGGATCGTCAGAGGCTTTTAAAAGCATTTTTTTTTTACAACTTCGGCCGAAGAGATTGTAGAAAAAATGGTTTTAAAAGTTTAAAAAAGAAAAACAAAAAGTTGGCCACGCCCACCCAGTCACATTACACCCTCCCCCCCCAATCAAGCCACGTCCACAGAACCGGTAGTAACCAATTTTACATTTCACCACTGGGCAGTACCATATGTCAGTCTCCCCCCAGTCCTGAATATTTGTATTTCCTATGTACGTAAGAAACAGTTACCTTTATTTTATTCAAGGTTTCCTTCGCTTGAAGTACAAGTTTTAGCCAGGCTGACTGGTCCTCACTACCAGCAGAAGCCAAACCTTCCAAAATGGTGTTTGCCTTTACTTTGTAGACAAGCTGTATTTGTTAAAAGAATCGTGCAGGGTATTAAAAAGTACTTTAGTCGTCCCTTCAAACTATTCCTTTCCCGGTCTTCAGCAAGGACCTCTGTGCTAGCTTAATATCCCCCCAACGGGAGGCTGGTTAGCTTTTTACATCACCTGTTCGGATATCCCTCACCTGCCGTGACATCACTGCTGAGACCAATGATGTCAGTTGCACGATTTGCACAATGACATCACAACATGTATGACATCACACACACACCTGTTAGCAGGAAGGAGGATTATTAGCAGTCTGTTACCTCAATTTCCAATCCAAATTGAAGAGCGAAACTCTCAGCCTCGGCAAACTTATGCTTGTGGAGTAAACGGCTTAATCTAAGGAGAAAAATACCTTTTACCAGCCTTTTGACGTCACCAAGAAAAGGTCTCCTTAGCTCAGTGGTTCTCACCCATGGCAAAAATCCAGGTAGATGGATTTCAAATCCCAGAATTCTAGTCCGCAGAACCATTGATGAGAATTCTGGGAATTGGAAGTCCAGCCGCCAAAAAATTGCCAGTATGTCCTTTAGCACATCTCTGCCATTATTTTGCTTTGCACGGACAACACCTAACTGTTTGGGATAAAATTCTGGTTTTCCCCTACAATCCCCAAGATAAAGCCTAGGTCAGAACAGCTACTGACTTCAAAAGGAAGAATGCAGCGTGAGTAGGAGGGTCTCTCCAAGTGAAGCCAACAGGAGCTTTTGCTTAATTATGCCCCCAAGACCCTCATCTGATGTTTGGCTGGGGCCAACAGCCAAAATACACCCTCACCTGTTCTCAGGTAAGGCTTCCGTCAAGCTTCTCATTAGCAGAAATGAGACCGGCTCAGCTGAAGATCTAGAAACAAACACTCGGTTAAAAATAGAGCTGTAACAACAATGGGGAAGCCAACCTCCACCCACCTTTATATAATTCAAGAACAAACTTACTTTTGGTGGTTTTCATACATTCCCTCCATGAAGTAAATTGTGTCCTGTGGGATAAAGAAGGCTTAGGTAGCACTTAGTGCAGGGGTCTCCAACCTTGGCAACTTTAAGACTTGTGGACTTCAACTCCCAGAGATCCTCAGCCAGCCAGAGAGGTTCCTACCGTATTTATGACACTCTGCACCAGTGTGGAAACCGGGGTGACTTCCAGAGCATACAGCTGGTGCATGGCCGGCAGTGAAAAAACCACAATGCTCTTCATCTAACAAGGCAGGAAGATCAAAAGGGAAAAAAAATCAGTCTTGTGACTAGTCGGAGATCCAGTTTTATAGTCAAAAGTCAACCAGATTCTACTGAAGACATCTTTAATAATAATAATAAAAAATATTAGAGGTGAATACCTGTTCCACATGGTCAGGTGTTGTCAGAGCAACCAGTTTAAGATTGGCAGTCCCCAGTCTGGAGAGAGAAGAAAGGAAGGAAGGAGAGAGAGGGAGAGATTGATGATGAAGAAAGGAAGGAAGGAAGAAAGAAAGAGAAAGAGAAGGAAGGAAGGAAGGGGGAGGGAGGGAGGGAGGGAAGAAGGAAGGAGAGAGAGGGAGAGATTGATGAAGGAAGGAGGGAGAGATTGATGAAGGAAAGAAGGAAGGAAGGAAGGAAGGAATAGGGAGGGAGGGAGGGAAGGAGGAAGGAGAAAGGGGGAGTTTGAGGAAGGAAGGAAGGAAGGAAGGAAGGAAGGAAGGAAGGAAGGAAGGAAGGAAGGGCATTCAATGACCATCAAATATTTCAAGTTCTTCTGTTTTAAAACTATTCCTTCTTAACTGAGAAGTGATCACTGTAATGAGCTAAGCCTCCACCCAGGGATGGCTGACATTTTTTCAGCCTTTAAAGGGACACGTGGTGCTTTTTAATTCCTCCCCACTGAAATTTACGCCCTCCACGAGAAAGGAGGCCTAACGCTCAACCATTTTATTCTACATACGCTTTCCAGGAGGTGTGCCTTAAGGGGAGACCTTACCCTCCTCCTGCCGAAAAATCCGATTCAGAGGTCAAGAGAAATTCTTCGATATGAACGGAAGGGCAGTCCCAAGCCAGAGTCAGCGAGTGGAGGTCCCACAAGGACAGCACATCCTGCAGAAAAGAAGAAAAAGGCCCATTTTAAGCTAAAGAGTGCTTGTCCCAAGTATAGGGGTGTGGATTACAGGTGGCCCTCACCGTACGGCCAGAATGGAGCCTGGGAAATACCTCTTTTTTTAAAAAAAAATAATAATCAAGTTATTAAACCTGGCTTATGGAAGATGTGGGAAAGAGTTCTTTCTAAAATCAAGGCAAACATACGTGCCTCGTTGTCTAAGACGAACAGCAAGTTCTCCACGACTTGAAGCTTCTTTGCAGCTGGAGAAGAGAACAAACACGTCAAAGCACAAAAGAGAAATTTCCTACTTGGAAAGCCAAGCATTTGAAAAGATAATGGTAAAGCCTCCCACCCCCCCCCCCCCCCAGGACAGCACTGAAAATAACCCTTATGCTAATAGAGAAGAGTTCAGAGAATAAGTTCAGGACTACGTGTGTTAATAAGGCATTTTAGATTGTGTTTGTCCTTTTGCAGAAGCCCCGAAGACTTTGGAAAACCTGAACAGCCAGGGAAAAACCCGTAAGGCTGCGAACACCAGAATCCCCTACCTTGAATCAGGCTCGAATCAGCAACATTTTGGATGGAAACTGTCTTTTTATTAGGATTCACTTCCCACACCGACATTGCACAGCTGCCGACTCCCTTCAAGAAAGCCAACATTGATATTAGGAAACCTTTGGCCTCAAGGCAGAAGTTTGCAAATCAAGCCAACTCCCGTTTCCTCTCAGGTAAGCATCTAAAAGGCTGCCTCCTCAGGCCAAGGAACCTCAAGAAAGGTAGGCCCTGCACAAATCAAAAGTTTTGCCAACTTTTCCTACCCTGAATTCAGGGCTACGTGCAGAAATGATCATATGATAATGACCACATTTTTTCAAAAAAAAAAAAGGCAGTTGAAATTGTACCTTAACCCAACATTCAAATGTTTGTGTTACCCCTATTATCAGCGCAAGGGTGTTCGCGGTGTCCTTCGTCACAGAAGTAAAGCAGGCGGCATTGTGATAATCTTCGACTGAAATGAAGCAAGTTTCCACCTGACTTTGTAACTGTAAGACGAGACAGCTATTCAGGTAGTCTAGTCACAGTAACCCAAACTTTAAGTAAAATCTGGGACAATTAAAACACTTCAAGCACAAAAGCCGCACAGTTCCTCAAATCATCCATTAGACTTCAGTGCGTATCGTTTATTTTTGAAGCAAGTGGCATGCTCAGCTGGGCCTAAACAAAGCATGTTTGAGCTTCAGCAGGTGCCGTGCGAAAAAAAAAAAACCCTGCTCTTAAATTGGCATTGGACATCTGCTGTTTCTATGCAATCCTCTCTTGGCAGCGCCTGGCAAATTTTGCCAACACAAATCATTTTTGTATTGTTGCCCCTAGAAATAGAGCTCACCTTGAAGGAGATATTACATTTTAAAATGATACAACTGGTTTCCTGCCTCGTGAATAGAAACATCGGTCAGAGAGGCCGAAAAGGGAGGTATAAATTTGGAAAATGCAGGCATTTTCCTGGTTCTCAGTTTTTTTTTTTAAAGCAACATTTGCAATGCTAATAATGATCAAGAGCCTCAGATACCTTCTTGGCAGCATTGATGTCCATTTCGGTAATGGCTGCATAAAGGAAAAACATTCATGTTTTATCAGAAATACATTAGAAAAGCTTTTTATAATGTCCTTTCATCATACATTTGTTCAACATCTCATTTTTCAGAAATACCTATCCTTCACACAGCAGTGACATGTTGCTGTGTAGCGTTTCAGACAGGCAAAGAGCAAACAAAACAGGAAAAATACGTGCTAAACATAAAAATTGATAGCTGAGACAATGTAGAAGGACCTGTGGAAAGTCCCCAACTGCTACCATTTTCCAAGAAAACTCAGGGACAATTTGGCTCAAATCTGGAAATCACAATTGTGAATGGGCTATCAAGCTTCACAAAACACCCATGAAAAACACACAAGGGCTGAATCACACAACAGGTGTGACAAGTGGCTAAGATGACTTTGTATAAAATATACAAAAGTATGAAGGCTATTGCTTAAAGTCTTGTAAGCCGCCCTGAGTCTCCAGAGAAGGGCGGCATATAAATCAAAAAAAAAAAAAAAAAAAAAAGTATACATGAATGCAACTGCCATCAGATATATCTGCAAAATTTCTGATAGTGTACTCAGAACAGAAAGTACGAAAAGGAAAGTTTCGTCTCTTAATGTCATGTATGGTTGGAATCTACAAAGTCCTGGCTTACCTTTCTGAATGTCGGCAAGGGGAAGATGCATAATACAGAAAAAGCCCTTGCTGGTCAGAATAAATGCATGATAGATACCTATAAATTAAGCAGAGAACATATCAAGCAGCATTCCCAACCCAGATTACTCCATCTGCATACTTTTGAATCAAGGAATACTTAATCTCTAACTATGAACAAGGAATCAAAACAACTCCACTTCCTCTGAACGCTGAACAAAGGCCAAAAGAATTACATTGGGTATATAAACAGAAGTTCAATTTTAAATTTTGCAACAAAATTTTGCGGCAACCCCCCCCCCCCCCCCCCAAAAAACAAGGCAGCAAAATGTTCACGGTCTTCTTTATGGGCCAAATTCTGAGTTGTGACAACCAGGACTTACAAAATATACTTTCCAATCTTACCTTCTACGGAACTGTCCATTTCTAGAATGAGATCCAAAAAGGCTTTTTTGTCGAAAGAACTTTGAACTAACGCCTAGATGTGGTTTCACAAAAAAAACGAAAAAGCATCGTTGTAATGACAGCTGGGTGTTGGGAATTAAGAGTTAAATAATGATTTTATGTATTTTCGTATACTGATGGAGACTGAACCTTCCCAGGGTATCTCGTTCAGCTTGTTTATAAAAGTGAGAAAAGTTTCAGAGAGGGCACAAATATGAGACTTCGTGTTTTCTATCCCATCAGCACAGGAGTGCAAAGGAAGTTAGAAGCCTTTAATTCCATTTTCACATTAAGCATTATGGCTGTGGTTAAAGTTAATTGTATTTCGGAGAAAGAAGTTTGCTGCAAAATTAGGGACAGACCTTTTCCTATGGTTGATTTTTGTGAAAAACAAAACTTTCAGCCTCTTTACAGACATGCTAAAACGGAAATGGGACTCGGGAATGGGGGAGCTCAGAACCTCCTTCCATTGTGCTAAAACTGTAGCTTAGTATTCTGTACCTTCATTTCTCAAATAAAAGAAGCCACATGTTTACAAGAACGGGCAAGAAATAAGCAACCTGCCTTAGTCAGCAGGGTCTGTTTTGAAGATACTTGAATCAGGTGCAAGTTCCCACTTCTTTCGCCCGCGACAAGGAACTGGCCTTCTTGACACAAGCCAACAATGTCCACTTCCGTTTCTGAAAGGTTTGAAAAGCCAGCCACGCGTTATTGTGGGTGATGATGAGAAGCCCAAAAAGAAAACACTGCAGTAAGTACAGTAAATTTAAAAACAACCACAAGATGACTAAAAGATACCCTGGGAAACGGCACAAGCCATAAATATGCCGTTTCCATATTATTCAACTTAGGGCATTTTTCTGCAGTAATCCATCCATCCATCCATCCATCCATCCATCCATCCATCCATCCATCCATCCATCCTGTCTGTCTGTCTGTCTGTCTGTCTGTCTGTCTGTATCTATCTATCTATCTATCTATCTATCTATCTATCTATCTATCTATCTATCTATCTATCTATCGTATGGCATATTCATATCATCTCAATAAAAAGGAACACAGGAGCAAAGTACAAAACATGGAATATAAAATCTGAAGTCTTAAACAGGAAAATTACAGACATGTATCTAGGCTTGCAAATATCATTTTTTTTACTTCATCTGCCGCAGAGATCCATAGTTCCTGGTCCCAGCCGGAAACTCACCAAAATGAATAAACATTTGAAGAGACTGACAAATATTGTCAAGCACCGCCACTGTCCTGTCAGCCACCAGCACGCAGCCATCACTCAAACTGTAGGCGTTTAATTCCGGGTTAGATAAAACCTGAACAATTTAAGAAAAAAAAAAATGTAATGAAAGTCCATGCAAACGGATTGAATAAAAAAGCACAGGAACCAATGACATTTGCATTCTTGGCATATCTGTGTCAACAGATTAAAACAACAGAATTAGTGCAGCTATCAATAACTAATGCACATTGCAGCTATAGATCAATGGCAGTCCTCAGGTTACAACCATAATGGAGCCTGGAACTTCAAATCTGGGTGGTATGTCCCCTTCCTCAGGTTGGTCATAACTTTGAAGTCGCTAAGTGGCAGGTCATAAGCCAAGGACAACCTGTACTGTTATATAATAGAGTTGTAGGGCTGTGCATTTCCTTTTTATAGTTGCTAGATCTTTGGACTGAAATTAAAGAGACCTCACAGCAGCTTGTGATGGGGTCCTTAAGGCTGTGCTACCTTTTGGGATGAGGTTATTTTCACCAGCGTGTTCATCTGATAGAGCGCGCTTCCACATTCTTGCCTGGAACATATGCTCAGCTGCCCGCTGCCCGTATCGTCACTCGTCAGGAGCTCAACGTCGTCCCACATCTTTGGCGGATGATATTCTGTCCGGAAAAAGTCGGAAGACAAACTATGAGGCCATCAAAATTTAATAACCACCAATTTCGTTGTATACAGGATGTACAAGGACAATAAAGGCTTTGAACTTTAATGCGTATTAAAGCCAAGGAAGCTTTTCAATGCAGATCTGGGTTTGCAACGCTGCAGGATCCACCCTGGATCGATCATTGGGACCTGGTGAACCCACCCAGATTGAATCCTTCAACGTTATGCTGGGACACGTATAATTCCCTTCATTTGTGAGTTTGCAACGGCACAGATTTATTCACGGAACCTTTCCTCAATGCAGGAAAGTTAGGATTTTTGTCTTTTTTTTTTTTTTTACCTGAATGTCCAAATCTCATCTCGCTTCAAGCAAGCTGCCTGGATTTTTAATGCCCATTAAGAAGCATGATCAATAATTTCCACTCCATGCTCCAGAGCTCCCTTTCTCTACAAATAGTATTTCCCCCTTTAACCCGCAAATAAGCACCCGCACAAACACTCAACGGCCACAGATAATGATGATGATGATGATGATGATGATGATGATAATAATAATAATAATAATAATAATAATAATAATAATAATAATAATAGTAGTCCTTTTTCTGGATTGCACCTCTCTTGATTTAACCATGGACTTTTTTTTGCAAAGCCTGTTTAAGTGACATATTTAAAATCAAAGCAAAAGAGAAGTTAGCAAGCAAAACGGGCATGCACATCCCAAAATACGGGGCGGGGAGGCGAATTTGCGCAAGGCCAGCGGGGTGAGACCGTTCAGTACTTTTTTTTTTTTTTGCAAGGAGGCAGCCAGGCAGATGTCCAACCGGTCTCTTCCAAGCTTCACCGGGTGAACTCCCACCTGTCACCCAGCTCTTACAGGCGTCCGGCAAGGCTAGCCCACCGGCGGGTCACATCTACCCAATGACGCCGCTTGGAAGGAGGCGAGGGGAGCCGCGCGGCCACCAAAGGTTCGAATGGATCTTTTGGATTTGGCGGGAGTTCTCCCTGCCGTCCGCAGGAGGGGCTTAAGCCGGCTACGGCGCTCCGCAAGGGCCAAACTTCCTCATTGCGAACGGCGGGCCCAAGCCGGAGAGATAGGAAAAGTTGCAGAGGTGTTCTCTCCGTCGTGGTTTTTCTTTGCCTTAGGTGAGGGCGCTCTTTCCAGGCTCTCTCTCGCGGTCATTCCCAATTCATCAAGGGGCAAAACTGAGGAGGATTGGGCGCAACCGAGAAAAATCGCTCCCACATATCAAAGGAGGCTATCTTCTCTTTATGAAAGAAAAAATGGGAAGAGAGCGACCGGATCATGTTGAAATGTTGAAGTGTGACGGCTCCTTATTCGGAGGCCGCCCCGTCTTCTTTGGGGCAGGAAAGCCTTAAAAAAAAAAAAGAGCCAAAGCAGGGAAATCACAGCCTCCCCACTCTACCAGGTATATCTCTAGGCTCCCCTCGCCCGCGCAGGCGCAGCGCCGCTCTTCTGCCTCCCGCCGCTCTCCAGGCTACATCCGGGCATTTCCCAAGCAGGGGGCGGGGCCGAGCTGAGAGGGCTGATCGCCCAGTCGGTTACGGAGGCGACGCGCGTCGCTCGCTGAGGGCTCGAAGCCGCGGAGGAGCCGGAGGTCCCGCTCGGGGCCCGCTTCCCCCCCTCCCCAACCTGCACCCCGGCATGGCGGTGAGGCTCCCCCGAAGGCTTCCCGGGCTGGCGGAGGGCGAGGCCCAAGCGGCGGGCGGAGCCGCCTCGGGTAGAAGGCGCCAGACAAGATGGCGCCCGGCCGCCATGATGGGCCTCCTTGAGGGAGGAGGGGGAGGAGGGAGGCGGTACCCCCCCCAGCGCGGCTTCTCGAAGCTTCTCCGGCGGCCTCTGGGGGGGGGGTCCGGGGCGCCGCTCTTGGCACCCTCATTGGGGAGAAGCGAGTGCCGGCATCCCCACGTTGGGCTGACACGCCTCATACCCGTGTGGATGGTGTGGGGGGGGAGGACTTTTTCTGGGGTTAAAGCGCGTAATGTATGTGGATGGATAGAAATAGATAAAAAAAAGAAAGAGAGACATAAAAGAGAGAGAGATAAAGGTATATAAAAAAAGATAAAAGATAGATTAGATAGATAAAAAAGATAGATGATAGATAGATATGATAGAAATAGATAAACAGTCATATTGAGGTAGATGATGGATTGATAGATTAGATAGATATAGAGGTATATAAGATAAAAGATATAGAGATAAAAATAGAGATAAATAGATAAAAGGTGTATATAGATACATATAGATACATATAGATACAGATATAGATGTATATATATATATACATAAGCATATTTACATATATCTATGGATCTGAAGCCTTTTTAAAGCAAATTTTATTATAGGATGTAAATGATCAATGTGGAAAAGAACAAGGTGTGTTTATGGATGCAAAGGCTTGGGGGGGTTAGGGTTTATTATGGGATATGGAGAGGAAATCAGTCCCATTTGTGGCTCTTTTATAAATATAGCTCTTAAGAAAAGAAGCTGGCATGCGGGGCGCGTGTAAATCTTTCACATATGGCTGTTTATGTGTGGCAGAGATTGGGGTTGCTAAAAAAAAGTGCCAGTAGGACAATTTGGCTTGTGCCCTCTGTAGCTGCTCCAGATGGAAGAGGAGGATGCTGAGTGTAAGGCTATATTAATTATTCTAAGGTATCTTTTAGTGACCCTGGGGTTCTCAGAGGAAAGGAAAGGGAGGGGGAACTCTATCTTTATTTGTATTTATCAACCCTTTATTTGTATTTCTTCATGTTGTGTTTTCCCTTTGACTGTTTTGACTGTAATTTGTGATTTACAGGGTAACCAAGGTGGGATGAGTAAATTTGCAGTTGAATTAATGGCATAAGTTCCACCAACTTTCTGGGTGGGGGGGTCTATTAACTTTAGAGGGGCTTGTATTCTGAGTAAATATTTTAACTTGGACATCAGAGACTTCGGAATAAACACATGATATAGGTTGCATAAAACTAAATATTTAGGAGCTTATGGTTCCTTAGCAGTTATTTAGAAACAAGGCTTTTTATATTTTTATCGATCAGTTGATAATGCCATTGTAATGGCATATAATGCTATTCTTAGTTGCCAATGTTAAATGTTGTTTGTGACCTGGTTTTAAAGCCCTTGGGGTTGTACAGCTCCAGTTAAGTGCTATGCTGTCAGCTGGGTTTTAATTTATTTGGAATATTCCTAAAATATAAACAGGTTTTCCAAGTAAAGCACCGCAGTCATAAAATCCTTTGCATTTTTTCTACCTATCTAGTTATTCATTCAGCCTGATAAGAAATTATTTAATGACAAAATTGTATTATTTAGTCTTTGCTGCAATAGTCATGAGGGTAATTTAGTTTCTAGAGGAAGCTATTAAAATAGCTGTATACTTTAGTGTGAAGGAAGTCGGACATATCATTTATTGTAGTTAATGTAATATGTGCTGTAGATTGAGTAATTTAAAGAACTTGAGATAATGTCCCATGGCTGTCGGAAGAGTAGCAGACAGTCACTGTACTGCAAATATTAAAAGTTATTTCATTTTAAATTAGGCTAGTGATTCTGAGCGAGAGGCAAATCCTCCAGAGAAATCATCTCCTGAGAGAGAGAAGAAAAAGGAACGATCAGATGCATCCAGTTCACCTAGAACTTCAAAACACCATTATTCAAGGTCACGTTCCCGATCAAGAGAAAGAAAACGAAAATCAGGTATGAAAGTCTCTACCTGTTTGTTAAATTTTGCTTATGGACACACCCTTGTAGTTTAATTTTAATGGTTGCCGTAATTAAGGTAGTCATTTGTTGCAATCTCTCTCACTTTAAAATAAACTTTAAAATAAATCAATTCAAAATGTAAGTCCTAAGTGATAGCATTCTATATTCAAGATAGAATGGTGAATTGACTAAAGAGACCTTAGAATTATGTTGAGCCTTGTATGAGGGAAGGGGGTTGGGAATATTAACAGTTCCAACTATTCTAAATCTGTAAAATAGCTTAAGCATTATCGTTGGGATTGGAGTGTATGTAGATGGAGATGATTTTTTAAAACTATATTGGATGACTAATAGATGCTTTCTTCTTTAGATAATGACGGAAAAAAATACAGAAGTCGGAGCAGAAGCAAAGAGGTAATTAATACTTTGTAGTGCTTGGGTATTTGTGCAGGACATATTTACAAGTATGTCATAGCATGTATAAATCTTAAAATATAATTGTCTAAATGGTAAGTACCAAAAAAAAAAAAAAGTAAATTCAGAAAGTGCTTGGAGTGAGAAGCATGAATGAAACCAACTTTATAACAAAAAGGTAATAGTTGACCAAAAAAAAAAAAAAATCAGGTGGAGATTTATTGTGGAAAATATCATGATAAAAATTTTAATATAATTGATTCTCACAGAGCTTCCATTCACCAGAGTTCAGCTAAGTATTTGCAAAATTCTTTGCCATCTCATTCCACCTCGACCCTGAAGTTTTTGTCACTCTTTGGGTGAGGACATAATTGGAGTTCTCCTGTGGTGGGGTTTGTCCATACAACAGGAGTCCCAGAGATAGAAATAAATGGTTTTGAAGGCAAAGCGAGGGAATCAAGATGAGATGAAGCCATTGTAGGAACATTGCTAGGGGAATGGCCGGCTTCTGGTGCAGAGGTGGTTTCAGTCCAGGAGCATCAGCAGTAACTAGAAAATTCTGCTAGAGAGAGCTTTAGATGAAATTTCTTTAGGTGGGATCAGAGACTTTTTCCCCCCTTTGCAATGGAAGCTCTGTTTAAAGAAAAGTAGGAGAGTATTTGTGAAATTGACTATATTGTTTAGATCACATGATAACATTTCTATAATAAATCATACTCAGCGTGCTAATGCGCGAAGAGACTGAACTGAAGACGCTCCAGACTCAGATAGCAAAATTATAAGCCTACTTCATGATAAGGTAACTATTAGTCACTCATATTTCCCTTGCAAAGAAATTTAAATCAGTTTTATTGGATATAATAGTGTTTTTAAAGTACATGCTATATGTTTAGAAGACTATTCCGTTATGTTTTCAAAACGTATTTCCCTCATAATGTAGAAATCGTTCAAACTAGTTAAGAACTGTACTGTTTTTGAACTTAAATTCCAGGGGAATAACTGCCGCTAGAATTTGATTGTTGATGTTTGACCCAATATTTTAGGTAATTGTCCTAATTTGTAAAGAACTAATTAAGTAAAGGGTTATTCCTAGTTCTAGTAATTTTACATGTTCCAAAAAGGAGGAGGATAGAATAATATGGACATCACACAGTATTGGAAAAACATCCACCACAGTCCATGAATATGCCTCTACCTTGGCAGTTGGATTTGTTCCATCTTTGTGAGCTTTTCCCATGTTCAGTATGTAACAAAAAATACACTTTACGCTCCTCCTTTAATCCTCAGTCAGTATCCAAATAGTTTCATATTAAAACTTTAGCCATAAAAGTTAAAATACTAATAATTGTGGTGGCTTAACATTTAGAATAAGATGGTGTAATGAATGAATAAATAATGGTTGAATTATATGTATATAATAGAGGCTTTGAGTGAGGTTAATAGAACCTGGAAGACATAAAGAATTACATGAAAATATTAGTGTGCAATTGCTTCTAAGTGTCACTTCCAGTACAATTTCTAGAGAAAAATGTATCTGAGTAGTAAAAGTACAGAAAAGGAAAGTTGCAGAGAATCTTTACCCAAATTTTAGAGACCTATACACTGAATGGTAAAGTGTCTTACAATAGAGCCCAGATTGTTGCAGATTCAACGCATGATCCAATGGATCCATGATCCATTGAACGCTGGTTACCTGACAGACAAGGTTTTAGGCTGGTGATCCACTGTTTCACCAAACCTCAGTTTGGCCATTGTAGGAGGATGGCCGGTAAATCTCCTGCCATGTTGCTAGATGAGCTTTTTAAAAATTTCTATGGGTTGCCGAGAGAGCAGCGTGTTTTCTTTTGTGGATGAGGCCATCAAGCCCTCTCAGAACAGCTGTTCCATCTCTTGATGTGAACCTGGCTTTTGTGGCAGGAGATGTTTTAACCTTGTGGAGCAAGATTTAAGTCAAGCAGGGGGGTGGGGAATGGTAGGGTCACCTCTGCAATGTTGCATAGATGGTGGTGGTGTTAAAGATATCTCAGTTGACGGGGGGCCACGCTCCTAAGGTTACTAATGTTGCATCATCAACAACGTATCATTCTTGATCTTCTAATGCCCATACTAACTCTCTGTTGCACTATTTTCCTGAAAGAACCAACTTCTTCTTAAAACAGGCACGAAGACATGGGTCCAAAGAGAAGTCCTCCAAGAAGCACAGACCTGAAGAGCATAACGACAAAGACCACCCTGCAGATAAAGGGAGGGAGAGCCTGAACTCTTCGGAGAATGGCGAGGATCGGCACAAGCGCAAGGAGAGGAAGCCCTCCAGGGGACGCAGCCATTCAAGGTCTCGTTCGCGGGAAAGGTAGACGCATAGTTTCCTTCCATGTTACTCGTTTGGAGAGGATTCGGGAGATGGTTGACCCCACTCACAAAAGAAGGGGAACCTTGAGTTTGCCTACTTGGTGAATGTTTTGTCTTCTAAACTAACGTGCAGCGGTGGTAGAACATTATGTGTCTTTGTAACTGGATTTTGTGGTCACTACAGGTAGTCCTCGACTTAACAATTCACATAGCGATTACAAGTCCATTGAAAAATGTGACTTAAAACCATTGTTCACACTTATGGCCATTGCAGCATCCCCATGGTCATGTGATTTACATTCGGATGATTGACAGTTGACTCACATTTATGACAGTTCCAGGTCCTCCCGGGGGGGGGGGTGTCACATGATCCCCTTTTTCCATCATCTGACAAGCAAAGTCAACGGGGAAGCCAGATTCACTTAACAACCGTGTGGCTAATTTAACAACTCCAGGGATTCACTTATCAAATGTGGCAGAAAAAGTCGTAAAATGGGGCGAAACTCAATTAACTGATTTCTCACTTAGCAACATAAATGTTGGCTGGGCTCAATTGTGATCATAAGTTGAGGACTACTTGTATTTGTTTCTTCAATCTAGATCCAAGCTCTTCTTCTTAACTAGATTGGGGATCTCTTGGATTGCTTTTCTTACAATACTTACGGCTTAACTTCTGCCACTGATTTTTCTGTAGTACGGCAATGCTGCACTCATTCCAGGGGAATACCTGCTAAATAATAATAAGCCTAAAACTTTCTCAATTATCTTTTTTTTAAAAAAATATACTCTAAGCAGAACATAATGCAGATAATGCTTTTATTTGCGGGTAATTAAATGGAATAGTCAAACTTGGAAACGTTAACAGGGATTTGGCGTGTGATTCCAGGCGGCACCGTAGTCGAAGCCGCGATAAAAAAAAATCCCGCTCCCGAAGTCGAGAGAAAAAGCGGCGCGTGAGATCGAGATCTCGATCCAAATCCAGACACAGGCATAGAAGTCCCAGCAGAAGCAGAACCAGGAGCCGGAGCAGGTGTGTTGATGCTTTTTAGATGATAAAATGTAGAGGGAGTGATGGCGAATGGGAGAACCTGCTGTTCAGGCTCGTTTGTGGTCTGATAATTAATTGTGAAGACAGGAAAAATGAAACTCTGTGGTTCTGAACAGGGAAAGAAAGAAGAGACCCGAAAAACCACGAAGGTTCAGCAGAAGTCACAGCCGAACTCCAAGCCCCCCGCCTTTCAGGGGGCGAAACACAGCGATGGATGCCCAGGAAGCCTTGGCCAGGAGGTACGAGACTCTCCTCCCAAATGTTCAAATATTTTGATTGTAGTTTTTGTAAAATGGTTTTCATCACACACACACACACACACAATAATTGCTGTGCAACTGGAAGTGGGAAAGTATTTCAGCCCCTTTGTCTTTCTCATCAAATGTATCTGTCGAAATCGAACTAAGAGGCAGCAACAGAGAAAAGGACTAGGTAATCTTTGATTTGTGTGCAGCTTTTTCAGCTTCTCCTTTACTGTTTTGTTTCTGAATGAACAGTACAGTACTGAGGTGGGGAAATGAGAAAAAAAACCTTTTCACATCTTTCTGCATTGTTATTTCTAGGTTGGAAAGAGCAAAAAAATTGCAAGAACAGAGAGAGAAAGAACTGGTTGAGAAGCAGAAACAACAGGAAATGGTTGCCGGTAATTGAACTTCCCTTTAAAATAAATGGAGATAATAACACTGCACCACTTTATTTCATTTTGATCTGTCTCTAGAGACTTTCTACTCTTCTACCATTTTTAAAAATACCAGTTATATATTTGGACAAGAGCTGATAAAGACTGTCTACCAAAAGACATTGTACCATTTTTTATGGCTTGTAAACTTGGCGTATCAGATGGTGCCTTTTGAAAAATAATATTTTGTTGGTTTCAGCGGCAGCTGCCACCGGCGGGTCAGTCATCAACGTCGCAGCTCTCCTGGCCTCCGGGACACAGGTCACTCCTCAAATAGCCATGGCAGCTCAGATGGCAGCCCTGCAAGCGAAGGCTCTGGCCGAGACAGGAATAGCTGTTCCCAGCTACTACAACCCAGCAGCAGTGAACCCCATGAAGTTCGCCGAGCAAGAAAAGAAGAGGAAAATGCTGTGGCAGGGCAAAAAAGAAGGGGTAATTAATTCTCCTTGCGGCTTTATCTTTGGTTGGTTACCCGTGGGGAAGTCTGCACAGTAATGCTTTCAGAGGCAGACACCTGGCTGTGCAGCTGACGACACGGAGTTTTGAGATTTTTAAGATGGAAATAGCTTTGAAGGGCTCATTCGCAGGGCCAGTAATAGCCAAGCCGATACAGTAACTAGATGCTAAATAAGCCCTTGTACTGAAAGTTGTGGGGGGGGAACCATGAGAGGGGGTGAATGGGTTAGAGTTGCTATATGTTGATTTTTCTTTTCTAGGATGAATAATATTCTATATGCAACCTAAAAAAACCTCCCTACTTTGTTTTTATAGGATAAATCACAATCTGCGGAAATCTGGGAGAAACTGAATTTCGGAAATAAGGACCAAAATGTCAAGTTTAGGAAGTTGATGGGTATTAAGGTAGGTGTTTCTAAAATTAGCTTTGTCTTTACGCCAGAAAAATCAGCATGAAGAGACCTGTGTGGTCTTGGAAGGCCTACAGGCTATGAAACAAAATTTCAGAGCAGTACATGGAGAGAAGTCACATTCTTGAGGTAGCTGGAGATAAGCTCAAACAGTGGGAAAATACAGATTTGGATTAAAATGATCTGGGGATCTGATTACATTGTGTATACACCGCAAGAACCCCACCAACTTTTCAGAGCAGATCTGGAAAACCTCAGGTGGGGAAAAACTGCTTGTGCTCCACTGCTTGGTAACTGGTAAAAATTATGGGAGCATCAGTAGAGACTTTTAACAGCAAAGCTTCCTTTGTAGCCGAATCTTTGTTGTCTACTATTGTTAAGCTGGGTGCCGTGTATCGGAGCAGAAGAGTAGAGTTTGGTGACCCTTTCGGTTGATGCTTTTCTTCTGTTTCTCCTAGAGCGAGGAGGAAGCCGGGGGTAGCAGTTCAGTGGACGAGGAGAGTTATAAGACTTTGAAACAGCAAGAAGAAGTCTTCCGCAATCTGGACGCACAGTACGAAATGGCCAGGTCACAGACACACACCCAAAGAGGAATGGGGTTGGGCTTTACGTCTTCAATGCGAGGAATGGACGCCGTTTGAGGAAAACGCCTTCGGACAGCTTTGAGACTCCGACCAAGATTCTGTGGTTGAGATGTTGGCTTCCTCATTCACCGAAAGCTGGCGTCCTAGCTTGCATGGGTGTTAACATTGACTTTAATTTATTGACATTACAATTTTTTTGTAAATACCAGATCAGTGATAACTGGTGTTCCATGTTGTAATCAGGTTATTATGCTCACTTCCATTGTACGCGCCAGAGCTCCGGAAGGATGCTTCTACTTCTGTGGTTCTCAAGACAGAACAGCCGAGGGTGAACTCGCCACACGGATATTTTGTGTCCACCACCGTCTCTCTTGTGTACTTTTTGTACTTTAAACTTGTACAGTTATTTTCAACTCTTGGAACATAAAACACATTGTGTTGGTGTTAAAAACTAGCAGATCGGGCCCGTGGGTACATAAATGCAGTGCAACAACCTGGTTAATAAAACATGTTTTTTTCTCTAGTAGTATTGTATTTAAGTTTAGTGGATAGTGGCCATTTCACAGTGGGATTTAATTTCACAGAGTATATTTTTTAGATAAATGCTCATCCTGATACAGGAAAGTAGAGGATAGAATTTTAAGTCAGTAGAGGATAAATACTGCAGATTATTTCTTAGCTATATCAAAATACTACATCCTAATGCTCCTCTCTCTCATCCAACAATTCTTTCCTCCCTGGTTTAAGTAGTTTTGTTCTGTGGAAGCTCTGATTGAATACTGTAGAGACAAACCCCTTAAAGATGCTGGATTTCTTTATAGCCATTGCCAGATTAGGAAGTATTTAATGCCCCCGCTGTAGTTCTCAGTCCCCACTTTGAACCTGTTATTAAAGGGTTTAAGATTGAGAGTAATCCATCCTATGAAACCTCAATATCTCTCCACGCCCAACAGAGGCAGATTGAGAATAGGGATGGCAGAGGGATTAAAATTCCCAACGTATTTGAGGATCGCAAATGTTCAGAGTTGCAGTTTTATTCGGAATTTGTGGCCGAAAACAAAACCCAGGAGGCTGTGATGGATGATATCCGCAGAGGCAGTTTTATTCTCAAGAGTAGCAGGTGCTGATCCTATTCCATTAAAGCCTTAGAAATACAAAACATGCATGGTCTGTTCTTAAATAACATTTTCGGACATTTCTGCACGCCCATCCCTGGTGCGTCTTTAATTGCGGGCACCCTGTCCCATCATCCTGGGCTGGAACGAACACCAAGCAGCCACAGCCCTTCCCAACCTGGCAGCGGAAATGCTCCTCCGCTCCCAGCATGCCCCGCGTCCAACTACAGCTCCCGGCATCCTCGAGGCCCCCCCCCGCAGGAGCCAATGGGCAGCCGGCGTAACCGTCGCCCCGTTGCATGCCGGGCGCCGTAGTCTTGCAACGCTGAGAGGCGGAAGAAAAAAAAAGGCCTCGGCCGAAGCCCGGGACTGGGTTGAACGGTGGAGGCCGGTCCCGAGCGCCTTCTCCGGGGCCTCCCCGCGACGGCGGAAGCGGCGGCCTCCTCTTTCTCGCCCACCGCGCCTCGCCTCGCCTCCCGCGCGCCAAGATGGCGGCCGAGGTGGACTTCGGCGACCGCGAGCTCTTCCAACAGCTGGAGGCCGACGAGGAGGCGCCCGCTCTGGGGCCCGGCTCGGCAGAAGAAGCGGCGGAGCTCCGCGAGCGCCTGAGGGACTCCGAGGAGACCGTTAGGCAGCTGCAGGCGGAGAATATCCTGCAGCTGGGCGAGGGCAGCGCCGCCCCGGCTGGAAAGGCCGCCTCCGCCCCGGCTGGGAGCGCCTGACTGGCCGGGCGGGGAGCGGCCTTCCTGGGGGAGAGGGAGGGAGGGAGGGAGGGGTCCCTGGCCGCCTTCGCTTCTTCCCCCCATGGGATTCCCTCCCCCCCCAAAAAAAAATCCGGATTAAGTACAGGTAGTCCTCGATTTACGACCACAGGGGGGGGCAACATATCGGTTGCTAAGCGAGACATTTGCTGAGTGAGTTTTGCCCCGTTTCACGACCTTTTTTTTATGCCACAGTTGTTGTTAAGTGAATCACTGCAGGCCTTCCGTTAGTCACATGGCTGTTAAGGGAATGGGGCTTCCCCCATTGAGTATGCTGGTCAAGAAAGTCACAAAAAGGGGATGGCGTGACACCCGGGACGCTGCAACCTTTCATAAGTACAAGCCAGTTGCCAAGCGTCCTAATTTTGATCAGGGGACCACGAGGATGCTGCAACCAACCGGTCATAAGTCACTTTTTTGGGGGGGATGCTTTTCTAACTTCGAATGGTCACTAAATGAAAGGTTGTAAGTCGAGGATTGCCTGTACATAGGAAAGCCGTTTGGGGGACTTCGGGCTGCTCCCCTCACAGGGTTGTTCTGGGGGGGGGGGAAGTAGGCAGTGGGTTTGTTTTATCAAATTTATAGACATCCTATCTCACTCTCAGAGCATCCCTGGGTGGGGTACAATTAACATAACCATGTATACATATTACATCTTGGTAAAAGGCATATAAAAATATCATAGGAGGATGGAATAATTTAAAGCTAAATAGCAGGAGGGAAGAGCCTTCAATGGGCTAATTTATAAAGTAATAATAGTGGGATAACAACAATAATAATAAACTAATCCCAAATTTGTGTGGCAAGTAATAAAGTAACCCCAAATTTGTGTGGCAAGCTCCAGGCAAGTAGCCAGAACCAGGTCTTCAAATTCTTTTCAGAGGCCAGGAGGGTGGGGAATTAGGTATTTTCTCTACCTTGAGTCATATGTAAAAAAAAGGTGGGATAAAATAATAATGGAGGAGGACTGGGGACAGGAGGCTGCAGGGATTCTCCTGGCTTCACTCTCTGTTTATCATGCCTTGCAATTCCTTAACCATTTTCACATCAGGAACTCAGAAGAAAACTGAACATCCTGACTCGACCAAGGTAGGTTTCACCCTCTCAATTATTTGCAATGTTTTGGCCAAGCAGAGGCTCTTCACGTAGATTTGTAATCGTGGGCCAAGGCTGTGAAACGCATGGACATTGAGAAGAGATTTATGTGAGAGATTGAGGGAGGAAACCAGATCTGATCTCTCTCCAGATTGCTCTCAAAAATATCTTCGTAGTGTAAAAATAACAGAAGGTAAAATAGAAAATGAAAGACTTGTAATAATCTGAGGAATTGACACTAAAGTTATTCCGTAAAGGTCAGGAAACTACTTTCGTATTGTAAGCTTTATGCTTTCTTTTTTTAGTGGACTAACCGTGGATGGATTTGATGGGCCTTTGTTACAGATCTTGTTCATGAATAATACTGTTTCAAAGTGAGTACCTTCCTTGTATTGGTTGAGTTCATTTTTAGAATGGTATGCATCTTAGACTAGAAGACTTGCGGATCTAGATTTACAAGTGTGCTGGATTCCTGCTAAAGGAGATTTTCCATTAGTAGCTACCCATGTTTGGTAGATTCGTGTTTTTCACCGTTTAAGAAAAAATAGAAGAGACTTTGTAGTAAGTCTTTGCAGTAAAGGAGAGAAGACATTTTTTAAAAAATAGTTTCCATTTATCAAAGATTTTAAACGTTTGAGATTTGTTTCTACATGCAGTATGAAAACAAATCTGAATTTGTTCAATGCTAGCAGGAAGTTTTTTTTTTTAAAAAAGTACCTGTATAGCTTTCTTTTTGGGAATTCAATCCACCTATTCTTTTGACGAGAGAACAAAAACACCAGCATTCATTATGTATAAATGCAATATCAGAAATCCTTAATCTTGTCCTGCTGGCTTTAAAAAACTAAATAGAACAACTGATCCTTTCTGTATTTTGATAATCTGTTATATAGGCAATATCATCAAGAAGTAGAAGAGTTTGTATCCAGTTTAGTTCAGAAATACGAGGAGCGGCGGAGGAGTGAATTGGACAAGACCTGCTTCAATGTTAAGCCGCAGGTATCTGTTGATGGGCTATTCTTTTATAAAGTTCTTTTCATCATGTGAAAAGAACTTTTTCATTGCTGTCCTAGAGATCATCTGTTTCTGTTCATGGGGCTGGTCCATCACAAACCCCTCACTGTGCTGATACTGCTGAACTTGATTGAAAAATTGAAGAACGTTGATTTAATTTTGTAAACTTGATTTTCATTTTGTTAGCCTTCTAGCTTTGTCCTGGAAGAGGATCATAAAGTAACAAGCTCAAATGTGTCCAAAAAAGTCAAAGAGGCTTTTAGCGTAAGTTCCTTTTTGTTTCTGTGTTATGAGTGTTTTGAGTTTTTCTAGTTTATGGCATTAGGAAATGATTGGTAACTGATAAAAATGATCCATGTAAATTTCATTTGTTGTTGTTGTTCTTAGTCCTGTAACTTTGTTTTTCCATTAATTGGTTGAACATATAAATACTACTTGGGAATCTCCATATTCTCAAGCCATTTATTTAATGTACTTAATTATGTCAGAACTTAATATTTGTGAAATATTTAAGTACATTTTCAGTATGATGTTTTAGTCTGATTAAAATACTGACACTTTTTGACTCTTTCTCCAGGTTGTAGGAAGTGTTCTCTATTTTACCAATTTTTGTCTTGATAAACTGGGGCAGCCTATATTAAATGAAAATCCTCAGCTCACAGATGGATGGGAAATACCCAAGTATCCTATTTAGTTAACTGTTGTTCCCTTTTCCTGTCAAGCCTTGCTACTTAATGCAATAAGTCTAAAACAGATTGGGTTCCATTTATATATATCTTCAACATCTTAGTGCCCTTAAGTCTCTCATCATTTGTTTGAATGAAACGTTTCCACAGGGGGGATTTCCTGCTCTGATTTAAAATGCTGTCACATCTTAACGTTGCATTTCTGAAAAGGCAGGGGACTGGCATTAACAGAATAATAGAGTTGGAAGGGACCTTGGAGGTCTTCTAGTCCAACCCCCTGCTCAGGCAGGAAACCTAGACCATTTCAGACAAATGGTTGTCCGATCTCTTCTTAAGAACTTCCAGTGTTGGAGGACTCACAACTTATGGAGGGAAGCTGTTCCACTGATATAATTGTTCTCACGGTCAGGAAATTTCTCCTAGGTTGCTTCTCTCCTTGATTGGTTTCCATCCATTGATGATCCATTGATCAGACAAAATTTGCAGACAAAAAGAAACATCCAGTCTTGAGACTGATAAGCTTTCAGACAGGGTTTTATCATAACGTAGCGGATAATAATTCTGATCGTGCCCTGTTCTGAAAAGCAATTTGTGCCTTTTGGGTGGTGGCTAATATTATCTAGGCATACAAACCCTACGATTGCATTTTGCTTGATACGATGGCAATTCCTTATTGAATTCTTAAGATACCAGCAAGTTTTCACGCAGATTCTTTCTCTAGATGGACAAGAGATACAAGTAAAGTCTAAAAGGTTTGTATTTCTTTAAATCTACAAATGTTTCTGGTTTTATTTTAAAAAGTATGTCTTGTGATAGGTTAGTAATAGATAGGATTAGGGAGGGAAGTAAAAAAAAAAAGCCCAGTTTACTTCGTAATGTAAATTTTTCAGGTGGACTTTAAATGGCATAATGGAATATGAGCATATAAAAAAGAAAACGTAGATAATATTTATGTCCTCAAATCTCCACAGAGGTATATAACAGGGGTTTTGATGGCCACCTGTCTCTTTCAAGAGAAACAGAATCTTAGAAACTCCTGTCACAGGTGGCCTATAGAATGTATTTTTTATCTCAGTTATAGGTTCTGTCTTCCAGCTCAAAACTTTAATAAAATGTTTATTTTTCTTTGGTTCGCTGTTGAAAAAGCATGGCTATGAATATTCCTTGGCAACAATGCAAAAATTGTGGTGCAACACTTAAGAGCCACACTATTCCTCACTGCCTGCCTCACAGTCGGCTTAGAATTTGTCCTGGCATCCAGTGCGTGACTATCACTTATTCATTTGACATCAGATTTCATTTGGTCATTCATATATCCAGTACTATTTCATTGCCGTGCTGGTGTGACTTTTTCCACCTTTAAAGTTGTAATTGGGCATTATTGATTTGCTCCTTTTGTGCTGCTACATCTAACGAGGCACCAAGAAGATTAGAGCAAGTGTTTTTTTTTTTTATAAAAAAAATAGTCACTGAGAGACTGTCAGTAGCTCTAAATGTGTGCCTGTGTTTATGTGTTTTTAATTAAGCAGACCCAAATCTCACTGTTTCAACTGTGGCTCTGAAGATCACCAGATTAAAGATTGCCCAGAGGTAAAGACATATTTCAGTCTGTGCTTTCCACAGCCTTACCGGTAGCTGCTATTGTGCTTGGTAGCACCCTGATGGTCTTTGTTTTTCCCTCCTATCTTAATTTTAGCCACGAAACTCTGCCCGCATAAACGAAAAAAGAAAAGAGTTTATGGACGCCTGCGGAGAAACCGGCAGCCCAAATTTCCAGCAGAGATATCACGCGGATGAAGTGGAAGAGCGGTTTGGACGCTTCAAACCAGGAATAATCAGGTACAGGTAGACCTCGACTTAACGGCCACAATTGAGCCCACAAATTCACTAAAAAGGGACACAAAGAAGGAATATCCAGATCCAGCGATTTCTTTACCTAACTCTTATCGTGCACGTTTTCTCAGTCGGCAGTCTGAAACCAAATTGCCAAACCGTGGCTCAATTTCGTTGTGTTTTTAACCAGACCTCCCTTCCCACTCCCCACAGCGAGGAACTCCAGGATGCCCTCGGTGTCACCGAGAAGACGCTTCCTCCCTTCATCTATCGCATGCGGCAACTGGGTTATCCGCCAGGCTGGCTGAAAGAGGCAGAGATGGAGAAATCTGGCTTAACGCTCTACGACGGGAAAGGTAAAAGGGGTTGAAGACTCTGTTTGCTTGTACAAGCCGGCATTCTGGGAGTTGGCCCAACATCTTAAAGGTGCCTAGGTTGAAAAACATTGGCATCTTGTTCACATGGAAGGGACCTTGGAGGTCTTCCAGTCCAACCCCCAGTTCAGGCAGAAAAGTCTACTCAGCCTTGGACAGCCTGAGCTTTTTTTTCAGCCCAGTTTCAACCTGTGTCTAATTAGCTGGTCAGGGGAGCTTGTTCCTCAGAGCTCTTGTAAGGCCTTGTTCAATTCATTAAAGGCGTTCCCGCATTCCAGCCTTCGGTGTCAAAACGGCCCGGAGCAAGAGAACGTATTTTGCCAGTCATGTCTTCCACGACTGATGTTGCTTTCTTACAGCATCGCCCAGCAGTGAGGCCGAGGAGGAATCTCACCCACATGAGAACCCGTGTGTCTCTTACGATCTCTCCAAGTTGATCAACTACCCGGGTTTTAACATGTCCACCCCAAGTGGGGTGACAGACGTAAGTGCCCGTTTCCTTGCTGTTGTCCTGCCCTTCCACCTCTAGGATGTCATGCCGGCTCACTTTTACCGCCATTCACAGTGTACCACTGTCACACAATCACCATTTATAACGTTTTTTGGCTGGAAAACTTTCAGTTTTTTTGCTTTTGTTTTCCAGCCAAAAAAACCCAAAAGATCTTTGCAGACAATGGATTCACATAACAACTGCGGCAAGAAAGGCTGTAAAATTGGCTGTGTGGCGGCCTGCTTAACAACCTGCACAGTCATAAGACGAGGAGTATCTGTAGCTCCTAGATTGTCTTAAATGCCTTCGGGAAGGACTGCCAGAAAGACAGTCTGTGTTTATCACAGCAATGCCTTTGATTAGAGTTCATTCTTTCTTGCCTCCGTTCTTTTTATTAAAGATAACACAGCAAAGCTCTGTTGCGTGTATATAAAGCTCGGACATTTATTCTTTGATTTTCTAATAGTTTCCTTCCTTCATTTTTTTGTGGGGGAACACAGGAATGGAGGATGTTCGGCTCGGTACCTCTTCAGCCATCCCAGCAGAAAGAAATTTTTGCTCATTATCTTACCACTTATCATTCGGTGAATATTTTTAAGCACGCTGGTCTATTTTCCCAGAACAAAACCTTCTTTTTTGGGGGGGGGGGGGGGGGGTTCCCCTCTGGGGTTCTTAATTTCTCTCCTTTGTTTCTGACCCCCCACCCCTTTTCAGGCCAGTCTCAAAGCCAGGCACAAAAGGTCTCCCTCTCATCAGAGCTCCCATCATTCGAAACGGCAGAAAGGAACCAGCGCCGATGTCTCGCCAGCCGACATGGAGATCGACTCCGGTATATCTTTCCTCTTAAAAAACACGTCGCCATTTTTAAAAAATTCACTCCCTTTTTGCTTTTTCCTTTCAATTCCATGAGCTCCCAGTAGAAACCCACCGTCATTTGTTTGAAGCGCCACCCATCTTAGCTCCAACTTGAGTCAGGCGAGTGATTAAAGACGTTTGCTCTTTTCCTCCTTCCAGATCTAGAAATGCCCCATAGCTCTCCCGCTTACGATGGCTTCCACTTCCAACCTCCGTTGCCTCCGGGGTCTCCGCTGACGGCCACTCCCCCCCCCTCTGCCGCAGGGCACCCCTCCAGGTAGTCCCCCCAGCCTGACTCCTCCTCCTCAACCGCTGTCTTGTGTGCCAGCAGCCCTGCCTCGCGACACCCCGCCTTGGACGCCGTCTGCCTCGCGGCCGGAGGATTCCACCATGGATGAAGACACCTTGACCCTGGAAGAACTGGAGGAGCAGCAGCGGCTGATTTGGGCGGCCCTCGAACAGGCGGAGAGCGCCAACAGCGACTCGGACCTCCCTGCCGTGACTCCCATGGCCGGCAACTCCGGGACGTCGTCCCCCTGCAGGACGGAGCCCTCCGTTCCCCTGGAGGAAGCGGCCCCCCAGCAGCTGGAGGTCTCCAAAGCTGAACCCGATGACAAACCTGAGCAGATACCCCAGACTACCGAAGAACCTGGTCCTCAACAGGCCATTGAACTGGTGGATTTAACAACCGAGGCGGAAGCCATTCCCACAGACTCTGAAGGCCAAGTCCAAACCTGCTCCTCGGATCCCGCCGGCCACCTGAATCACAGCGACGCCCCCGCGATTCCCGATGCCAGCGAGCCGCCCTCCTCCAAACCCCCCGGCCTCGTTCCCGACATGAGCAAGTTTGCCGCGGGAATCACCCCTTTCGAATACGACAACATGTCAGAGTCCACTGGGACTTACCTCCGAATAAGGAGCGTGCTGAAAAAATACCCAAGAAGCCAGCTGAAGAATAAGAAGCTCTCCCTTTAACAGCCCGACTCGGGCCAGGGACAAAAAAACAAACAAAATCAGGATTTGGGTGCTTTCCCCTTAAAGCACAAATCAAGAGCAGGAGACGGAAATCGGGGGGGGGACGGGCTTCCATTTTGACCTCGAACCAGGACTGATACTTCCACAGATACACAAAAGTTTTGTGAATCTTCTCCAATCCTGCATTAAAGATACCCCTGAATTTTTTTTCTCCCCCCAACTTGGGGTCAAAATACATCCTTGCCTCTCTCTACCAACCGAGGTTTTTGTCTCTGCCAGACTTGTGCTTTCCACAGGGAGCTGATAGTTCTTGAAATACATTTACTGTCCGCGGCTTTTGAAAGGACCTCGTGTTTTTTTTTTTTTTTTAATGTTTCCCCTCAAATTGTTGTGGCGATCCGACGGGAATAATCAGGGATGAATCAACCATTCTCTTTACATCCTTTTTAAAAAGTTTTTTTAAAGTGATTTAGGGGATTTACTTTTTTTTTTTTTAAACAACACTGGCTTTTTGTTTCGGTAACATCGTCATCTTTGAACTTGCTGTACATATATTTGTGCTTGTGTACAGGGGTTTAATAAAAAGATTTTTTTCATAACTTTTGTGTACATATGTAAACCTTGAAACGGGCTTTAGAAAGCCTATTCCTGGAAAATCAAACTTTATTGAGGATAAATATTGTGTTCTTTGTGCTGCTTTTTTTTTCCCCCTCTGTGCCTTTTTAAGGGAGTTACTGGAAAGGAAATTTTGCGGTCAAAAAGACAGAAAGCCATAAATAACACTCCCCGATTTAATCCTGCACGCATGGAAGAATTAGCTGTTTATTCAGAGTCGTCGTTTCCAATGTCTGTTTCATCTCAGGTTCCTTGCAAGATATTTAGACGGCCTTCTCTCCGTTCCCCCAAAGGTGTTTAGGTCCAGAAAAAGGTGTGTATAATTATTCTTTTCCCCACCCCTCTCTAACCTTGGGTGACCCTGCTCCTGATACCCAATGACCCCGTAGGATACCTACGAATGATCTCCCGTCCTTGAAGACCTGATCATCCAAAACGGGCCCCGTGGTTTGAAAAAAAAATAATAACTCCACCACCTCACTTTCCAGCGACGAATGTCTTGATGTACAAAGCCACGCCAAATATTCTCTTGCGGATTCCAACGTGTGGTTTTAATTAAACGTTCAAGGCTGGTAGGGTGGAGTTAAAGCAAAGGGGCGTCTGGCTTTAATGAACAGAGTTTTTAATGGAGTGGCTGGGTTTGAGCTTCGTTCAAACTCGCCCAGCCTCCGACTGGCTTGCCTGGACAGGAGAGAGCCCTGGCTGTTCACGCCTCTCTTTGTGGGGTTGTTCTTTTGTTTGTTTTGTTTTCTACCTTTATTGAGAGCTCTCTCTCCTCCTTTTCATCAAATTTGTACAATGTGAGTCTCCCAAGCAATGTGAGTCTCTACTTAGTCCAGGGCTCTCCAAGCTTGGCAACTTTTAAGACTTGTGGACTTCCAACTCCCAGAATCCCCCAGCCAGCAATGGCTCCTGCCCAAATTGGAGATTGGGGGTGGGGGAACCTGGGAAAACCAGGCCTCTCCAGGAGGGAAGGAGACTTAATGGGAGAGGAAGAAAGGAGAGGAGGAGGAAGGGAAGGAAGAAGAGGAAGGAAAGGGAAAAAAGGAAAGGGAAAGAAAGAAGAGTTGGAAGGGACCTTATAAGTCATCTAGTCCAACCTCCGCCCCCCCCCCAAAGCAGGAGACCCTAAACCATTTATTTATTTATTTAATGAGATATGCCGCCTTATCTCCAGCCGGACTCAGGGCGGCTCACAGCAGTAAAAAAACATCTAATGAAAAAGTAAAAAAAAAATAAAATTAAATCCAAATCTCATAATTTAACAGAAGTGCAATTAAGACTAACAAGTTGAAAATTAAAACCCCCATCAGTCGTTTCTGACAGGTGGCAGTCCAGTCTCTCCTTGAAAGCTTCCAGGGAGGAAGCTCCCACAACTTCTCTTGAAGGCAAGCTGTTGGAGGGAAGGAAGGAAGGAAGGAAAAGGAAAAGAAAAAGGAAAGAAAAGAGGGAAGGAAGGAAAGAAAGAAAAACAGGGAAGGAAGGAAGGAAGGAAAAGAAGAAAGGAAAAAGAAAAAGGGAAGGAAGGGAAAGAAGGAAAAGGAAAGAAAAAAAAGGGAAGGAAGGAAGGAAAAGAAAAAGGAAAGAGGGAAGGAAGGAAAAGGAAAGAAAGAAAGAAAAAGGGAAGGAAGGGAAAGGAAAGGAAGGAAGGAAGGAAAAGGAAAGAAGGAAGGAAGGAAAAGGAAAGAAAAAAAGGGAAGGAAAAGAAAAAGGAAAGAAGGAAGGAAAAGGAAAAAGAAAAAGGGAAGGAAGGGAAAGGGAAGGAAGGAAGGAAAAGAAAAAGGAAAGAAAGAAAGAAAAAGGGAAGGAAGGAAGGAAAAGGAAAGGAAAAAAGAGGAAAGGAAGGAAGGAAAAGAAAAAGGAAAGAAAGAAAAGGGAGGAGGAGGAGGAGGGAAGCAGGGGCGGCGGGCAGCCTCCTTCCCTCCCTCCTCCCGCCCTTCCGCAGTCCCCGCCTGGCGGCCGCCCCTGCCCGCCCCTGCCGCCGGGAGGGAGCCGCCAGCAGCGCCGCCTCGCCTCGCCTCGCCTCGCCTGGCCGGAGGAAGAGGAGAAGCGGCGGAGGAGGAGGAAGCAGGGCAGGTAGGCAGGCGGGTGAGGGGCTTGCAGGGGGCGAGTCGGGGGTCTTGGCCGCTGGCGGCGCCCGGGAGGAGGGGCGGGGGGCGCCTTTGTGGGGTCCTCGGGCGGGGGGCGAGCGGGGCCTTTCGGAGGCAGGCGGGCGGCGCCCCCTCCCCAAGTCCTGGGCCCTGCAGCCCCCTCCCCCCCGCTTTGTTTCTGAGGGGGAGGGCTGGGTTGGGGGCTGTGGGAGACACCTGGATCCCGGCCTCCTTTGAAAGGGGCTGGAGACGGGGGTGGGGTCTTCCCTTTTGGGGTCCCTTCCTTGGAGAGGGGCTGCTGGGCCCCAGAATGTGGGGGGAGGGCAGCCAGGACAATGGGGGGAGACCAGGCCTGCAGTGGATAGAAGGGGGGGGGGGCTGAGGAAGCCCAGGGCTTGCTGGCAATTGTTCCAGCAGGCATCTTCCTGATGGGGGGGAGGGGTGCTGGCAATTGTTCCTTTATGGGGAGGGGGGGAGACACGTTTACTGAAGGGAATTGGGGGGAAAAAGCTGCAGGCAGAGAAGGTATTTTTCTTTTTCCTAATTTGCCCCCCCCCCGTCCCCCCAATCCCAGATGGGGGTGTGGGTGAGAAAGACAAGCTCTGGTCTTAGGAAGGGTTTCGTTTTGGGGTGTCTGTGAAGATTTGTCCCCCCCCCCACACACACACACACCTGGCGTGTGCAAAGAGGGTGAGGGGAGCTTATGGATGTGAGGCTTTTGGCTTTGTCTCTTTTGGGGGGCTTGTGAGTTGCCCTGAATTCTGCTCCCCCCCCAAATGGGGGCCCTGTGAATCTTTTCAATGGGGAAATACCATTAAAAGGGGGGCGTCTGGTGGTCCCTTCTGAGATCAGCCGGTTGTCCGAAAAGGGGTCACTAGATTAATCCAGGCTTTCTCAACTTTGGCAAGTTGAAGAGGGGTGGACTTCAACTCCCAGAATCCCCACGGCTGACTGGGAATTCTGGGAGTTGAAGTCCACTCCTCTGGGAAGCCAGGCCTGTTGGGACCCCCGGGCTAAATTAGGGGCATCCAGAAGGCAAATGCAGGGTGGGGGGCATTGCTGGTGGAGAAGCCAGAGGGCTGCAAATCAGGGAGGTACAGGCAGAGTCCAAGGGTGTCCTTCCTTCCCTCAAGGGGTCCCATTGGGGTGTAGGGCAAAAGAAAACCCGGGGGTCCCCACATTCTTTGATTTACCCCCTTGATTTGTGGGAAGATTGTGCTCGGTCATCTGATCTGCTGCCACATAGGATGACATCTGTGCTGCAAGGAAAAGAAAAGAAAAGAAAGGGAAGGGAAGGGAAGAGAAGGAAAGGGTAGAAAGGAAAAATAAGGGGGGAGGGAACGAAAGAAGGGGAGGAAGAGGAAGGAAGGAATAAGAGGGAAGAAAGGAAGAAAAAATAAGAGGGAAGGAAGGAAAAAGGAGTGAAGGAAGAGGAGGAAGGAAGGAATAAGAGAAGAAAGGAAGAAAAAAATGAGGGAAGGAAGAGAAGGAAGGAAGAAAAAATAAGGGAGGGAAGGAAGAGGAGGAAGAAGGGAAGAAAGGAAGAAAAAATGGAGTGAAAGAAGAGAAGAAGGGAAGAAAGAAAGAAAAAAGGGAGGGAAAGAAGGAAGGAAGGAGAAACCACACAGAAGAGCCCCCCACTGCTGCGCCAGTGGCCCCCAGGTTCCCCCCCCCCCGGGCCTTGGCCTGGCCAGCTCCTGGGGGTCAGCGGGAGCGCCATCTGAAGGGGGGCAGATGCCGCAATCAACTGGTGTGAGTTCTCGCATGACATCAGTGGGGGGGGGTTGGAAGCCTCATTGGCCGAAGGCGGCAGGCGAGAGGCTGGCTTCCTTCCTGCCACGGGGGTTTAAAAGGTTTATTTGGGACGTCCTCGGCCAGAATTTGGAGCAGGGGCACCCCAGGTAAAGGATACCGAATTGCATGCCTTGATTTGCCGGTTGCTTAAATGCGAAAACTGCGTTTTTGTGTTGTGTTTCAGGGACTTTTTCTTGTGACTTCACTTTATTCTGTCACTCTGGGAGACAGACAGGCGTACGGTTTTCACACTGATATTTTGCAATGCCGGATGAAAGCCTTCTGTTCGTGTTCAGCGGAAGCTGGTTTGTTGCGTTGTTGTGTTTTCTACAGCTTCAGCTCCTTTCCGCATTAGTAAAATATTAGGAAAGGATAGCTTTCTTTTTCGTTTTCAGCAAGGTAGATTTTGTGTCTTCTAAAGCATAACGTGCATTTTGTGCGGGAGGTAAATATGACCAAAAACTATAGGATAGCCTCGTGAATAATATTTAGGCTCTTGAGATAAGAATCCAAAAATAGTGACATTTTAAGGAATATCAGCAGAGAAATTGATTTTGCAGTAAATAAAAACGGGCAAAGCAATTCCTGTCTTGTATTATATCATCCTTTAACCTCATAGATCTAGAATATGTTTGTGTGAGATGCTATAAAAGGAACACGTTCGTTTCCTCTTGCACTTTGAAATGGAGGTACTCATTATCAGTGTTGTGCCAGAATTCAAAAAAATGTTTGGGCTTTATCTGGCATTTGTAATTTTGGGAGGGGGTGGGGGCGATATCTTTAGCTCTGCAAAAGAGGGAAAGGCATGAGAAATTTAATTTTCCTAAGGGAAGTTAAGTAAGAAACAGTCTAAATAAAATTAAGTGTTTGGAAAGCTGCAATTAACCTTGTAGTTGAACTGTTTTAAGGTTTTGCATTTAACCTCAACCATTTTGGATGACAAAGAATTACCAGAAATATTCTCATTTCCCCCCACTTTGTCTACTTAGGAAACATCTTACACTTTCACGCTTGCGATATTCCTACCTTAGTGGGATGAGTTTCCTAAATAAGTGGAGTTGCTAGATTGCATTCTGCGGGGTGAAGCCAGTTTTGAGCTCCCAATGCAGAGGCAACTCCACACCCGTCTTCATTAGCGTCGATGAAATCAAAATACAGGTTTTGTAACTCACGACATTGCCATTATGAAACACAACTGGAGGTGGTGGCAGCGAAGGTATTTCTGCCCCGTGATTCATGCTTTTATTGCGTTGCCTCTTCTGCAGCAAAACATTATCAGCACAGGTAGAGTTGTCGTGATTCCCTAATGCAGGTAGTCCTCGACTTACGACGGCGAGGGCCCCAGAATTTCCATCGCTACGGAAGGCAGCTGTTCAGTGAGTTTCGCCTGATTTTGCCACGGTGCTTAAGCGAAACACTGCGGGTTGCTAACTGAGTCATAAATATATGCCGATTGCCAAACGCCTAGATTTTGACCGTCAGAATGCTGCGATGGTTGTAAGTCTGAGGACTGGTCATAAGTCACTTTTTTTCTGTGTTGTTGTAGCTTCAGACATTTGTTAAACAAATAGTTGTAGGTCAGAGATAGATAGACCTGTCTAAAGATGGGCAGACTTGCATCGTTTTCATTACAATCTCTTGCTTTGGGATCCTAGCCAAGATGTTCTTATAATACAGGTAGCTCCTCGACTTACGACCGCAATCGAGCCCAACGTTTCCGTTGCTAAGTGAGACATTTGTTAAGAGAGCCTCGTCCCCATTTTACGACCTTTCTTGCCGCAGGTGTTAAGTGAATCAACAGCAGTCGTTAAATTAGTAAGATGTTAGTTAAGAGAATCCGGCTTCTCTACAGAGTTGGCTTTGTCAGAAGGTCGCAAAAAGGGGATTTGATGTGACCCCGGGACATTGCAGCCGTCATAAATGCGAGTCAGATCACATGACCATGGGGGACGTTGCAAAGGTTGTATAAGGGTGAAAAACGGTTGTAAATTGCTTTTTTTCCAGTGCCATTTAACTTCGAACGGTCACTAAACATACTGTTGTAAGTCAAGGGACTACTTGTAAAGATGGCAAGTGAACTTGATTAGATGTTCCTTGTACCTGGGATGTCTCCTTAGGAAGCTGTAGGACTCCCACGCTCTTTGCCAAAATCCCTGCAGGCATCAGATACTTGGGAGGGGTGCTAATCGGTTCCACCTTGTTTTTGCATTTAGGAAGGATTTTTAAAGAAGATTCTTAACTCCTTAGAAGGTGCTTTAAAAAAACCCACATCTCCCACTTCCTTCCATATGAACTTCAGAGGTATTCATTTGCATGCTTTTAGGGTTTTTTTTTTTAAAAAGAGTGTAGGGTGTATCCAATTCTGGGAGTTGACATCCACAAGTCTTAAAGTTGCCAAGGTTGGAGACCCCTGCACTATTGTGTCTCCTGACCTGTTTCTTCCTTGCTTGGGACTGGCAGAAGGGAAATCTCCTTCCCACCCACCCCACCTGCTTTTCAAGCTTCTCTCCAGCTTTTCTTTTCTCGGACGCTGCTTGAAATGCAGATGAAAACAAAAATGATAAAATTCACAGAGGCTTTGGAGACGGATTCTTCTAAGCTGCTACTCAAAAGTTTGATCTCCTCCTTCGTTCAGTTGCAGTTCTGGAAATTGGCACAGGAAAAGCAGGCCTTGGGTGTCACCTCTGGCATTCCTGACCTTTGGAATTGCAATCGGTTTAACTGGTTTTTTGTTTTTTTAAATGGGCTGGGCCTTGGACGGGATCTTTTTGGTATTCCGACACAATGCCTGGGCTTGGTGCAACCTATTTTTTTTTTGGAAAACAGAAAGGAAAGAGCTGCAAATTCCCATTCTTGACTCGCCTCTGAAATAGCAACTTCTCCTCCTCATCCGTTCATCCCATTCAGAGCAGAACACAAGGAGGACTAGAAGGCAGGTAGATGAATTTCTGGCTCAGGACATTTTTTTCCCTCTTCCTTCACTTTTGTCAAGTCTAGCGAAAAGAAGGAGCAGGTTTCCAATATCTACAGGGCTGCCCCAAAGAAGAGGGGAATCAAACTACCATGTTTCCCCGAAAATAAGACCCTGTCTTATATATTTTTTTTTGAACCCTGAAATAAGCGCTTGGCCTTATTGCCATGTGCTCAAAAGCCCAATTGAGCTTATTAACAGGGGGTGTCTTGTTTTGGGGGAAACGGGGTATTTTCCAAAGCACCTGAAGGCAGGACAAGAAGCAGCGGATGGAAGATTGCAAATCACGGCAGTTGTCAACTTACGACAGTTCACTTAGTGAACGGTTCAAAGTTACAACAGCCCTGGGGGAGGGGGGCAGGGCGGGGAATGACTTATTGCCATTTTTCACACAACCATGGCAGCTTCCGAAACAGTCAATATAAATCTTAAGGATACCAGCAACAAGGTTACAGTCATACAGTCATAAGTGGGAAGAGATGGGTGATAGGAACGATGAGAAGAATAATAGTAATACAGTTTTAGTGAATAGTTTGACAGTGTTGAGAGAATTATTTGTTTAGCAGAGTGATGGCATTTGGGGAAAAACTGTCCTTGTGTCTATTTGTTCTGGTGTGCAGTGCTCTATAGTGTCGTTTTGAGGGTAGGAGTTGAAAGAGTTGATGTCCAGGATGCGAGGGGTCTGTAGATATTTTCACAGCCCTCTTTTTGACTCGTGCAGTAGACAGGTCCTCCATGGAAGGATTGAGCCTTTGTTGGTAGCCATTATTTTCTCTGCAGTTCTAATTCTCCTCTGAAGTCTCTGTCTGTCTTGTTGGGTTGCAGAGCCAAAGCAGACAGTTATGGAGGTGCAGATGACAGACTCCATCATTCCTCTGTAGAACTGGATCAGCAGCTCCTGGGGCAGTTTGAGCTTCCTGAGTTGGTGCAGAAAGAACATTCTTTGTTGTGCTAACCATGTTATTAACTTAACAACGGTGGCAAAAAAAGTCGTAAAACAGGGCAAAATTCACTTAATAAATGTCTCCGCAGCAGAAATTTTGGGCTCGGTTGTGGTCGTTAAGACGAGGAATATCTGTGCTGCTTTGCGGGTATAACCAAGTATTAAGATAAAGTATTTGAGGATGTGAAAAAACCATGCCATCACTGATAAACATTAAATAGATCTAGACAAATTGATTCAAAGTGTTAGCACCTCACACCTTCGTTCCCTAGACTTCAATCTGTTATCCTGTTTTCTCTGTTAATTAAAAGTGGGATATTTTTTCCCCCAATTCGTCAGTTACTCTTTTGAAATAGCGTCTGCATTCACACGCAAAATTAGCACATTATTTTATTATTACATGAGAAGCCGTTCTCAAACCCTGATTTATTGTCTGGTATCTCTGGACCAGGTTTGAAAACCTGTTTATCTAAAATATTCCAGCGGATTGTCTCGGATGGTCCCGTCAAACTCCTGCTTGTCTATTTTTAAAAAGGCTGCAGGAGAACAAGAGTTGTGTAAAAACAAGCTGTATTTTTCTATTAATAGCAAGCTGGGTGAGATATAGCCTTAGAGAAGTCAAGTCAGTCCAGATGCTTGGAGTGAGTTTTTTGTTGCTGTTATTTTTATGCTCGGAAGTGCATATAGAAATTTGCTTTCTTCCCCCCCCCTCCTTCAAAACAAAAGAAAACAACTAGCTAAAGACTTAAGCTTTGCCGGAAAAAGGATTCTTGCCATTAACCTGTCGCTGTAGCAACAGTTAGAATCCATTTCGGAGCTGATTTGCTAAAGCAAAAAATTAAAATGGTTATTTAAAGCGGGGGTCTCCAAACTTGGGCACTTTAAGACTTGTGGACTTCAACTCCCAGAATTCTGGGAGTTGAAGTCCACAAGTCTTAAAAGTGCCCATGTGTTGTGGCCTGTCAGCGGCCTGTGCAGCTAGTAGCTGATTCGGACAGCGAGGAGGCTGGTGTGATGATGCGCCAGCAGCCTGTGCAGCCGGCGCTCGAGTCAGACAGTGAGGAGGCTGGAGAAGATGTGGTGCCAGAGGCGGGGATTCAGCCAGGGCCTTCAGAACCTCCAGAAGCTCCCATAAGTAAAGAGGAAGAAGAGGAGGAGCCTCTTCTCGATGCACGGGCGCGCAGAGCTGCCAAAAGGCAGGAGTGGTTCCTCAGGAGGAGGTCTCCTCGAGAGTAAGGCTTGGGGCTAATTGGCCACTCCCTTAGCCTATTTAAGGAAGGACGACAACTGAGGCAATTTGCAGGGAACAACTTCGTTCACTCTCCTTCGTGTCCTGATCTTAGTTCTCTTATCAGTTTCCTGCAAATTGCTTCTGGGCTTTCTGCCAACCATAGTAAGATTACGATTATTTATTCTTTGGATTCTTGTAGGCTGTTAAGAAAGTTAATTAACAGCCTTTATTTGAAAAAAGACTGATTTAATTTAGTAAACTAAGATTTGTACAGACTTTGTGTGTGCTGCATTCTTTGGGATCCGTAGCTGGGGCAGAACACTAAGTTTGGAGACCCACCCCCTGATTTAAAGAATATAAATGGGGCGACATGAAATAACAACTTCTTAATCGATCTCGATTAATTAACCAATTCTTTAGCAGTCAAGCAAAATGGACCCACCTCTTCCGATCCAGTTCTTTGTGGTATTCCCATCCTCAGTGGTCTTCAGGTATATACTTCCTTTGTGTGAAGGTCTCTGAATTCCCTGAGGGATGGGCTTCCAGAGAAAATTCCTAGTTATAAATGGTGGTCTCGGCATGTCAGGTGCAAACAGCCAGAGCTACTGATGAATAACAAAAGTTAGTAACTTTATTTATCTAAATTACAAGAATCTGCTTGTCTTCCCCTGGGAACAACCAGAGAAGGCTTCATGATCTTGTGTGAGATCCATGTCATTTGTGTCTACTCAGCGATGCTAAGCTCAGCCCTTGCTTGACTCCTCCTTGCAACCTAGCAGGCAGTTTCCCAACACAACACTTCTGAGGGTCTCCAGTTAAAGTTAGGGTTAATGCCTCCTCTCTTTCCTTGCCTTACACCTCAATCCCCCAAGACCACCCCTTTCTTCTTTGCTTCAAGACACATCTCCAAACTCAACTTCTTGGACGAAGTTGGCGCTGTCTACTAAAGCTGAGCTTAGAATACTTGTAGTTTAATTGAAATATTTCCCTCGTTACTCGTGTTTCTGTTTCCCTCCTCTCACTTTGCCATTCCTGGTAATAATCAGAGGAACTAAGTCTGTTTCTGTTCTCCTTTGACCGTAGGGAGGACAAGCATCCATCAGGAACCTTCCATTCTTCCGAGGGATGCGGTTAACAAAGCGAGCACTGTTGGGTGGCAGTGCCCGTGTTTCTGTGGTGGCATTCCGAGGGACGTGGTGGGCATTCCTGAATGCTTGGTGGATGATGTCAGAGCCAGTGACGTCATAATACAAAAGGGAAGAAGGGGGAGAGAATCAGGCTGAACTCTGCATTGTGGTGTTATTAATTAAAGAGCGCCAGCTAAGGGAATTCTAGGTTGCACCCATCAAAGCCCTCCTGAACCATTCAAGACTCCCAATTTCCTAGAGGTCTTCTTAGACGTTAACGCTGCCCTACGTATCAATGCTGGGAGAACTTCTTCATGGTTGAGGCAGGTAATGTTCAGAGCGATCCGATCTTTACTTAGGCTTTGAGAGGAGATTCTGGGACATCTGCAAGTCCTCGACTTACAACAGTTTGTTTAGTGACCGTTCACCATTACAATGGCACTGAAAAAAAGTGACTTAGGACCAGTTTTCACACTTTTCACAACTGTTGTAGCGTCTCCCCGTGCTCACACGTTCGAAATTCAGACATTTGGCTACTGACTCGTCTTTATGACAGTCGCAGAGTCACATTTGTGACCTTCTGACAAGCAAAATCAATGGGGAAAGCCGGATTCACAATCTGACTTAATTTAACAGCTGCAGTGATTCACTTAGCAACTGTGTCAAGAAAGGTCATAAAACGGGGCAAAATCAACAGATGTTTCACTTAGTGACAGAAGTTTGGGGCTCAACTGTGGTTGTAAGTCGAGGACTACCTGTATTGGTTGACACACGGGTTCCACAAAACATAATCTTGGGCTCAGAATCTGGAGACGGTCGCTTTTCAGTTGGATGTAGAGGTCAGAGGTCAACCTCACCCACTCACCCCCAAAAGATGCTGAACCCCCCTTGTAATGAGTCCGTGGTTGCACAGTTCTTTGTTCTTTCCTTGCTTCTGAATGTTGGATGGTTGACCTGCTTCATGGACCAGGCCCACAAGCTTCTGGATTACCTGGCCAGATCTTTGGAGGCCTGGTTTCAAAATTGCTCCCAGGACGCTCTCCCAAATTTCGGACAAGGCAGGGATGTTTGTATATAGGAAGAAGGAAGGAAGGATATACCTGGGCTGAAATAAATGAGAAATATCGCTCCCTAACAGATGGGGAGGACATTACAGAAAGAGGAAGCTGCAAGGACAATCATTTAAGACAGCCGAGGGCCTTGAATGGTGGGACATAAATTAAATAGGGAAGGCCACAGAGCTAAAGGACCAACAGAGAAAGAGACCGTGGAATACGGCAGGGAGATTGGGTTGAGTTGATAATGAACTGTGGACCTCAGCAAATAACCAAATGGAGAGACAGAATAAGTACCCAGCCTTCTCCAGCCTGAGCTCTGTAGATGTTGACCATGAACGTTGGACTTGCCAGCAAATGAGGACATGATGGGGAACAGATGTTAACCACAGAAGGGTGTAGCTAGGGTCCACATCACACAAGAAGAGGAGAAGGCTCCTGGAGCTTCTCTGTCCTCATGGGGAAGGTCCTGCCTTCATGAACCTTCCAGTAATGGACTTCTTCTGGCATTGTCTTAACCCAGAGGTCTCCAAACCTGACAACTTTTAAGACTTGTGGACTTCAACTCCCAGAATTGAGGGATTCTGGGAATTGAAGTCCACAAAGTTGCCAAGTTTCTATCTAACACAAGGGCGTGCCAGACGTCGGATTCTTCCTGTCGTCAACAGGCTGCCTTCCACTAACCTAAGTCAAGGTTGAAGAACAGGGCTGACCAAGCAAAGGTTTTCTTTCCTTCTACTCAAACCTCCTTCTCTTCCTTTTGGAACCAGCCCCGCTTGTAAGTAAGCGATTTTCATTGCTCTTTTTTCCAGTGCGTCACCCGCCCATGTTCGCTCCTTCCCAGGCCCTGCCTGTTTTTCCAAATACCTCTTGGCTCCCGTGCAAATAATCCAGTTACTTGAAGCTCCTCGATCAGATGTTATTGTTGCGGCTGTTGTGGTCTGGGTTGAAAATAATCCCTCCCTTTCTCGCTGCTGCGAGGAGTTCTTGCAAGAAAGAAAATAAATAAAACCCCAACACATCGGACATCTTCTCTTGGAGAAGCCTCCACGGGGCCTCCAAACAATCCAAGTTATTCTGTGTTTTTCCCTCCTCTCTTCCTAGCAACCAAAGAAGAGGAAGAAAACCTCAATTTATCTCCAAGGATCCAGACTGGGGCACCGTGCGGGGACTGTACAATATGCTAAGCCATCTCGTGATCTTCAGCCTGGAATTCTAGCCCGGCCCGCACCGAGGTGGGTGCAAAGTTGTGAGTTGCCAAGGGATTGCGATGCTCTCTGCTCAGCCATCCTGACAATCTTACGCCGGGTGGCTAAACTTGGATTTTGCTGGTGGTGGTGTGGAGAAGGGAAGGGAGGAAGGGTTACTGGCTTCCTTGTTCTCTTGCTTGCCTGCTTTCTTTTAGGACCTTTAACTTTTTTTTTGGAACCGACGTATTTTAAAATGTAACTTAATATATATAATATTTACAATACAATACGAACAATAATGTTTGTATTGTATGTTTTTAGCTGGCTGTACACCACCCTGAGTCCCTCGGGAGAAGGTGCGGTATATAAATTCGAAATAAAATAAAATAAATAAAAATAAAATAAAATAACTTCTCCAATTTCTTATCTCTTGTAAAATGGACCGCGTTATCTTTCTCAAGTATGCTCTCGCCGTGTGTTCTCTTCATACGTCCTTGCTGCCGGCTATCTTGTGTATTTCATGGGGTAGGCTAAATCGTTAAATAAATCTCAGGGATGTCCCAGCACCATGGAACACTCTGTCCCCTTAAGCTTGGCAGACCCTCACTCTTTTTAGCCTTCCGTGAGGCTTCTTTCCCCAAGGTATAGAGAGAAAAGTAGACGCACCTTTGAACTGCAGGTTTTATTTTATTTTTTTCATGTGTTTATTAGTTGCGTTTTACAGTCTTAAGTGATTTTATATGGGATGGGGGGGGGTTGGATTTTTGATTGGGAGATGCCCAGAGGTGGTTGAAAGAGAGGCAATTATTTAAACATTTTTAAATCAATAAAAATAAATGTTGGCACACTTAATATCTTTACCAAGAAGTAAATAGCTTCTGGGGTGAGTGAGGTTGCTTACCGAAAGCAGCCTTTTAAATAGCAGACTCTTACTTAAAAAAACAACAACCTCCTATTCTCTTTAATTAAAAGGAAAAGATAGAAAAAGAAGTGACTAGTGTAGATTTGTTTTAAAATAGGAATGGGTTTCTGGCAGGTGCCATTGGCTGTAAAAATGCTTTCCCCCCCCCACCCTTTGCTTAGGAGGCCGGGATGGTGAGCAGAATTTCTTTGCAAGTCGGTTCAGAGGTTAACTAACGTCTCTCTCCTCTCGGTGCTCTTGATTGACAGGTTGAACCCGGAGGCAAGCCAGAGAGTGATCCATATGTTTGGGAAAAGATAGTGATTGCTTTCAGACCGGCCGACCATGAGTATGTTGAAACCGAGCGGGTTGAAAGCCCCCAGCAAGATCAGCAAACCGGGAAGCGTGCTGGCCAAAACAGCCGCACCTGCGGCTGCAGGTAAGGCCGTAAGACGATCATCTTGGGGACGGTAGAAGCCGGGACAGACCTCCTCCACGTCATCTCGGGTTTCTGTCACAGGCTTCGTGGTTCAAATAGCTCTGGGGGGGGGGGGGGGGGGAGAATTGCAGCAGATAAAACTGGAGAGAGCAAAAAGAAGGAAGTTAGTTAATGTGTGAGGCAGCTAGTCCTCGATTTACACCTATAATTGAGCCCTGGATTTTGGTCGCTGAGCGAAACATTTGTTCAGGGAGTTTCACCCCATTTTACAATCTTGTTTGTCACAGTTCTTAAGCGAATCACTGCAGCCGTTAATGTTAGTAACGCTAACGAGTTTAAGCGAATCTGGCTAACTTTGTGGAGGACATGCCAAGGGAGCTTCCCTCAGAAGTCTTTAAGAAAAGTTTTGTACAGGGAATCCTCGAGTTACAACGATAACCATGGTCGTAAAGTGGGTCAGTCACATGACCGACTTGATTTTATAAACCGCTTTGCAGCGATCATTAAGGGAAGCTGTGGTTTGCCATGGGCAGTACAGTCGTAAGTGGGAGGACAGCTCTCATTAAAATGGCTACCTATCCATGACATTCTCCTCCTTCCGTTTCAGCCTCTCCGGAAAAGACCCCGGCCGCGGAGAAGCCTCCCGCCACAGAAGGTTCAGATGAGTTTGTGGACGATTTCCGAATCGGGGAGCGTATCTGGGTCAATGGGAATAAGCCTGGCTTCATCCAATTCTTGGGAGAAACCCAGTTTGCTCCGGGTCAGTGGGCAGGAATCGTGTTGGATGAAGCTATTGGCAAGAACGATGGCTCCGTGGCCGGAGTGAGATACTTCCAGTGTGAGCCCTTGAGGGGCATCTTCACCAGACCTTCTAAGCTCGCCCGGAAGGCCGTTTCCAAGGATGAAGCCAACGGGACCCAGGCATCTAACGCCTCTCGGGCCTCGTCGCCCACGTCCACCTCAGCGGCCAGCCTCGTGTCTTCTCCTTCAACAGCAGCCCATCTGCCGCCCACCGGCATACCCCAGAAGATGTCTCCTCTGGCCACCAAGGAGACGCCCGTTTCTCACGCGAGCAACCTCTCTAAAACCACCAGCGAATCCATTTCGAACCTTTCGGAAGCCGGGTCCTTGAAGAAAGGCGAAAGAGAACTCAAAATGGGAGACAGAGTGTTGGTAAGTTGTCAAGTTGCTGCTTCGGAGTTGTGTGTTGATTTGTTGATGTTTTGGCTTAATGCAACGAGCTTCAACCCCAACAAGATCCCCAAAGTCCTCTGATATCTCCAGCTTCTCACACGGAGCTCTCCATGGGATCTCCACACTGTCTTCCTTGGGATCTTGCTTAGGAAGATATCCTTGGAGATCTAGCGGGTCAGCAGAGGTCCCAGAGAATCCTTGCAGATGCTGCACAGTTGTGGTTCTCTTCATCCATGAGCGATCGTCACCGTTGTAAATATGATTAGCTGTTGGGTTAGTATTTTGGAAACGAGAGAATATTTTGTATGGAAAAATAGCTTCTGAATCCTCCCTTTGGACAATTCAGGAACAAGAGCATCAGCCAAAGTACCGTATTTACGGAGGTCTTTCAAATCTCTGCTTCGAAAAGAAGAGACGTGCTTATCTCTAGCTGGAAAAGTTGTCTTCTCAGCTCAGTGAAGGCCAGGCAGGAGAGATGGTTGAAAATGTCCGGGATTTTGTGTTTTTAGAGACTGTAGAGAAGGAAGGCTGAAAGGCGTTGCATCTAGAACAGTATTTGTCAGCCTTAGCATATTTTAAGATTTGGGGACTTCAACTGGCTGGGGAATTATGGGAATTGAAGTCCACACATCTTAGAATGATGGGAATTGAAGTCCACACATCTTCCCCAATGCTAGCTGGGGAATTATGGGAATTGAAGTCCACACATCTTAAATTGAAGAATACTGTTCTAGATGCCTTTAAACCATCTAATCTGATCAGGAAGTGGGTTTTTTTTTTTTTAAATGCAACGTAAACAAAATAAGTTTTTTTAAAAATCTTATTTCTCTCTGCTCCACTTTAAGGAAAGCACCTGTTTTTATTTTAATTTACCAGCGCACCTTGATTCGTCCTTTTAGCCATAATCATATTGCAATCCTTTTGTATTTATTTATTTTCTTTCTTCTACTTGCCATCCCCTTCCCAGTCTGGGTGGGAAAAACATATAAAAACGCCTGGTGATCTCAAAGTCAGCTGTTTTGGCTCGTTAAGGGCTTTGTATCACCACTTCTGAGTTAACATGGTGGTGTCATGCTTTGCTAAAAAAAGATTTGGCAAAACCTCGCGCTGCTCTTTCAATTTTTTTAGCACTTTTCCCTCCGGATGTGAGTGAAAGTCACCAGGGTAGCTGTGGTCAGCAAGTGGTCAGGATGCCCTCATCTGGGGGGGGGGGGGGGGGGGGGGGGGGGGCACGGGACAGCGGGAGGTATAAATTTACTAAAGTGGGGGTTTTTTTTCCAAAAAAGGAAGGAAATAATCCCCTCTGAACCTGCGTGTTTAAGATGGAAATGGAAGGAAATGTGAATTTTGCTTGGCAGAGTTTATTTCCTGAGTCTTCCTATACAGGTAGCCCTCACCTTATGACGACAATTGAGCGCAAAAAATTTTATTGCTAAGCAAGACGGTTGCTAAGTGAGTTTGGCCCCATTTTACAACCTTCCTTGCTGCAGTGGTTATGTTAGTAACAGGGTTGTTAAGTGAATCTGGCTTCCCCCATTGACTTTGCTTGTCAGAAGGTCCCAAAAAGGGGATCAGATGACCCCGTCATAAATATGAGTCATTTGCCAAATGTCTGAATTTTGATCTATCACGTGACCCCTGGGGATGCTGCATGTGAAAAACCTACGTCATAAGTCACTTGGTTCAGTGCCGTTTTAACTCTGAACGGTCACTAAACAAACTGTGGCAAAACTGACTTAACAAATGTCTCGCTTAGCAACAGAAATGCTGAGCTCAGTTGTGGTCCTAAAATGAGGACTACCTCTCTTGCATGACGCATGAAGCCCATCATTTTGGAATATAATTATTTTGGGGTGGAGTATTATATGACGCCTTCGCCTCCACTTACCCTGTTTCTGCAGTCAGCGAAAAGAGCATTTTTAATCCACCCATTCAGAATTTTTTTTTAAAAAAAACCAGCAGATTAAGTTTCTGTAAAGACAACCATTTTAAGGAATGACTTCATCTGTTGGTTCAGCTTAGCCGCCTCCAGGTAGGGTGAAAATTGCTGGGTCTGCAAATCTCGTGCGCCAACAGGTTGCTGCCTTTTGGGCACGGTGGGTAAAAAAATGGGCAGTCAAGGTGAGATCATTCTTTTGGCAAGGTTAACGACGATAAAATCATCCTGCACGCAAGATATTATCAAAACATTAAAGGGTTTTGTTTTCTCTTTGCTGAACCAGGACAAATGATTTTTTTTTTTTATTTGATTTATATGCCGCCCTTCTCCGGAGACTCAGGGTGGCTTACAATGCGTTAAGCAAATTTTGAAGTTAACTGCATAGAGTAGCGTTTCTTCAGCTTGGCAACTTGAAGATGGCGGGACTTCAACTCCCAGAATTCCCCAGCCAGCCAGCATGGCTGGCTGGGGAATTCTGGGAGTTGAAGTCCCGCCATCTTCAAGCTGCCAAGCTGGAGAAACATAGATATTAAGGGTTATGTGAATCCGTCCGGTGGTGGGCAGAAGTGCCGTGCCCGATTCCGAAGGTAAGTAGAACCCACAACTGAATCCATCTGTGCTTGTGGCTTTATGCTGGAGGCAAAGAAAGCTCCAAACTACCAAATAAATAATAAAATAAGCTCCACGCTTTTGGTTTTAATGTCATCATTTCCTCACTTGGTCTCCTATCAAGGTTAAACCATCTGAACCGTTTTTTGGCAAACGTAGCCGGTCATGTCACTGGCCAAAGCAAACAAATTTCCAAAATAACTTTTAATTCATGCGGAAGAGGAAATCCTGAAGAGCCAGTTATTATTTTAGGTTTGGTCTTTTATTAGAATTGGCTGAAGTTTGCGGTCTTTATTTTTGGCGAGGTTTCGGCCTGGTGAGCAGAAAAACGTAACGCTAGGACTGCTGATTTTAGCTTTGGTTCTAATTTAGCTGGAGGTTTTTTTAAAAAAAAGATGGTGTAAAATTCTTTTTAACTTTTTCTTTTCAAATTTCTTTCTTTTTAACTTTCTTTCCATCTTTCTCTTTCTTTCTCTCTTTTTCTTTCTTTCTTTCTTTCCCTCTCTCTCTCTCTTTCTTTCTCTCTTTCTTTCTTTCTTTCTTGCTAGGTGGGGGGAACAAAAGCCGGCGTGGTGCGTTTTTTGGGTGAGACGGATTTCGCCAAGGGGGAGTGGTGCGGCGTTGAATTGGACGAGCCCCTGGGCAAGAACGATGGAGCCGTTGCTGGAACAAGGTAAGGTCCCATCCGGCTGAGAATCGGGATAGCCTGCTTTCAGATCAGCCCTGACTGCGTTCCCATTCTCCGTTTCATTGAACTTCATTTTGGGGAGGGGGCTACAGTATCTCCGGGTTCCTCTTTGGGTGTTTCTGCCTCCTATTTTCCGAAGCAGGAGGATCGTGAAAAATGGGACCGTGAGAAAATTCCTCTGGCATTTTGGTTATATCGTGTTTCCCCAAAAATAAGACCGTGTCTTATATTTTTTTGATCCCTGAAATAAGCGCTTGGCCTTATTGCCATGCACTCAAAAGCCCGGTTGGGCTTATTATCATGTCTTATTTTGGGGGAAACAGGGTAGCACAAAGAAAGGGAGCCCACAAGTTTCAGGACCCTTGTTGCAAAAACAGGTCTAATTGCCCATGTCCATACATGTTGCATCCTTTCCTTCCTCTTGTGGAGGAAAGTTTTCTTTTAAAAAAAAAATATTTATCTCATAAGACACGAGAAATCCCTGAAAAAAGAAGGCACCGAGCTCATTTTCTGGATTGTCTGACTTGTATAGACACCCTAAAATCTCTTATTTCCATAGCATAAAGCAGTTTTTCTCAAGCTTGACTCTTTGAAGACATGTGGACTTCAGCTCCCAGAATTCCCCAGTGTTTTTTTAACCAATGGCAACTTGAAGACAAATGGACTTCAATTCCCAGAATTCCCTAGGCAGCATGGCTGGCTAGAGAATTCTGGGAGTTGAAGTCCACCACACTACTACAAACTAAAGCCTCTTTACTAAATCTCCCACAAACGGACAAAGATCAAACACGAGGGGGACAATAATCCATAAATAACACTACCCTTTCTTCAAATAGGCTTATAATTTACTAACACGTCTCTCCTTCCGACGCGAAGCATCAATGCCTCGGTCTAAAGCCAGGGTTATGTCAGTTTGTCTACGCAGGATTTTTCTCTGCGGGCTGTTTTCATGGTTGGGTCTCACCTTCCCTCCCTCTCAGGTACTTCCAGTGCCAGTCCAAATACGGCCTCTTTGCTCCGGTGCATAAAGTGACCAAGATTGGTTTCCCATCCACCACTCCGGCCAAAGCCAAGCCCGCCATCCGGAAAGCCCTCCCAACGCCCACCAGTCTGAAACGCAGCCCCAGCGCCTCGTCCCTCAGTTCTCTGAGCTCAGTGGCCTCTTCTGTAAGCAGCAAGCCGAGCCGTGCGGGACTAGTAAGTTTCTTTTCGTATTGCGTGCTTGACAACTCTAGAGCAGACCCCCTTTTTTTGTGGGTCTCCGCACACACGCCTTTGCACTGCTCATTTTGGCGGTTTAGCACTGCCCGTTTGCCTTTTTTACAATGGTGCCGATCTCTGAAAGCATGCATGAAAAAAAACTTGGCTAGCCCTGTGGAATAGAAGCGTTTGTGTTTAAGCCGTTAGCCTAACCTTTAATCCAAACTAACCACGGTTTTAAAAAATAATAAAATAAGAGAGAGGTTATGTTTTGGTTTGTTAAGCGAAGGGGATCTGGCTTACAATCTGCCACACGCATGGAGTAATATTTCTGCATGCAAACACATAGAGACATAGATATACCTGCAATTATACCTCTGCAGTAAATATGTATATGCAGATGTGTGCACGCCTGCAGTGGTATTCTCAGAGAGCATCGTACGTTAAAAAGAGGGTGGAAAATCCAGAAGCCCTGAGTTAAAAAGGCATCCCACTGAAACCACTGATTTTTTAAATAAATATATATATATATATATATATATATATATACACACACACACACATATATACACACACACACACGGAGACTGAATAAAGCTGCATGGGGTTGCATTTTTCAAACTGTACTGTGGGTTTACATTTCTCTGTCAATTGAAGACAAAAACACAAATATGCTTATGTATGCTTAAATGTGCATATATATATATGAGTGAGAGATGGAAGGGATGGTGGCTGGGTGTTTTAATTTTTTATACTCACATGCTGATTTTGAGCATTAGTGGTTTTGGCTTCAAAAATATGGTTAAATTCACCTGACCAACGTACAGGTAGTCCTTGTCTTACGACCACAAATGAACCCAAAATTTCTGTTGCTAAGCAAAATATTTGCTAAGTGAATTTTGCTCCATTTTACGAACTTCCTTGACAGAATTGTTAAGTTGTTAAATTAGTAACCCGGTTGTTAAGCGAGTCTCGCTTCCCCATTGACTTCACTTATCAGAAGGTCGCAAAACTGGGACACTGACCCTGGGACTGTCATAAATACGAGTTGGTTACCAAGTGTCCCAATTTTGATCATGTGACCGCGGGGGATGCTGCCATAGACATAAGTGTGGGAAACGGTCGTAAGTCACTTATTCCAATGCCATTGTAACTTTGAACGAACTGTTGTAATCCGAGGACTACCTGTATTATCTAAATGAAAGGAATGTCTTACACCAAAAAAAAGCCTCTTTCTTTACTCTTCAGTTGTGAACCATACACATATCTGACAATCCCTGGCCGCCTTGCAAATTGTATATTTTATTACCCTAACTTCGTACTCACCGTATATTAATGCTTAACCTGAAACATAAATGGCTGAATCTTGAATCACCTGCAGGAAAATTTGCAGCTATTCCCTGTCAAGTGAGGGCTTAAAATTGGGAATTTGCAAACTTTCACACACAAACACACCCCTGGTAGCTTCTTCTGCCAAATTTGGCAAGGCCCCTTTGGTTTTTGCTGCATGTGGTCCCAGGTTGTGGCTCGGATAAGGGAGCGGATTCTTGGGTTTAACTGAAGGACGGTTTTTATGTTTAGCGAGCCAGAGAACGCTTAGCAGCTTAACCAGCTAATCTGCTCTAGGCTCCCTCCACTTAGGTTGAGGCCAGCTACCCTTTGTTTCTCTTTGAACTCTTCTGTTTCCTATTCTCCCGAATGCTGCATTAAGAGTCTTGCTATGCAGGTATGTTCACTTCCTTTCTTGACTACCAGGAGGGTGGAAGTACGGAACACGGAAGCAAAGTTAGTTTTTTTCCTAAAATGGGGATGCTCATTCGGTCAGCTCAGTGTTTCACGACTTTTAAGACGCATGGGCTTCAACTCCCAGGACGTCAGATGTGAGACAACCCAGGAGTAAATACAGTAAACAGAGGTTTGTATTTAAATAGTGGTTTTATCCACAAAGAATATATACAATTGCTTAACGCATTGTAAGCCGCCCTGAGTCTCCGGAGAAGGGCGGCATATAAATCAAATCAAAAAAAAAAAAAAGAATATATACATACACATACTTTAGTCAGACCTCAAACAAACAGCAATCAGCAATTACAGCACAGAAGCACACATGGAGAGAGAGATACGCCCCAACAGGGCCTCTTCTTATTATAGGCTCTTAAAGTGATACCAGCCCAAAAACCTTGCTGTCTCATTCCTAGCATTACATCATCGTAGCAGCTTAAATCATTACCCAGCCACAGGGAATTCTGGGAGCGGACATCCGTGCCTCTTAAAAGTAGCCCAGGTTGAGAAACACACAGCTGATGGTGTGCGGAGCTGAAGTGACAGAGCTGAAGAAGCTTCTTGGATGAAAAGCGAAACGTCTTCAAGGGAAGACACGAAAGTCCAGTTGCCTCTTGAAAAAAAGCACGTCCCGCTTCTCTTTTATGTCTTATGGGAGGGCCAATCATCTCCAAGCCTTACTCCCAAGTCGATCCTTAATTCTGTTTCCTTAATTGTTCCTGTCTCCTGGCAGCTCTGCACATGCGCACACTGGGAACAGGGTGACACTGTTCTTCTGCCTCGCTGATGTCAGACTCCGGAGGCAGCAAAGAACTACCAGATGGCCTTGGCCCCCTCTCTGCCTCCAATTCAGAGCCCTTGTCTGAGCCTTCCCTAGACTCCAGGACTGGCCCACATTCCTCTAATGACCCTAACCCTCACTGTCCGAATCTGCTGCCAGTTCTGCTGGCCACTAGCGGGCCATAACTGTTTCCTTGAAGACACTTCATGACCCAAGTAGGTAACATCATCAGTGGTAGGACAATAGCACTGAAGATGTGACCTGGTTGGGTGATGAAACATCTACAAGAGAAGCACCAAGCTCAGAGAGCACCAAGGACCCTTCATTTCAACCATAAGATACAATCTTTATTTTCCTGCTGAATATTTGGCCCTCCCTGTGCAGATCCGCTGGCCAACCACTGCAAAGCTGTACCGATTCCATCCAAACTCAAGACGCCGATGGCGTTTGCAACACCGGTGTGTGTTTTTTGGACCTTCTCAGCACTGGCTGGGCTGTTCAAACTCCCTCTCTCGTTCTTGTAGTTGACAGAGACGTCCTCTCGGTACACTCGGAAGATCTCGGGCACCACCGCCCTGCAAGAGGCACTGAAGGAGAAGCAGCAGCACATTGAACAGCTCCTGGCCGAGCGGGATTTGGAGAGGGCGGAGGTGGCCAAGGCCACCAGCCACGTTGGGGAGGTAGAGCAGCAGCTTGCCTTGGCACGGGATGGGCACGATCAGGTGAGCCGAGGGGTTTAGCCTGTTCGAAGCCACTCTGGCAAATCCAAACCGGCAACTTTATTGCCTTCGACCCATACTACAAGAATCTCCCCCGGGAACAACCAGATAAGCTACAGTGGAAGTTAAGGAGGGTCAGATTTATGCCCCTTGCGGCTGCGTAAGGACTCAAGACTAGTTCCCCGCTTGACTCCTCCTTCCTGCCTAGCTGAGAATTTCCCAAGCTCAGCTGGCAGATGGAGAGGATCAGGTCTCTCTTCTGTACAAAAGATCCCTCCCTTTTCACAACCCTGTAAATCCTTAATTCAGGGTGATTGGATGGAGCCGAGCATTTATTGGCCGGATTCCCTTTCTGGCGCCACTTTTCTGTGCAAAAGATTAAGGAAGTAAAAAGATTCCATACTACCAAGACTGTTTTTACCCGAGAGATTTCACCATTTTATTTCAGAAGTCCGTTTGCTAAATTAACTGCTCGTTCTTTCTCTCCAGTCTATGACCTCTAAAAAGTTCCCAGAGTTTAGTTAAATTTCGGCTGAAAAGGGGCGTAGTATTTGGGGGAACGAAGGCTAGGCCTTGGGAGAACCAAATAGCTCGAGTTGGGTGGGGAAGCAGCGTGCCTTCTATGTAGCTCGTTCACCGTAGCTTCATTTAAGTTAAAAGAGGCATTTTTCTCACCTGCACCTCTGTTACTCAGCGAATACTGGAAATGGAGGCCAAGATGGACCAGCTGCGAGCCTTGGTGGAAGCTGCTGATAGAGAAAAAGTAGAATTGCTGAACCAGTTGGAGGAGGAGAAAAGGTAAAAACAAAGAAGCAGAAAAATTGGGAAAATTATGTACAGGTAGCTCTCCAGCCAACATAGCTCTTCTTCGCTGGAATTATAATCCAGGAATGGCCGGGGAGGGGATTCTGGGAAAAAAATCAGCAATGAACTGCGCTCCATGCATTCAATCCTATGGGGGATCAGAAGAGACCATGCAGCTGTTTTTTTTAACCTTCTAAATCGGGGGTGAAATCCAGCAGGTTCTGGATAAATTTTGAGTAGTTCGGAGAACTAGTAGCAGAAATTTTGAGCAGTTCGGAGAACAGGCAAATACCACCTCTGGCTGGCCCCAAAGTAGGGTGGGAATGGGGATTTTGCAGTATCCTTCCCTTGCCACGCCCGCCAAGCCACGCCTACAGAACTAGTAGTAAAAAAATTTGGATTTCACCACTGTTCTAGATGGATCTTTTAACACAATCCAGATAGAATTACAACCGTTTTCCACAAGGAAGGCAGAGAAACTGTATCTTATCCGTAGGCATCCGATGTGAATCTTATAAGATCTCGAATCTCTTCCAAAAAAAAAAAATCAATCAGAATTATACCGCTATAATTCTTAATTCTCCCCAGAATATGAGAAATAAGCTTCCTTGTTTTGTTTTGTTTTTTAAATTGTTCACAGGAAGGTTGAGGATCTCCAGTTCCGGGTAGAAGAAGAGTCTATCACTAAAGGCGATTTGGAGGTAAACATGTCTCGGATTCTCTTAAACCGGCTACACGGAAAAGAAAGCGCGTATACCAAGAGAGTAAAGAAAAGCAGTGGCTTCTAATCACGTCTGAAAGGACCCCTGATGTGGCTTAACCTTTGCTAGCTGAGTGTACTCACATTTGACTAGATTTTTTTCTTTCTAATTCTTTTGTCTCCGCCGTGAGTAAGTAACATTTTTCATTCTTGTGTTTTCGCTTCCGTGTCGCTCGATAACCTTTCTGGATGCCTTCCCAAATCCCTAATAGAAACCATTCGTTAAAACCACCCACTGGAAATTGGCACCAAAGCTTTAAACCTCGCAGTAGGTCGCTTCCCTTTTACCGAAGCGAAAACCTGAAGATCAATGCTAGAAGGAAGGCTGAGAACCCCAGCACAATCCAGCAAGAGCTAAGATTGATGCTAACATACCATTTTGTCCTTCTTTGGGAAGACTTTCAAAGAACACCAGGGTTTAAAGCAGTCAGATGGCTCCTGCGAACATCTGAACTGTGTTCCCAGCCTTCTTCCACAAAATTGCCTACGCAACACTTTGCAAGTTGGTCTTCAGCAGTGAAACCCACAAGCCCTTTCTGGTTTTTGCACGCTAAATCCACACAGTCGGACGCTAAATTCACACCCTCTTTAGCATGCTTTGTGGCACGTTGCTGCTTGATTTTTCAGAAAATGAAACTCTTTAAAGATGTTCAGTAAATGCTTTTTTCCTAATCTCATGTATCATGCAAAAGTTGGAAACTGACATGCTTGAGCTGCAAATAATATCCAGACTGAAAGCAGGAGGCCTGAACTTAATATTTCATATTAATATCACCTTTAGTTCTACTTTTATGTTCTCCGCCCATCCATTTTATCTGGACTTTTCAAGGAATGCTCATTTTCAGCCTGTGGTTCTTTTGTCTATTTCTGTTCGTGTGTGTGTGTGTGTGTATGCCTGTGATCATTAAACTGAAAAACTGTATATTGTTGTTATTATTAGTTTGAGATACAGTACATACAGGTAGCCCTTGTTTAGCGGGTGCCCCGTTTACCGACTGTTTGCAGTTAGGACGGTGATGAAAAAGCAACTTTGCAACCAATCCTCGCAGGTCTGTGAAGTGAAGGAATGCTGACGTCAGGTCATAAGCACAATCATGGTTTTGTTTAGCGACTGCTTGCCCCGTCGCTGAAGGAGGGCAACCTGTGCTCAGGTCTTCTGTATCCCTAAGACGGCTGGTTCATGAACGTCAGAATCGTTAAATCTTTCTCCTTCGCCACAAAGAACTCATCATGTCATCCTTGTGGAACACATGCCCATTAGACCGTTCAGAAGTTTCAAAAATTAGGTCCATGAGAAGATCCAAGGCCTACACACTGGTCCCAAACTTGCACATTCTGGTCATTTCACACAATGACTTGACTAGAGATCACACTGCTTGCCCTGCCCATCACACTCATTTATGTGTGCGCAGGCAGTCTGCGGCCACAAGGACACAAACATTTATGGCAGGCGCTATATATCATTGTCCTTTTGTGGAACACCTGTGAGCACTGCAACCTACCAAGCCGGACCAATAATTTACATTTGATTGAGAGCTGCTAGCGGTGTAAATCTTCCCCCGCCCCCCTTGGTCTCAATTCACCAGGTGGTTTGCTTCATTTTTTTAAAAAAACTTGTATTTTGAACCTTCACGTTGAATGTTCCGCTGAACTCATCTTTTTCTTAATTTTTGCTGATAGCCAAAGAGAGACATTTCTGAAGACCCTGAAAAAAATGTAAGAGGACCTCTGAATGTGTGGAAACACGCCTGCCTTCCCTTCTCCCGGTCTTTAACCCCCGATTCTTTCCCCATAAAGCGTTTGTCGATGGTGCTCTTTTAACCACTAACAACGCAGATTGTTCTCGGGACATCCGCTGCCCTCTGTGCCTGCATGGAATTGAAGAACCCTTGTAAGTTTTAAAGATGTTAGGACCTTGACCGGAAGCAGAAGATGAGGAGGGAAGCAGGATTCCTAAAACCTTCAAACTTAGCACAGTGTCCTCCTTCATGTTTAAACCTTGCAAGCATCTTGTAAGAAACTTGGCTGGAGAGATTTGCTTCAAAACCTTGAATTGGCTGATCGACCAAGATCCAGGCCGAGTTGGGTGATTTCCTAGCGTGGATTCCATTCCATAAATTAATAAGAGAAAGTGAGAAATCAGGATGGGAGAAAAGTTATTTTTCTTCATTTCCCCCGCCCCCATAACTTTATTCTCCAGGGGTTTTTGTGAAAGATCTTCGCTTTTACAGAATGTTTTATACTATACGTCCCTTGTATTGTGCGTTGCACGTGTGTGTACTGTGACTCCTAGGGAGAACTGAAGGACATTTTAGACCCTTTTCCTACATATAAAAAAAAGTCGGTCTTGTTTCCAAGAAGATTTCTGGAGGGCTCCGTCTGCTTTTTCCCCCCCCCCTGTGCAGAATCAAATCCTCAAGCTGGCACTTCTGTTTTGCCGTGTGGCCTTGTGCCTTCTGATTGCACAGTCAAATATTGTGATTTTTTTTTTGGTGGTGCTCTTCTTAAATCAAGGTAGTGGCGTAGCTGAATGAAATCTGCATGTGGCGTTCTTTTTGTGAATGCTTTTCTTTCTGCACCCAAATTTTTTCTAAGCAGGGTATATGTACGCTGTCTTTTTTTTTTTCTGTGTGTGTCCCCTCCCAAATGAAACCCTTTGCATTTGAATATTGGTTTAATTGAGCGTTTGCAAAGAAGATTACAGTCCACTTTTCCGACCCCGACCCCCTTCCCGTTTTAATCCAATTGCCAACTCTTGGGAGAAAACAAGGGTCTTGTGACATCTAAAAGAAACCTGCTAGGTTTGAAGAAGACTCAAGGCCACAAACACCTGTACCGTTCTTCATTGATTGGAGCAAGGTCTTGTCAAGTAGTATCTCCAGTTCTCCTGGATTACAACTTCCCGTAATTCCTAATCCACAGGCCATGCGGGCTGGAGACCACCAAGTTATCTTATCTTTTTCAGGGTTTTGTTAGCAAAAATAGGATAGTAACCATTTAATACGTTGGTCTCCCTTTCTTCAATCCATCTTGTGTGCTGGAGTAGAAGGATGAAGAGCCAATTAAATTTGGGGTGTCGCTTTTGTGTTGCTCCCTTTATCTTCCCAACCTGTTCAGCAACAAGATGTTCTAGTGAAACACCTTATGCTCAACAATGGATCCAATTAGAGAAGGGTGTAGTTCAAGGATCATTGTAATGACCTGCAATGTAGAAGAGGGGGATTCCTCTTTGACTTTGAGGACCCTTAAGAGTTTGGATTTGTAACCTAAAAGATGCCCTTGATTTAACGCGATGGAGTCAGCGAAGTGGTCTTGCACCTCTTCTGAAGTCCTTGATGGACCCAAGAGGGCTTCTGCTTCATCCACGTCAGTGATATTTGTGTTTAGAGCTCTCGGATTGCCTGGTGTCCTTTTGCAAGTCTGGATCATGTTTCAGCTGTTGACGCTGAGGAAGCTTTGCTCCAATTTGTTGGGCTTCCTTTCAATCATCCCTCCTGTGAAATCTTAAAACATTGTCGAGAAACTTCTAGGAAAGCTTTTGAGGGGAATCTACTCAGTGTAGTTGAGCTGTTATCATCCAAAGACTTGTGTGAAGAAGGTTGGGCTGAGAAGGAACCTGCCCCTGGTTCATGTTGTGGTCATCCAATGTAACTCCTGGTTCAACACTCAAGAACCATGTCATCCCCAGCATCTGGCTTGCCAGCTTCTCCTTGAAGACCTTCAGCGAGAAGGTTTGACAACCCTCATGAGCTCTGATCCTGACAGGGACTTTTCTCAAAATGCTCCCCTTACCCAGAAGAAGCCCCTCTTCACCTTCCCCTAAAACTTATCCTCCTCCAACATAATCACTGAGTCTGTTGCTGCCCCCCCCCGCCAGAAAAACAAGTCCTCTTCTAGAGAGAACCCACCAGGAGCATAAACCGTGACTGACAGAGCATTAACTTTTCCTAATTTGTGCTGATAAACGTCACGCCAATCAGTAACTTTGGCTGCATGGTTTTGTCGCTTTTTGTTTGTGTGTGTTGTGCTCCTTCGTACATCCACCCTTTGACTCTCGTCACGTCAGCCCTGAATTTCACCTTCCGAGTCCGTCTTTCACCTGGTTCATTTTTTCCCCCCCATTTTTGTCACCCTCTCCCTCCTTCTTCCACCCAGCCACCCACCCTCCCATCTTCTGCTGCTCCTCACTGGTAGAAGACAGCCGGTCGCACCTCCTGCATGTCGCTCCTCTTTCTTCTCATGCTGGCATGTGATGGTGGCACTGTTGTGTTCTCTTCCTTTCCCTTTTTACTAACAGACGCAGACCAAACTGGAACATGCCCGCCTTAAGGAACTTGAGCAGAGTCTTCTCTTTGAAAAAACCAAAGCTGGCAAACTCCAGAGGGAGTTAGAAGACACTAGGGTAATGGACTTCACTATGTTTCCATCAAAGGTGGCCATGGGGTGTGTGCGTATCTGTGTGAAAGAGATCTGAGAGTTTTCCGTGGGGAAGGTTTATGACGTTGGAGCTAAGCGGCTGGTTGTATTTTGGAAACCTTACCACTTGAGGGGTCCATCAGAGGCTACCAAGGACCCCGCCGTTCAACCCTGAGCTACCAATATTCTCTTCTGTCGCTGCAACTTGATTTTGCCTTCCCATGTCTCTATAAACATTCAGTCTTGCTAAACTTAAAATCCCTCTTTGTGGACTAGCTTTCAGGCTGTGGTGAAGTCCCAGTAAAATAATTTCACAGAAGGGAGCAAAGAGTAATAAATGTAAAACAAGCCTAAGAGATGCCAGAACCTCAAGAGTAAGGTAACCAAGCTTCAGGAGCTGATGAACATTCAGTTGTCCTTCATCTATACGGTGAAGACCGTCTTAGCTTCCTGATTGAACTTGAAGGTCTGGAAGTCTTCCAAGAGGGACTGGACAACCATTTGTCTGAAACGATGGAAGGTCTCCTGCTCAAGCAGGAGGTTGGAGCAGAAGACCTCCAAGGTCCCTTCCAACCCTTATTATTTTATGTTCTAAGTCGTGTGAAGAAAGTAATTGTTCATGGAACTGGTTTGGAGACGGGTTGAAATTTCATGACTCTCAATTTTCTGCAGCAGTGGAACTAACATTTCGTTAAGAGTTTCACTTTTTAAGGAACCCTTAAAGGTGTTCTACAAACTTGTAATCATGTGCAAGCTGCAGCTGTAAGCTTTTGACCTTAATAGCCCCCTTATCTTATCACTAATTTCTGATGATCGACCTTTCTCTTGGAATCAAGATTTACTTCTGAGTGCACAAGAAGATGTTTGCTTTAAATAAAAAGCAAATAACATTTTGCGTGAGTTGAAAGTTGTTATTTTATAATGGTGCGTGGGATGCCGCTAACAGCATCCTAAAAATAGGGAAACGTAGATGATCAGTATGAGGCCTCTTTCGAAGAACTGAAGATGTCACGTTAGTACCGAAGTATTTAGATCACCTCAGTGCCCCTTTTAATGCGTTCTTTTATAATATTCTCTCCTCTTTTTTTAATGCTGTTTTTTTTGTAGGTCGCCACTGTCTCTGAAAAATCTCGAATCATGGAACTGGAACGAGATCTAGTATTGCGGGAGAAGGAAGTCGCTGAGCTCCGGTCAAGATTGGAGTCCAGTAAAGTGACCAGCAACGTGGACACGTCTCTCTCGCTGCTGCAGGAAATCAGCGCTCTGCAAGAGAAGATCGCGTCGGTGAACAAGGAACATCAGGAGGAGTTGAAGTCCGTGCGGGACAAACTTGGGGTCAGTGAAGAATCCTTCCAGAAGGAAATCAAGACCTTGTTGTCCTCCAACGAAAAGATGGCGAAAGAGAACAACTCCTTGAAAGCCAAACTGGACACGGCCCACAAAGAGAATTTAGAGGTGATTGAATTGTGGAAATCTAAGCTGGAATCTGCCATTGCTTCTCATCAGCAAGCGATGGAAGATCTGAAGACCTCTTTCAGCAAAGGAGCCGGGATCCAGGCAGCGGAGTTTGCAGAGCTGAAGGTGGAGGTGGAGAGGATGAGAGAGCATCATCAGAACGAAGCGTCTAACTTGAAGATGAAGCAAGAGAGCGAGAGGCTGGGTCTCGTGAAGGAGATCGAAGCCCTGAAGAGCAAGCTGCTGGAGGTCACGGAGGAGAAGGAGAGAAGTTTGGAAGTGCTGAAGACCCAGCTGGAAAGCGCGGAAGATCAGCACCTGGTGGAAATGGAGGACACTCTTAACAAGTTGCACGAATCCGAAACAAAGGTAAAGGAGTTAGAAGGCATCCAGGAGAAGTGTGTGGAGCAAAGCAAGACCATTGATAGCCTTAAAGCAAAGATCAAAGCTGCTGAAGCAAAGCTCGTGAACCTGGATGGCCTTCAGGTGGCCCTTTCTGAAGGTAAACTGGAGTTGGAGAAGCTCGGTGAGGAACACGAAGCCGCCAAAAAAAAGATACAGAGTTTAGAAAATGACAGAAATAATGAAAGTAGCCAGGTTTGTACCAACATCCATTTTGTGTCATTTTGCTTTAATGTTTGTCTTTTGTTTTTCCATTCATTCCATTGATTTGTGTTGAGTTGAGGAGTTCTATTGTTTACACATTTGAAAACTTATTTCAAGCTTTCTGAATGAATTAATAGATCCCCAAAATAGGTGTTTTATCTACAGGAGGACAGCAGTAAATATTTAAAGCAGTATAATCCTTCCATAATGGAATTTGCTACAAGATGTGGGGTTGTCCATCAATCTGGTGGGGTTTTAATTGGAATTTAGATAAATTCGTAGAATTTGACCTTTAATTATCCATGGGTAGATGAAAGATTTTGGTTGAAATGGGTCTTCAGTTTTAACTTCTATGGAAGACTGTTTAGGGTGACATCTTGATTGTGGGATAATATTGAGCAGGGGTCTCCCAACTTGGCAACATTAAGACTTGTGGACTTCAATTCCCAGAATTCCCCAGTCAGCATAGACTTGAAGTTCCAAATCTGAAATTCCAACTAGAAAGGTGGGTCTGAATTTTCCCTCTGATACCGTAGGGCTAAAAGGCACAGTAAGCTTCAAGCATTAGGGACGTGGTGGCTCAGTGGCTAAGATGCTGAACTTGTCGATCGAAAGGTCGGCAGTTCAGCGGTTCGAATCCCTAGTGCCGCGTAATGGGGTGAGTTCCTGTTACTTGTCCCAGCTTCTGCCAACTTAGCAGTTCGAAAGCAGGTAAAAAAAAATGCAAGTAGAAAAATAGGGACCACCTTTGGTGGGAAGGGAACAGCGTTCTGTGCGCCTTTGGCGTTGAGTCATGCCGGCCACATGACCACGGAGACGTCTTCAGACAGCACTGGCTCTTCGGCTTTGAAACGAAGATGAGCACTGCCCCCTAGCACATATGTGCAAGGGGAACCTTTATCTTTACCTTAAGCTTCAAGCTTCATATTTGTCATCTTCACTTTGAGGAGAAGACAATCAGATGCCTCTCTGTCAATTCAGGAAGCCGAGTCCTTCCTTCAAAACAAGTTATGGGTTTCAGAACTTAGAAACGGAGCCTAGAATTTAAAAGAAATCCAGATTCCTGTTAACGGTTGCTCTCTCTTCCTAAAGTTCTCCAGATGCCATCAGTGTCATTCATGTCTGAAAGCCATCCCAGTGCATTAACCCCTTCCCTTCATTTTCTGTTCCTCAATGTGTTTGTTTTGGCTCGCATTTTACTTGTCCAACTCGCCTTGGTTTGCTTTTCTGTTTTCCTTTTGGGTAACTTTTCATTTTTACATCCACCTGTGGTCCACCTGGCTAGGCTGCTAGTCTAGTCAAAGAACTGCAAGCGAGGGAGAAAAAGCTGCTTGATCTTGAGCATCACTTGGGCACAGTCAACCAACTTAAGGATTCTTTGGAAAAAGAGCTGGAGGACCTGGTGAGTAACCGTCAGGCAATGGGGCCGATCCACTCCAGAGCTTTGCTTCAGGGCTTTGAGGGGGGAGTTGGCAGCTTCTCAGCTATCCTGTTTCAGAGGCATTTAGTTCTTTTAAGGTAAGACGGTCCAAAAAAAAAACAAAAAAGCCACTTTTGAAGTGGTGTGATCAGAGCACCCTGGGACAAAACGCATTGTTGCATTGCATGAGTAGTTGCTGGAAGTCTAGGAAACCATGCAGCCAGCCAAAAGTTTGAACAGGAGACTTTGCAATGAGCAGTGTCAGTCTGCCTACACACAATTTAGTCAACTGACGGGTGTCAGAGTCAGTTTAACGTCAAGGTTCCAAGTAATACACCCATAACAAGCAGAACTCCAAGGCAAATGGACACAACAACAGAGAGGGAAGGGAGAGAGGAGTAGAGGGACAGGTAGGAAGGAGAGAGGAGAAGGGAGGAAGAGAGAGAAGAAAGGGAAAAAGAGAGGAATACGTGTTTGCTTAAAAACCGCTGCAAAAAAAGTACCATAAAATCAGTTTCAGTCATGTGGGTCACAACTTAGGACAGAATTTCCGGGTTCGATAACGGTCGTAAGTTGAGGATGACCTGTACAAACAACATTTTTTTTCCCCCAGTCACCTTCAGAAAAGAAGTCTGGGAGATTTGCAGTTATCAAACAATGTTCTTAGGCTTGCTTTAATCCTTAAAGACTAGCCAAATGTTGCAAAGAATTGAAATTTGCTTGTTTTTTTTTCTGATCTTGGCTTAAAGTTGCTTTCGGCCGTTTGCATCTCAAGATGTAGTGCGGTTCAGTGCAGTTATGTTGCTCTGTTCAGCCAAATGTACTTCTCACTCTTGTTTTCTAGAAAGAAAAGTTCACTAAGGGTGCTGACGAAGCCAAAATTGTACAAAAATCTATGCAAGGTAGGGATCTCATGAATGCAACCTTAATTTTTTTTAAGATGGGGCAGGAGGAAGAAGGGATGGAATCTTTTCTTCTTCTTTTTTTAAAAATAATAAACAGCTTGCTCAATTTGAGAAAAAAATTCTCTTTAAGGAGCTGGACCGAACTCTTGACTAGCCTTGTATTTTCGTCCGTTTTAGAAACTCTTGAAAAACTAAACCAAAAAGAGCTCCAGTTTACACAGCTGTCAAGCGAACTCAATCAGCTGAGATCTCATTTAACAGGTAAGGAAAAGCCGCAGTATTTTTTTTCCACTACAGTCGAATTCAAAATTAATGCACATTGGCACATACTTGCAGCAGTGGTGAGTTGCTCCCGGTTCGCACTGGTTCCCAAGAACCGGTAGTAAAAATTTGTAGTAGTTTGGAGAACCGGTAATAACATTGGCTGGCCACGTCCCCGAACCAGTCCCCGGCCCGGTCGCTGCTCGCTTACCCCTGCTTTTAAAAGTAAAAAGTTTTTTTTACTTTTAAAAGCATTTTTTCTACAACCTCTTCAGCCGAAAAAATGCTTTTAAAAGTTTTTTTTTTAAAAAGCCTCTGATGCTCGTGTGGCTCTGCTGGGATCGTCAGAGGCTTCTAAAAGCATTTTTTTTTCTGCAACCTCTTCGGGCAACAAAACTAGATAAATTCTTTATTTAAAACAGCCCCTTTCGCCATCTCTGCCAATTCCTCCCTTTTACCCTCTATTCTTGTGGGAAGGAGGGTATCTTTGTAAAAAAAAAAAACCACCTGCGTTTCTTGTCTCCTTGTTTAGCCATGGAGAAATCGCTAAAAGAACGAGAAATCCGAGAGCAGCAGCTCGTGGAGGCCAAAGCCAAGCTTGAAAACGAGGTGGCGGAAATCATGAAGTCTTCGGGCGACAGCTCTTCCCAGCTGACCAAAATGAACGACGCCCTACGACTCAAAGAGAAGTAAATCCATTTCCCCTCTTGCTCCCTAGGATAAATAACAAGGGGAGATCTTCCATATTTTTTTTAACTATATTTTTTCTTTTGCAAACCAAAAAATAATTTGTCAGTTCTGCTTCTTTTATATGGTCTCCAGCTCTTGAATAAATACTCTGAGCATCGGTTTCTCAACATTGGCTGCTCTAAGATGTGTGGACTTCAAGTCCCAGAATTCCCCAGCCAGCAATTCCGGAAGTTGAAGTCCACACGTTAGAATTCTGGGAGTTGAAGTCCATGCATCTTAGAATTATGGGAATTGAAATCCATACATTTTAGAATTATGGGAGTTGAATTCCACACATCTTCCACCATGCTGGCTGGAGAATTCTGGGAATTGAAATCCATACATCTTAGAATTATGGGAGTTGAATTCCACACATCTTCCACCATGCTGGCTGGAGAATTCTGGGAATTGAAGTCCATACATCTTAGAATTATGGGAGTTGAAGTCCAGACATCTTGGAATTATGGGAATTGAAGTTCACATATTGGAAAGTTGACATCTGTACATCTGCTGGCTGGGGGATTCTGGGAGTTGAAGTCCACCCATCTTCAAGCTACCAAGGTTGAGAAACACTGCTCTAGATGAAAGAACGAAGTCAAAATCTCGCCCGTAAAATGCAGACCTTGGAAGAGATTTCACCATCATCTAAACTCACCTATTCTCCAACCCATCCACTGGGATTGTCACCCTGACCCTCGTTGTCAATTTTAGGCAGGTGGAAGAGCTTCAGGTCCAGCTCACCAAGGCCAACACGGGAACGGCTCAGTTGCAGGAGAATTTGGAGCAGGCAGCCCGTCAGGCTGAAAAGAAGCAGGAAGAGTTGCTTGCGCGACATCAGGAGGAACAGCAGAAAATGAAGAATAAATTAGGCAGCCTGGTAAGAGCCGAGGGAGGGGGGACAGGAGGCTGGGGGGCTCTTGGGGCGGAGGGGGGAGATTTCCCCAAAGAATCAAAATCCAGGTCATCGAGAAATCCTTGGAAGTTTAACACAGTCTTGCTTACAGATGCAAAGCTGGGTAGAAGTAACCCTCAAGTTACGACCGTTTGTAAGCCATGATGGCTGTAAAGCAAGTCATTATGTGACCAACCTGATTTTACAACCTAAATCAACATCCGAAAGATGCTTTTTTTTTTCTTCTAAAAGGCAATGGGACTTTCTCGATTTCTTTTCCTTTGAAAACACTTTCACTTCTCATCCAAGAAGCTTCCTGGATGAGAAGCAAAACATTTCCAAGGAAAAACAACCAAGGAAGTCCAGTTTGGAGGGGGGGGGGATTGGGGAAGCATCTTTGGGACAATCATGACCTGGAGGATTGAGAATCTCCATAGACATTCAACCGAAGTGGATCCGAAACGCTCTATGGCACGAGTGTCAAACTTGATTTCATTGAGGGCCGCATCAGGGTTGTGTTTGACCTTGGGGGGCCGAGGGGGGGCGTGGCCAGCTCGACGTCACTCATGTCAGGGGCACCTGTGGTGGCCCGAGCGCTCTGCCAGCAAAAACGGGTTCCTGAGCTCCGTGTCAGCTGCTACTGCCTCCTGCAACCCTCTGCCAGAGTCATGCAGCCCTCCCGAGCTCCGTTTTCAGCTGCAACAGCCTCCTGCAATCCTCTGCCAGCGAAAACGGAGCTCGAGAGAGCCGCAAGCAGTCCTTCCAAGCTCTGTTTTCGCTGGCAGATGCACTGCAGGCCGGTTCTTCGCTGCTTCCAGGGCAACCCTGCAGGCCAGATCTAAGCACCCTGAGGGCCAAATCTGCCCCCCGCCGGCCTTGAGTTTGATACCCCTGCTCTGAGGCTTATAAAACAGGGAGGGGAACTCCTGCCTCCAACCCAATGTTCCTCTGCCTGTTTTTTTGCAGGAGAAGAAGATAGCAGCTCACCAAGAGGAGCATAAGCACCTCCAAGCCGCCAGTGAGAAAATGCAATCGGAAATGGGTGCCCGGCATGAAGAAGCCCTCAAGGAACTCCAGCGGGAGCTTCAGAAGAAGGAGCAGCTGCTCACAAAGACCCAGAAGGCCAACAGCGAGTTAGAGCAACAGGCCAAGGAATTGAAGAAGGAAGCCGAACATGCAAAGGTGGGCATCTGTCTTTGGCCTTCGCAGGGTGGTTTGTCCTGACGAGGAAAGGCCCATGTTGAGAGGTCCTGGATGCTCTCCGAGCTTGGTGGTCTTCATGCAGATGTTTCATGACCCTTGCGCTGATGGCGTTACCTAGTTGGGTCATGAAACATCTGCCAGAACACCCCCAAGCTCAGAGAGCACCAAGGACCCCACAGTCTTCTTTCTCTGCCCCTTCTTCTCCACCGCGTGAACCTTTTTCCCTTCTAGCACTGATGATGTTACCTAGTTGGGTCTGCAAGAAAACCACCAAGCTCAGAGAGAGAATAATGGAGCTGGGAGGAACCTTGGAGGTCTTCTAGACCAACCACCTGCACAAACAGGAAACCTTATAACATTCGGACAAATGGTTGTCTGATCTCTTTTCAAAAGCCTCCAGCGATGGAGTGGTGAATCCCAGTGTCGTGGTCCTCAGAACCTCAAAAAGATCTGCTTCTCTTCTAACCCAAGGTTTTCAAACCTTGGCCACTTTAAGATGTGTGGACTTCAACTCCCAGAATTCCCCAGCCAGCATTGCTGGCTGGGGAATTCTGGGAGTTAAAGTCCACGGGTCATAAAGTCTAGGCCGCTCTAGGCCTCCAATTTTGCTATTCCTCCATTTGCTAACATTTTATAGGCTTTCTTGGGATGCTTAAAACACTCCTTATCCTGCTCAACCCTGTGCCAGAAATGAGGTTAGCTTAATGGTCTTCCTCACTGCTTAACTTCCTACAGCAATTGGTCATGTTCCTTACCAGCTTGGAGCAGTTTTGGTTCCAATTGTCTTTTATTTTTGCCTCTCCTTGAAAATGATTCCTGCCATATTCATCTCCCATTATTATCGTCACTGTGCTTTAAGCTTTGTGTTTGGCAATTCCTGTACCTGAATATGAGGTGTATATATTGACACACAGATTAGTTGATTAGATTCTGATCATTTATATTCGTTGGCAAAGGGAAGCCAAAGCTTAAAAAAAATTAGAAATCCTCACATTCCATAGGATGAACTTTTAGTCTTCCCTGGCGAAGAGAAAGCTTGACCCTGGAGACTTTTGCTCTGAACTTCTCAAGTATGGGAGAAAACCTGAGCCTACCACCACCCTTACATTGGGCGAGATCTCACAGCTTGCTTTGGTGCAAGTTTATGAGTTGGCGAAATAATAATTTTATCATATTTTATCTATATCTTAAATTATGGCATTTTATTCCAGTTTCATTTTAGACTGTATTTTATTCCAATTTCATTTTAAATTGCTTTTATCAAATTTTAGTAATAATTTGTTTCTGGAACTCTGCACTTTGATATGACCCAAAGGCTAATTAATCAATCAATCAATTAATCAATCAAATAAAATAATGGTCCCACAGGTGCTTTTTCGAGAGGCAACTGGGCTTTCTGGTTTTTCTTTGAAGACGTTTCGCTTCTCATCCAAGAAGTTGTTTCAACTGTTCTTCAGAGCTGAAGAAGCTTCTTGGATGAGAAGTGAAACCTCTTCAAAGAAAAACCAGAAAGTCCAGTTGCCTCTCGAAAAAGCACCTTTGGGACAACCTTGACCTGGATGACTGAGAATCTCCATAGACACCTGATGTAATGCCTTACTATTACACGCAAGTGTTCCTTGCAACACGTCCAATGACTTGGATAGTCTTTAAGCAGGGCTTTCTGTGTGTCAATATATAAACCCGCTTAGTCTTATTTTGGAATAGTCGTGCTATTTATTAATCCAAACTCGTCTGCTTGACTTCATTCTTCTTGTGTTTTGTCTCCCTTTCTCCCTGTCCTTTGTTCATGTAGTCCTTAACCTCTATGTTAGCAACAGCCAGAAAAGAGATTGAATTTATGTCAGACGAGATGAGGGCCTTGATAGCCGAGAAGGAAGTCTTGGCGCAGGAAGGGAATGCTTTAAAGTTAGAAAAAGGTTCTTTATTATCCAAGCTGGTAGACTTGGAGTCCAAGATTGGGCTGTTAAAACAAGATCAGGAGAAACTGTGGACTGTGAATGAGGAGCTTAATCTGGAGAACAAAAGAACGGTCAAGGAGAAACAAGACGCGGAGAACAAAACCCAGCAAGAAAAGGAGAAGAATGATGAGTTGATCTCCGAAAAGGGAAGGCTGCTCCTGGAGATCGAGGCCGCCCAAGAAGACCTTCTCAAGATCACTAGAGAGAATGATGCTCTACGTACATCGAAGGCGTCTCTCCTCAGTCAGGTGGAAGAGCTCCAAGGCCGCAGTGAGGCCTTGGCCCAGGAATGTCGGAAACATGTCAGCCAACGAGAAGAACTGGAGGATTGTCAGAGGAAGCTCTCTGAGGAAAACGCCGCTCTTCTCAAAGATAAGGACGACGTCATCCAGAAGCTGAAGAGCTCTTACGAAGACATGGCCAGGGACCAAAAAGAGCTCCTTCAGGAAGTGACCACCTTGGCTGCTGAGAGGGACTCGCTCTTGGGCAAACATCTGGATCTGGAAAACAAGCACGTCGCCTTGAAGAGGGAACGGGATGTTCTCCTGCAGACCAGCCAGGATCTGCAGTCTGACAAGGAGACCCTCTTGAAAACTCAGGAGGAGAGACGCAAGAGCTTCGAGCAGGCTCTGGTGGAGAAACAGGAGCTTCAGTTGAAAAGCGACGGCCTTCAGTCCAGATGGGAAGTATCCGATAAAGAGCTTAAAAGGGTCACCAAAGACAAGAACCAACTGGAGGCCTCTCACGCTAGTCTTTCAAAACTTCTGGAAGAGATTAAGGCCAGCAGGGCATCAACGGACACCGAGCTGATTCAGCTCCTGCAAGAGAAGGAAACCTTGATTTGCTCCGAGAGAAGACTTGTAGCCGAGCGGGAGGAACTTTGGAATGAAAACAAGAACCTTTCAGAAAAGCTGGCCCAAACCTCTGAAGAAGCTGCCCTCGTTGAGAAAACCTTGAATGAGAAGCTGAGCCAGTTGAGCGCGGAGAAGGAGGTGGCCTCTCAGAAGTCTCTGAAGTTCAAGAAGCAGAACGAGAGCCTGGTCAAGGAGAAGGCCTCCTTGGAAGCCAAATGCGCCGAGCTCCTGGCGGAGAAGCAGTCTGCCACCAAAGCCGTGTGTGAATTGAAGAAGAAGCACGAGTTAGACATTTCTGCCAAAAGGATGCTGGTCCAAGACAAGGCCAAACTGCAGGGCAGTGCTGAAACCCTGAAACGAGAGCTTGACCAGAAGATACAAGAAAACCAGGATCTCGTCCGATACAAAGTTGAGCTCTCCAAAATCTTAAAAGAGACCCAAAGTGCCAAAACCGTGTTGGAGAATGAATACTCGGCCTTGCTTCACGCCAAGCAGCTCCTAGCAGCTTCCTTTAAAAGCAGTTCGTCAGAGAAGGAAGTACTGAACAAAGAGAAGGTCCAGCTGCAAGAAGAATGCCAGAAGTTGAGCAAGGAGGTCAAAACCATCTACAATAACCTGACAATAGAGCGGGAAGGCCGTATGTTGGAGAAGGAGTCTTTTGTGGTCGAGAACACCCAACTCCATAATGCCATGAGTCGCTTAGAGACAGAGAAGGAACAGCTGTCCCTGAAAAATAAGGAGTTATTGGTAGAGCAGGACCAGCTGAAACAGGAGAAACTGAAGAGCGAGTCCAGGTTGGAAGAAATTATGAAGGAGAAAGAGGTCCTTAGTGCCGAGACGGACCAGCTGGCCTCCAACATTGAGAAGCTGAAGAAGGAATTTGAGGCTCTGACCAAATCGAAAGCAGAGCTGCAGGAACTTCACAGCAGTGTCTCCAAGATCCTAGAAGAACTCCGTTCCAGCCACCAGAGCAGCGAACTGGAAAGGGCTAAGCTGCTTCAAGAGAACGAGATGTTGCTTCTGGAGCAGAAACATCTCATCACCATCAAGGAAGAGATCTTGAAGGAGAAGGAGACGTTCTCCAAGGACTACTACAAGCTGCACGACGAGATCACCCTTCTTGCCCAGGCCAACAGTGAGATGTCCGGCAACCTTTTGACGGCTCAGAACAAAACCCTGGCCCTTCAGAAGGAAAGAGATGAACTCGTCGTCAAACTGGAAGACATTGAAGGTCTGCAGGCTCAGGCGGTAATGCAAAGATTTGAGGTATCGAAACCGCTAAATCAGTCCAATTACGGTTACTAACACCAAGCACTAATGGTTCCTGTGTCTGCACTTAACTTTGCACGATTGCGCACCCTTGAAACACCCTTCTTAATTCTCCTACAGATAGCAAATTTAAGTTGATTTGCGGGGCGAGGGACACCTCTCTTCAACAGCTGGAATGATGTGACCAAGGAGTGGGGGAGAGTTTTTAGGGCTTCACCACGGCTGAATAGTCCAATCAGCTCTACAGTTGTGAATAAAAAGGCATGTAGGGGTGAATGGAACGCAAGTCCCAATTGAATTGGAAGGGGTCTTATTTTAAATTGGTATCTCGGGAACCGATGGTTACGCCTCCCTCTCTCGCCCATGTCCAACTGGATCCGAATGACGAGCAATCCGATTCTAAGCAGAATAGTTTGCAAAACGAAAAGTTGGTTACCTTTTTATTCACAATCACAATTTTATTCACCACCAACAGAGGACAAATTAGGAGGCTGAACCGTTCCGTTTCATAAAACCTCAAGGTTTATTCCAGCTGCTGTTCTGTCTTTAACTAGCCTGATCTTAAAGCTTAGAAACATTTATTGAAACGTTTCAATTATCTCTTCTTGCCCCCCCCCCCCACAAATTTAGAGACGCAGTTGTCGCTCCTCTGATTTTCAATATTCTTTTTTAAAAAAAGAGTAGAAATCTGTTGGTGGTGAAGCTCCTCTCCTGAATGATTAAGAGTAATTAAAAAATAATAATAATTCACGAACATAATTGAATTGGGAGCCACGAGCAATGCTAGCATGGGATTGTCATTTAATGTTTGCATGGAACAGTAGATTTAATTGTGCTTCTGGCACGAAATTGCCAGAAGGAGGAGGATTGGTCTCACCCTCGAGCAGTGGCTGGATTTTAGCCTCGATTTGCTGCTTACTCAAGAGAAATACTATTGACTAGAGCAGCGTTTCCCAACCTTGGGGACTTTAAGAAGTGTGGACTTCCAACTCCCAGAATTCTCCAGCCAGCTATGAATTCTGGGAGTTGAAGTCCACACTTCTTAAAAGTTCCCAAAGTTGGAAAAAAAAACGCTGTTATAGGTAGGCAATCAAAGGCGGGCAACCTGGACACCTGCCGAGAGCTTGGATTACAACTCCCATAATCCTTAGCCACCATCACGGTGGCTCATCATATGGAAGAGAGAGCTCCGTAGGTCACCAAGTTGTCCTCCGATGGTAAACCTGCCACCATCTTCAACATCTTTTGCTCAGGACATGACCTGGGGTGGTTGTTGTTTTTTTTTTAAAAAAAGAAAGATTTTAAAAGATTTGTTTTAAATCTTTTAGACGGCAAAAACAGCAGAAGATGCTTTGCAGATAGTGGAGGAAGTGACCAAACAAAAAGACACCCTCCAGAAAGAGAAGACAGAAATCTTGGCCTCCTTCGAAGACTCCAAGCAGCTCAATCAAAAGCTGAAAAAAGAGGTAAATAAAAATTAAATCTCTGCTAAACCTCCTTCCTTTTGCTAGGGAGGAGTCATTGTCGTGACTCTAAATTGAACAACACTCCCCCCCACCCCTTGACTTGGCTTGTCAGAAGGACGCAAAAGGGGAGCACCGGACCTTGGGACACAGCAACAGTCATAAGTATGAACCAAGCATCTGAATTTTGGTCACGTAACCATGGGGGAATGCTGCCACGGTCGTAAGTGTGAAAAACGATCCTGAGTCACTTTTTTCAGTGCCATTGTAACTTTGAGCTGACTTATCTTTAATCAACTGAGGCCAAGGCTCAATGGGCAGAGATCTAATGCCCAACCAGTCGCTGCCATTAACGGGGAGATCCCCACAGATTTTAATCAAGGGATCTCCTGTTTCTCCCCATACTCCGTTGAGAAATTGAGGGTCCCAAGCGAAAGAAGAGTTGGTGTATTGATGAAATCCACTCCGTGGCTTCCAGACAGATGGCTAAATCCACCCACCCGTTCTAATTCTTCCAGAGTAGCCAGAGATTATCTGTTATGAAATAAAATATATCCCCCCACCCCAACCCAATTGTTTATGGACAGAGAAGATTCAGAGGCCGCGAGAAGACCTCAAGGGGACAAAATGAAAACATGGAAAGGCCAAACCTCGCAGGTGATTTCAACTGTGCAGAACCAGCAGGCTCCCCCCCCCCAAAGAGATAATATTTTCAGAATTAGCTCCTTCCCCATTAAATAAGCTGTCCTAGATCCTCACGCAGTGCCACAGCTCACACTTGACACAGCGGCTTCGGCAGAAATGGAGGAAAAAAAGGGGTCACGAATAGATTGGGTCACCGTTCTTCACTCCTGAGACCTTTTGAGTTAATTTTTATTTTATTTTCTCCCCCCCCCCCCCCCCTCTCAAGCTGGACGCTCTTAAAGAAAGCCACCGGAAGAACAGAGAGGAGCTCACCAAATCTCAGGAACGTCTGAACAACGAGAGCCAAAGCCTGGAAGAGCTTCGAAAAGAATTGTGAGTCTTTGTTCTACTTGTGGGAGACTTTCATTCGGGGTGGGTGGGGGGTTGGGGGGGCAATGTTTATTCGTGGAATGGGAAGGAGAGGAAATGCAGAGAAAAAGCCAGCATGCCTAAAGCAGTGTGTAGAACAAAAATAGCCAGAATTTGCAGCTGCTTCTGGGTGTAAGAACAGAGACAAAAACAGGGTTGCATTTTTAAAATAGGCGAAGCTGCACAGAGGTTGCTATTTTGGTCCCAGTTGGCTAAAGAGGGCACATTTTTCCCCCAGTATTTCTTTGTTTTCCCTTGTGTGTTTCCTCCAGCATTAACAAAATGTCGAGGAAATGCCATACATTCTTTTTATTATTATTAATGGCAGTTTTTGTGCAAGAAGTGCACCAGAACAGGACTTTCCAAATTACAGTATAATAAACCATCTTCATCGTGCGTTTTTGTTATTTTACGGGACAAATCAAAAACAGTCGTAGGAGAAATGGGGTGTCTGATTCTTATTCTGAGGTGATTATTATGGGTGTTTTATCTCTTGATTCGTGGAACTGTAAAACCAATGCTTTTGAGATTGTATATGAAACTTAAATCTTGTACAGCGCAATGCAAGTAATTCTTGACTTAAAGTCACAATTGAAACTAAAACTTCTGTTGATAACTGAGACAGTTACAAGAGTCACACCCAATTTGACAACTTTTTTACCACGGGGGTGGAGTGAATCTCTCCAGCCCAGGGTTGAAATCCAGCAGGTTCTGACAGGTTCTGGAGAACCAGTAGCGGAAATTTTGAGTAGTTCGAGATATACAAAAATGATCCCCATGTCATTTAATACTTAATTGGGGTAACCTTTAGCATGAATGACGGCCTTACAACGTCTTCCCATGGAGTGAACCAAGTCTTTGAGTTCTGCAGCTGTTATAATGTGAAACCAAGATTGAATGGTGGCTTCTATTAACTGGGTTTTATTGCTGGGTCGCTTCTGACTAACAAGTTTCTTTAATCAGCTCCATCGATTTTCATTTGGGTTGAAATTCCAATTCTGGGCTATTCCCAGGCCATTCCAGCAGGTGGAATAGGATTATCTTGAATCTCCAAAAAAAAGTGGTGTTATTAACCATCACACCTCAAAAATACACTTTTCCCAAAAGGTTTCCACAATTTTGGCCACTACTGTGCACACCAATTGCCAAGCACCTGAATTTTGATTGCATGGCCATGGACCACTGCGATGGTCCTAAGTGTGAGAATTGGTCAGAAGTAACTTTTTCAGTGCTGTTTCAACTTTGAACGGTCACTAAATGAATGGATGTAAATCAAGGACTAGAACTGCAGCCTTTTTCTTAATGAACGGTGACTCCGAGGCTCCCTTTATGTTTTACACTATAGAAAATACGGTTTTAGTGTCTCGGGTGTGTATGTGTGGGCAGCCTGTGCAAAAAAAAAAACATTATTTTTTTTCCCTACAAACATAACGCCCTGCTGCTTGAAAATCCTCCTTAAATCTCTTCTAAAAATAGATAGCTTGAAGATGCGTGCAGGCAGCTCGCGCACAGCAGCCCGGGAAGCAGATGGATAATCTCCGTTGCCTCCTTTTATTAGGTTTTAGCCCAGGCTTTTCACATCAAACTGTTCCCGCACGCTCGCTCCAGCCAATCTGGATAGCAAGGAATCTAATTTTGCAGCAGATTAATTCTCTTGCAAGGAATGTAGGACGCCGAGATGCACCCGGCAGGACCCGGAGAGACGTTGGGCTCTAAAAATATCCAGGCGTTTCTAGGCTGGAGATGCTTAGGGACCCAGGTCCTATTCACACAATTTTTTGTACAAGTCAGGCATGAGTTTGTCACCCACAAGAGGGCTGCCGGTCTCAGCCGTGAGCCTGTGTGACTGGGATGTTAGTGAATGGAGCTTTTATGAACCAGAGCTTTTATGGCAGGATTGATGGCTGCCAGCCAAGAAACCGGGCACCGCCAGATTGTCTTCGAATCCAGCATCGCAGGGAGCTTCCTAACCGTCCGATAACGGAGACTTGGAAAGAGCATTTAGGATTTACTTGGATGCTCTGTTTCCAAAGGGGCGAACGGGGCAACGACCAAAATGAGCGTGCCCATCCTTTGGTGAATGATACCAGACCCCAGGAGACGGAGGCTGGGCGGGTGTGGCTGTTTTTTAATCGACGGTCTCGTCAATCCGTGACAAACCATGACGTGGTTTGCAAGCCGGTCTGTCTTCTCTCCTCCCCCCCCCGTCTCGCCCCCTTCCCTTCCATCCTCCTTGTTCCTATGGTAACCCTGCTGCCTTCTCCATCTCTTCCAGAGAAGTGCTCAAACTGGCAGAGGAGGAGAAATCCCAACAGCTCGCCGTCTTCCAAGAAGAGAACCTCAAACTTGCGAAAGAGTTGGGGAAAGGAGATCTCGCCAGTCACCAGAAGGTTGGTAGATGTTTTGGATTGGGGGGGGGGAGGGTTTAGAAGGGTCCCTGAGATGCTGGACACGTGGATGTGGGAGAGAGGAGGAGGGCAGGGCTTCTGTGGTGCCAATTTCAGGGGAGAAGCCACGTTGTTAGGGGTTAAGAGAAGGCAACGAGGAATCTCACACTCGTCTTAGGGAGGCGTGAAGTTTTTAGGGAGGTGACTGCTTTCACCAGCGAGGGGAAATTCATTTTGGCTGTGCAAAGCAAGCCCTTTGTCTTAAGAGACTCAGATACCACCTTGACCCAAAACGGGTGGGTGGGAGGAATTGCAGGACCCCCTACTTGCACCGCTTAAATACCTTAGGACGTTGGCATCCAGAATTCCCAGGTTTTGAGTGGCATTATTTTTCTGGAGCAGCTTTGCAAACCAGATGCATTTTCAAGGGAACACCCAGAGTCACTCTAAATTTGCACGCGAAGGAAATGGCTTTTTAGGAGAAGATTATGATGAAGAAGTGGGAGTGGAAAATCCCTACAGCTGTGCTGTGAGTCTCACTTTAGGGAAAATTAATGAGTGTTTATTAACTCTCGGCCCCTTGAAGATGTGTGGACTTCAACTCCCAGGATTCCCCAGCCAGCAGTTTAACTGGAACTTAACGTGTGGTCCTGATTCTTTGTGCTTGACAAGAGGGTTATTTTAGATTCTGGCATATTCTTAGTCTAATATGATAGAGATTTCAGATCTTTAAATTATTCATTATCTTTTATTTCGGTCTTTTTACATGAGCAGTAGATGTCTTATAGGGCTTAAGGTTGGAAGATGCGCCCTGCAAGAAAAGGGTGGGAGAAATAAGATTTAAAAAGGGTCTTCTAAAAGCTAGTTTTTAATAATAAAAAGCTATATGGGGATGAAGGCAGTTCCTTTTTGTGTATGTTTCTGTATTGTGTTGTTATTGCTGTGGTTGAGTTTATTCATCAGGGCTGCCATGTTTTGTGTCATGCTTTTAACTCTATTTTTGGATATGTTAACCTGCTGGAATCTTCTGAAGCGGGTGGCATTGTAAATATGAAATTAATAATGAATGAAATTATAAGAAGGGAGAGAGCCGGTTGCATAACTAGGTTGCAAAAAGGCTTAGAAGTGGCTAAATAAAATCCTTTCCCCCCACCCTCCCAAAGATGTGGAATAGATTCAAGATTCCCAAGAATTTTTTTTTTTTTAAAAGGTACATGATGTTGAAAGGGAGGCCTTAATGGACAGAGTAAAAATCCTCTTTTTTTTTCTTCCTTTCTCGTCTGGTTTTTCCAGCTGGAAGAAGAAAGATCAGTCCTCAATAATCAGCTTTTGGAGATGAAAAAGAGGTGAGTTGATTTGCACAAGCTCTCCAGTGTGTAGGCACTTAGGAAGAAAAAAAAGAAAGAAAGAAAACATTAATCTCAAATAGAATTCTTTGATCTCCGCTACTCTTCTGCGTTTAAAATTAATCTTAGCATTGCACCTGGGCTGTTCAAAACGTCTCCAGCAGGTGGAACATTATGTTAAAAAAATATATCAAAGCATGATTGTCTCCTTCCCATCCCTAAAATGTGGGTGGAAGAGCATTGATTTCTGGAAACTTTTCTACAATTTAGCTCATCCGCTGAACTTGGTTGATCTCTTTGAGTTCTCTGCCTTCCAACCCCCACTTAATTCAGAGCCACTTTTAGCTTCCCTGGAGGGATTTCCACGGAGATGTCTCAAATCCCCAAAGCCAAAAAAATAGCATCGCTTAGAAGCCTGAAAAGGAAGCTCCTTTGGCCTACCCTTAAGGACATTTTTAATTCAGATTAAAGACGCAGATTCCCAATGATTGAGGGTTCCTTATGGGCTGCTAAAACCAGGAGACTGTGAGTTCTAGTTCTTTCTGAGACATGGTGGCCTTGGGCCTCTCCCTCCCTCTCAGTCAACTTAGGGAATACTCAACTCAACTCAAAATCAATTGAAACATATATTTGAGATACCATATGCAGGTAGTTCTCGACTTACAACAGTTTGTTTAGTGACCGTTTGAAGTTACAAAGGTCACTTTTTCTTTTAAAAAAAATGACTGTTGTTTTGCACTCACGACCGTTGCAGCATCCCCATGGTCATGTGTTCAAAATCCAGACACTTGGCAACTGACTCATACTTATGACAGTCGCAGTGACCCGGGGTCACGTCATCCCCTTTTGCGACCTTCTGACGAGCGAAGCCAATGGGGAAGCGGGATTCATTTAACAACCGTGTGGTTAACTTAACAACGGCAATGATTCCCTTCATAACCGGCAAGGAAGGTCATTAAACGAGGCAAAGCTTAACAACTGTTTCTCTCACCAGCAGAAATGTCGGGCTCCATTTTGGTCGTTAAGTCGAGATCTGCCCATATTGTATTCTTCAAAACTTCTTTATTCGGACACAGTTTTGAGCTTGTTGATTGAAGTTGTTGCAGCCCCTCAAATGTCTGCCTCTTCTCGGGGGTCTTCTCCTGTAGAGTCTCCTGCGCTCGTGCAGGGGGTTGGACTAGATGACCTCGAAGGTCCCTTCCAACTTCGTTATTCTATGATTCTAACACTTGGCCTGGCCTTGGCAGGCAACCTTTGCAAGTAGAGAGAGGGGTGTCATGCTGCCCCCACATCTTCCCCCTCCCCCTCCCTTCCATAAGGACTCTCCCCCCCCTTTCTCTCAGACCCTGGGTTGATCCTTTGGAAGGTGGAGGTAAGAAGCTGACGGGGAATTCGATGTTATTTCGTCCCCTTAAGACTCGTTGTGGATTTGCTGACTGACTTGGCTCTGCGCTGTTTTCTGAATCTCTTCTTCCCTTCCTACCTTTCTGCTTCCTTGCTATATCTGTGTGTCTTTAATGGTAAGACTAAAGAAAGTCTATCCACGTTACAATAAATAACTTTTGTTTTATTTTTTTCCTCCAATGAAATCGTTGTACATATTTTTTTTTGGCTGCCTTTTGTTACCTCCGTGTCTTGTTTTTTTTTTTTTTTTTTTTGGTTTGTTTCTGGTTTTGAATTTTTATATTTATTTATTTGAGTTTTGGTTTTGTAAAATACTCGGCAGTGTTAAATCTTTATATATAGATCTCTCTATATTTTAATAACAACAAGCAGAATCGACTTGGGTGCAAATTTAGTTCTTCCTTTACTGTATCTCGCATTTCTCTGCCATGTTTCTAACATGTGGTTCTTGTTATCTTGCATTTTTAAAGCTTGCCCAGTATTACTTTAAGGTACTTGCTCCGTTATTGCAATTTCTTTTTATTTCCTTTTTTGTGGCAAGGGACAAAAATCTGGGTGGAATTTCTAGCAGGAAATGTTTGGAATTAACTGTTTACGATCGTGCCCAGAGTTAGTTACCAAACTAATAATCTTCAGAAATGAAACAGGCACCAAGTCTCTCTTGGTGAGGTGAAATTTACTCCTTGTAAGAGACCTACTCAAGAGATGCTCCTGGTGGGCTGAGCCAGGAGTGGCCTTTATAGTTAATACAAATCTTGACATGACTCTCTTAAAATTAATAAATGGTCCTTCTTTCCTGAAATGGTCCAAAGCTATTTTTAAGTGGCTCTTCTCATCCATGAAATTACGCTTCTTGAGTTTGAGAGCACGGTGGTCCTCAACTTAATGACTGTTCTTTTAGTGACCGGCACTGAAAAAAAGTGACTTACAACCGGTTCATGCACATACAACCATGGAGGCCCTTGTTGCTTTTGAGCTGGGCGGTTTCGTGGCCCAAGCTAGGTAACATCATCAGTGCAACAAAAACGGTTGTAAAATAGGGCGTGACTCACTTAATAACCGCATCGCTTAGCGGCGGCGCCTCCAGTTCCCAACAGCGGTTGTAAGTTGAGGACTAGCTGTAACTGCTCTTTCTTTTTAATGAGAAAACTGTTGTGGCTTCGTTGCATGAATGAGTTTGCAAACAGCTGGGATCTGCATTTGTGTAGGAGTGTAAAGAGAGCAGATAGACGTAAATCAGGAAACGTCTTCCAATTTTATAAAAAGGAGAGAGAGAGAGAGAGAGAGAGAGAGAGAGAGAGAGAAGAGGGAGGGAGGGAAGGAAGGAAGGAAGGAGAGAGAGAGAAAGAAAGAAAGAGAAAGAAAGAAAGAAAGAAGAGAGAAGAGAGAAAGAAAGAAAAAGAAAGAAAAAGGAAAGAAAGAAAGAAAGAAAGAAAGAAAGAAAGAAAGAAAGAAAGAAAGAAAGAAAGAAAAGACTGTACTGGCCACATTTCTCTGAACCTGGGATAAATGCTGATGGAAGTTTGTCTGAAGCCATTTGATGGCCTGACCTGTCAACCAAAAATTGGGTTTATTTGCTGAATTTGAGAGCCGGTTGGGATCACCTCCGCCAGGTATCAAGTCGGGGTTTGGGGTTGTCCGTTTGATTTGAGACGTGGTGGAGGGCTTCCTTGTTAAGAGTAAATTGAGGGGAGGAAAATAGGAGCGATCCGTTGGGCTTGATGTTGGTGCTTCTTTAGATTGTAGGTCATCAGATTTATTGTCTGGATAAGGCAACCGTTGGCCTCTTTGCTTTGCCTTTCGACTTTGATTTTCCATCATTTTGGAAAACGTCTCTGGAGAGTCTTAATCATCCAGGTCGTGGTTCTCCCCAAGATACCTTTTTCCAAAAGGCAAATGGACTTTCTTGGGTTTCCCCCTTGAAAACATTTCGCTTCCCATCCAAGCCTCTTTTGAAGAGAGGATGCCCCTGCAGTTCCTGTGTGTTTTATCACAAACCCTCTCCAGCCACAGCTTCCCCACGCTTAAGAATGAACCGAAGTACAAATGTTTTCCACCGGATGCGAAAATTGTCCTATGATTAGTTCCTTCCTTATCGTTCTCAATCAGATTCCTAGTCCTGAAGATTGGAAGGACACTTACAGTGTCTTTTGACCTTCCCCAGCCAGCTGACACCCAACGGAGGCCAGAGTAGCCCCAAGATGTCCTCCTTGTAAGAACCTTCTCATCTCTTCATCAATGAGTTGACCTGCATGCAAACAAACCAACTCACCCAGCTCCTGAATGCCCACCGGGTTCAATTCTAGCAGGCCTCTTGGGCTTCGGCCGATGAGACCCACCTTCACATTGAACTCCTCGCACAAGTAGACCCAGCCAGGTGGCCGAGCTTCCTCGAGCAGCCAAGTTGATCCACCCTTGAATCCCCAAAAGTCCCCTTTTTCTGCTTTGCAACCAGGCTGACTCCTTCACCGCTTATTTGTCCCTGGGGAGAAAACCACTGGGTTTCTGATATTTAGGGGACCCCGCTTTGTTGGAAACAGTGGCCTTCTATCTCGGCGTTACAAGCGGCATCTCAGCCATCTGTGACGCGGTGTGCCTCGGTGTCATCCCCCCCCCCCCAGATTTTCCCTTGCCGCTTCTGTGACCCAGAACGAACATCTGCATTGCTTCTGAAAGGCCTTCTGTGATGTGCCTGCCATCATTGCTTGTTTGCTAGTTTTCTTGGGGATGGGGGGGACAGCAGCCATCCTGCCCTTCTCCCTTGCTGGTTATTGGGGTTCTTTTTAGCTGGATCACCTCTAACAGTCTTCTGTAAGGGGCCTGTTGAATTCTGCCTTTAATCCTTAAATCTGCATTTTGTTTTATTGGGGTGTGCATGATTTCTCTCTCTCTCTCTCTCTCTCTCTCTCCTTCATTTTTACCCTTTATTAGATTTTGGTTTGCAAAACGAACAGCTGTTCCTTTCTGCTCAGGAGTGATCCCTCTCTTGGGGATCGTAAAGCCATTCCAGTGATGCCTTCTGAGAAGGTTTGGTGGAAACGGATCGGATGGTGTTTCTGAACCTCAAAACCACTTGAAAGTGGGTGGACTTCAACTCCCAGAATCCCCAACGCTGGCTGGGGAATTCTGGGACTTGAAGTCTTCCCAACTTCAAGACGCTGAGGATGGAGAAATGGGAATGAACGCCATATGTTCCTATTGTTGTTTGGTGAAAATTCTCAAATAAATTCGCCTGTCAGTTCCTCACTAATGACGTTCAACCCCGTATTGAAATTATAATAACATAAATAATGGCCACAGTGACCACAGGAGCCTCTTAAATGCTGTATCAAAGCACCGGCTCCAGAGGTAGAAAAATACGAAGATGGTGATGCCCCCAAAGAGATTCTGGTTTTCATTTTCCTCCTCGCGTCTTCCGCATTTATTGGCTGAGAAGAATGAGATTTCTTCAAGAGGAGGTGACTTCTGAGGTAACCAAGCTCTTGTGGAGTCCTTGGTGCTCTTTAAGCTTGGTGGGTTATTTTTTTTACAGACGTTTCATGACCCAACTAGATAACATCATCAGGAACATCGAGGTAACAACATCAGCATTGATGATGTTACCTAAACGGGTTGTGAAATGTCTGCAAGAAAACCACCATGCTCAGAGAGCACCAAGGACCCCATCGTCCTCTTCTTCCTCCTCTTCCCCTTCCCCTTCCTCCAAACCCTTCTCCCTTACAGCACTGATGATATTACCTAGTCGGGTCATGAGATGTTTTGCAAGAAAACAACGAAACTCAGGGAGCCCCAGGAACTCCACAGTTCCATCCTGAACCACATTTTCTTCTATTGGATTTTAAACTTCAGCCGAGGCTCCAGAAGGGCCCTCAAAACGGAAGCTTTAAATTAACAGATTTAAGGAGAACCAGCCGATAATTCCAGCACAATCCCTGCTTTGCATGACAACTCTGTGTCTGTGTGTGTGTGTCTGTGTGTGTGTTTGAGCTTTGCATGCCTTTCTGTGGTCTCTTCAATAATGTTCCGAGAAATAACCCATGTGAGGCTCACGATCTGCAACCCTCTTTCCCTCCCTTTTCAATTCTTTATCTCCCAATCCTATTAACATCTTTCTTTTTTAAAAAACAATGTAAAAAAAAAACCCAAAACATCCCTGAAATGGATACGGTGATATGCAGATTCTGGCATGAATCTCCCTAGGTAAAACCTTTTCACTTTGTTTCCCTGTTCTTAAAGTTCCCCCATCATTAACGCCAGCTGTAAAACCTTCCCTCCGTTAAATGAAAGGACAATTAAAATTCCAGAAATTTTAGTTGCTGATCATCCTTTTTTTTTGGGGGGGGGGGACGTGATTTTTAAACAAGTTTAATGCGACGACTCTTCTAAATATTGTTCGACCCTCTCTTTTAGAGAAGCCAAGTTAATAAAAGAGAATGATGAAGAGAGAGCTTCATTGCAGAAATCCATCAGTGTTACTAGTGCCTTGATTACAGAGAGAGACGAAGAGTTGGAAAAACTCAGAAATGAGGTATAAACGGAGAAGTGTGTGAACTGTAGCATCCCTTCATATCTGGGTGGCCCACAAAACATGACACTTCCTCCCTCCCTCTTTCCTTCCTTCTTTCTTTCCTTCCTTCCTGTCCACCTCCTTTCTTCCTTTCTCCCTCCTTCCTTCCTTCCTCTCCCTCCCTCCCTCCCTCCCTCCTTTCTCCCTCTCTTCCTCCCTTTTCTCCCCCTTCCTTCCTCTCTCTCCTTCCTCCCTCCCTCCTTCCTTCCTCCCCTTCCCTCCTCCTTCCTCTCTCCCTCCCTTCCTTCTCCCTCCTTCCTCCCTCTCTCCCTCCCTTTTCTCCCCCTTCCTTCCTCCCTCCTCCCTTCCTTACTCCTCCTTCCTTACTCCCTCCTTCCTTCCTTTCTCCTTCCCTCCCTCCCTCCCTCCCTTCCTCCCTCCTTCCTTTCTTCCCCCCACCCTTCCTCCTTCCTTAGGGTTCACTTAGCAATAGAAATTTTGGGCTCAATTGTGGTTGTTTGTAAGCCAAGGACTATCTGCATGCCCTTCATTTCTTTCCTTCCGCGACATTATTAAGTTCACGTCGTGTCCCCCTTTTCTTTTTGGACTTTTGCAGGTCTCGGTGCTCCGTGGAGAGAACGCCACGGCGAGGAATTTGCACTCGGTCGTTCAGTCCCTGGAATCCGACAAGGTTAAACTTGAGATCAAAGTAAAGAATCTGGAGCAGAAGCTCAAAGAGAGCCAAAAAAGCTCTTCAGGTAAAGCCAGCTCTGGAATGTAGGTGACCTGGCCTTACCCAGTTTAATGGGGATTTTCCCAAGTGGAGAGAGCCAACATCTCCAGGTGTGAGCTTCCAATCCCAGAATTCAAATAAGGTGACATTTGGGGAAAGTGCAACCGATCACTGTTTCTCCACTTTGACCGTTTTAAAAGAGGTGGACTTCAACTCCTAGAATTCAAGGTTCCGTGTCCACTCCTCTTAAGGTGGTGAAGGTCAGGAAACATTGGCTTAAGACTTTGGTTCAACCAACCCACTGAGCTCCAACAGCCATAGAGTCTGTTCTCTAGAGAGGCCAGACCAGAGGGGGGTTTCAGCAGGTTCTGACCAGTTCTGGATAACCGTTAGCAGAAATTTTGAATAGTTCAGAGAAGTGGTAGTAAAAATTCTGACTGCCTCCCCCCAATCTATTCTCTGCCTCCCGAGTCCCAATGTCAACTTGCAAAGCTTTCAAGTTGCCATGAGCAGGAGGGAGGGAGAACTGAAGTGAATTCCATACATTCTTTCTGACCGCAATCAGAAGGAGGGTGTTAGGTTTCACAGCCAGCCAAAGTGGTTAATTGGAGAATGTGATTTATGACATGGCCAGAGAGGAGGGGAGAGACAGGGTCATAGGTGAACATAAATCTACGTGGGACCAGTCCTAACTGCATCCGAGTATTGCCGGAATGTTGCTCCTAATAAATGGCTATATTTCCTTTGAAGTTTGGATCATGGCTCATGATTTAATTAGGGCATCTTTTGGAAACTTGACACTCAGCTGATCGGGAGGAAATGGGGATTTTGCAGTATCCTTCCCCTGGAGTGGGGTGGGAATGGAGATTTTACAGTATCCTTCCTCTGCCACGCCCACCAAGCCACACCCACAGAACCAGTAGTAAAAAAAATTTGAAACCCACCACTGGGCCAGACCCTGAGGAACTCTGGGAGTTGAAGTCCACACCTCTTTTAGCTGGCCAAGGTTGAAATCGCCTGCCTTGCTGCCAACAATCTGATTTTATCCAAATGTGGAGAAGTACATCCAGATGTGGCCTCCTGAGGCCAAGTCAACCGAATGCTCCCAAAGAATCCAGCATCCCCTCTTGTCTCCGATGAAGGTCATGTAAAATCAGGGAGTCCTTTATTTCATGTCTTTCTAACGTGGTTTTTTTTTTAATCTTCCATCTTGTCTAAGACATTTCATCTAGTGGCGACTTCCAAAAGGAAGAAGACCAAGAGAGCCAGGTATGCTTGAGTCCTCTTGGACGTATCATTCCGTCATTTTTTTTAAAAAAAAGAACTTGTCCAAAGACTGTATTCCCCCTTCCCCAAATGCTTGAGGTTGAGTTTATCATGTTCTTAACATACTAATATTTGGTTTCTTTTGTGTTTTTCCCCCCACTCTTCCTTCCTTCTTTCTTCCCTCCCCCTTTTTCGCTCCTTGCTTTGATCTGCGGCTGGGGATAATCTTCTGCCATCAGCAAATGGTTTGTTTCAGCTTTCTCTGCTTTTTTTTTTTAAAAAAATAAGTTTTCTCGGTGATAATAACCTTGGGGTCCTTCTGCAAGGGAGCTGCTGCTCTTCTCCTCCCCTCAGCCTCCAAGAGAGGGAACCAGGGGTGAAATGCTCCCGGTTTAGACCGGATCACCCAATCCGGTAGTGATGGTGGCGGGTGGTTTGTAGATCCAGTAGCAAAGATCCCTGCAACCCCCACCCCACCCCGCCATGCCCAGCTGAGCTGTGCAATCATCAGAGGCTGTTTTTTTTTTTACTTTTAAAAGCTTTTTTTTCTACAACCTCTTCGGCTGAAAAAATGCTTTTAAAAATAAAAAAAAAAGCTTCTGATGATCGTGTGGCTCAGCTGGGATCGTCAGCTTTCTAAAAGCATTTTTTCTAAAAGCATTTGTAGAAAAAATGCTTTTAAAAGCCTCTGACGATCCTAGCTGAGTTGCCTGATCATCAGAGGCTTTTAAAAGCATTTCTTTTACAATGTAGAAAAAATGCTTTTACAAGTAAAAAAATAAAAATAAAAAAAAGGCTCAGACGATGGCGTGGCACAGCTGTGATCGTCGGAACCTTTTTTTACTTTTTAAAAGAATATTTTACTACCTATTCGCTGCTCTACTTACCTTCCCAAGCCTCCTTTTGGTACGAATTGTGCATGCACAGCCAGCGAACCAGTTCAGATTTCACCACTGAGGTCAGCCGTAACTTCCAACAGTTGTTAAGCGGCCGTAAATTGAGGATTACCTCCAATGCCTTAAGGAGGTTTAGTTTCAAGCGGAGATGAATTGAGAGCAGATACACAGAGGTTAGAGCCATGTTATTGGTGAAGATTGATATCTCCTGCTTAGAAGAGACTACTCTCTAGATGTTTGGTAGATCCAATTTGCCTCGTATGGTGAGATTCACTTCTCGTTCTTTTTTTTTCCCTCAACCCTTCAGATTGACTTCCTAAATTCGGTCATTGTGGATCTTCAAGATAAAAACGCCGAACTGAAATCGAAACTGAACAAGATGTCCGAGGCGGCTCTCAACGGAGATGAGGAAGAAGTTATTAACTATGACAGGTTGGTGATCGGAAAAATTGGGGATTTGGGTGGCTGTTTTACTTGGAGTGGCTTATTGGTAGACGCAGCTGGATGACATAGAGCAGTGTTCCTCAACCGTGGCCACGTTAAGAGGTCTGGACCAACTCCCAGAATTCCTCAACCAGCAGAGTTGGGAGTTGAAGTCCAGATCTCTTAAAAATTGGCCAAGGTTGAGAAACATTGGCTGAAAGCATTGGATAAACCAACCCACTGAGCTCCAGCAACCATAGAGTCTGCTCTCTAGAGAGGCCAGACACTGAAGAATTCTGGGAGTTGAAGTCCAGACCTCTTAAAAGTGGCCAAGGTTGAGAAACATTGGCTTAAAGCATTGGCTAAACCAGGGGTCAGCAACCTGCGGCTCTGGAGCCGCATGTGGCTCTTTCATCCCTCTGCTGTGGCTCCCTGTTGCTGGTCGGCTCCACAATTGATAGGGCTTTCGGTTAGGACAGGTAGAGGAAAAAGGACGCCGCTCTAGGAGGAGACTCTATGGAGGGGAAACCGGACTTCCGGTCGGCTCCAGAATTGAACGGGGGCTTCCAGTTAGGACCTTTGTGGCTCTTTGAGTATTTAAGGTTGCCGACCCCTGGGATAAACCAACCCACTGAGCTCCAGCAACCAAAGAGTTGCTCTCTAGAGAGGCCAGACCCTGGGGAATTCTGGGAATTGAAGTCCAGACCTCTTAAATTCCGGGAATTGAAGTCCAGACCTCTGTAAACGGCCATGGTTGAGGAACATTAGCGTGGAGAATTGAAAAACCAAAATCCCAACTTCGTCAGCTTCCCTAAACTGTTTCTGTCTCAACAGCGAGGAAGACAACCAAGTCAAGAGGAAACCTCGCCTCTTCTGCGACATTTGCGATTGTTTCGACCTCCACGACACTGAAGATTGTCCTACGCAAGCCCAGGCGCCTGAGGAACCCCCCCACTCCACGTACCACGGCAGTCGGAAGGAGGAACGTCCGTACTGCACCATTTGTGAGATGTTTGGCCATTGGACCGCCAACTGCAACGACGACGAGACCTTCTGACACAGGACAGGAGCGGAGAAAATGGAACGTTGTTTCGGGCGCTAGTTGGACCTTGTCCTCCACCACCAATCTCCAAGGGTGGGGCCAGAAGGAGGGAAGAGAGTGGGGACCGGCACTCTTTCCTCCCAGAATTCCTTGCAGCACCCACCACCCAGATTTTTTTTTTAAAAAAAGGACGCTGTGGATCTGGTCTGCCACAAGCAAGATAGTTTATTCTGCCCTTTTTACGATGAAATTAAAATAAATAATTTAACAGGGGCTGCCAATTTTCATTTAGAAATTTCATTTCCTGGGTTTTGCATCCAGAAACTTCCCTCCGGTCGCGTGGCTTAGTTTGGGGGGTGGGAGGGAGGGAGGTGGGGGAGGAAATGAGAGGAGGTGGGGTGTCAAACCCAATAGCTCACTTTTAGCTCACTTAAAGCTCTTTGAAATTATGCTGTTAATTTTCCTATTTGCACTACTACGCTCCTCCAAGCTGCGGTTGTACGGATTTATTTAACGTTTGTAACGTTCTGACACTGGAATGGGTTGAAGAGGCGAGCTCTTATTTTTTTTATTTTTCCAACGTTGTTTGTTTTTGTTTTTGTTTTGCCTCGGCTTTGTGATCTCTCGATCAACCAACACGCGTGTGCGTGTGCTACTGGTGCAAGACCTAGAAGTAGTGCCTTCCTTGTCCGCGAGATTTCTTTTAACGGTGTGAGATTTTGTCGAGGCAAAAAAATACCACAAAGCAGGTCAGCCACTGTGGGAAAATATTTTTTTCCCCCCCCTAACGAACTCTCTCTCTCCAGTTCTGCGTTTGGGAAATCTCCTCCTGTTTTTTCAGCTTCTGTAGAGTTGTACATAAGTACATATATAAATATATTTAAGAAAAACAAAGATTTATATTTTGGAAAACAATCTTGATTGTCTTTAGTGTTTCTGTTCTTCTGAAAAAGAGGGCTTTCGTGTACCGTAACTTGATTCAATGACTTTAAACCGCCTCAAAAAACTTGGGAGATTTTTTTTTTTCTGACGGGGGTGGGTTTGGGATGGGGATAAGGGGGCAAGTTTGCATGTACCAAAAAAAGGACACAAAAAAAAATCTTCCGGCTACAGTTTGTATCCTGTAACAGATTTTTTTTTTATCAAAGGTCCGTCCTGAAATCAAGACCGTTTCTTAAAACCAATTTAAGATGTAATTTATTTATTTTCCCCTGGATTGGAATTTTGTTCCTGATGAATGTAAAATAGAAAACTCAATGTTGAAATAAGGTGAAGTTTCTAAGAAGCTGATAACCTTACAAGAACATTTTAAGAAGTATACAAAGGAGCACATTTCTGAGTGAAACTGTTTTCATGCTAATTTAATGCCCCGGGCGTTCCTGTGGAGTTACTCAAAGATGATGCCATTCTGGTTTTGCTCTCTTCTTTTGAATGTCACAAAAAAAGAAAGGTAAAGAAAACACTATCAGCCTTCCTTGCATTATGGAAGATTTTAACTCTTCTATAACTATGTTTGGGTTTAACCTGTGTTTCTTTTTACACGCACACACAGACCTATAGAGAGGCACATATCTGTGCTAGTTGTTAATTATTCCCAGATTACAATCAGTATTTGGTCTATGAGGTTTTTTAAAAAATAAATCAATGTAACTGTTTGAACTTTGGAGTAAAGAATGTATTATAGGGATAGTCATTAAAAAAAAGCAGGGAAATCAGTATTAAACTAAACCAACTGTACTGTATCTTTAATAAAGGGATTATTCTCTACTCGTCAGCCTTGCCTCCTCCTTTTCACAACTGTTTGTGAGTGTTTGGTGCTGGGTATCCTGGGCTGCAGATGCTGTTCAAGCCACAATGCTGGTTTACTATGATGATTTGCCGGAATGAGTTATCTAAAGGCACAGCAATTTCGAAAGTTTTAAGCTGTTAAATTTGTTTATTTAATTAGCACATGGCATCTACAGAGGTCATGCAATCGCTGATGTACAACACTAATAAAACACATTATACATTCAAACAAATACAAGTTTAAAACATCAGAGATACGCAGATGGTGATAGGGTAGGTAGGTAGATAGATATTGTGGAGAGAGAGATGGATGATAGGCAGAGAGATAGATATGAGAAAGATATGATAGACTGATATAAAGGATGTATAGATGGATGATAGGCAGAGACACATAAAGGATAGAAGATAGATGATAGGCAGAGAGATAGATATGATAGAAAGATAGATATAAAGGATGTATAGATAGATGATAGGCAGAGACACATATAAAGGATAGATAGATAGATAGATAGATAGATAGATAGATAGATAGATAGATAGATGCAGACAGATATGATAGACATAGATATAAAGGATGTATAGATGGATGATAGGCAGAGACACAGATATAGATGGAAGATGGATGGATGGATGATAGACAGATATAAAGGATAGATGGAAGATAGAGATAGATAAGATGAGATGATGGATGGATGGATGATAGGCAGAGATAGGACAAGCAGATAGAAAGGATAGATGGGTGATAGATATAAAAGATGAGATAGATGATAGATTAGGATAGGTAAGTAGAAAGACATGGATACCTTAGAGAGAAAGAAAGAAAGAAAACATGGGCAATTCAATATACAATATAAAATATTAAAACTAGGACAAAATCAGCATAATATGGGACCACAGAATTGCAATAGGATGGATGCTATACTTCAACATCTAAGGAAGTTGGGAAAGATCAAGGGAGGGGATGCACGGCCCCCCCCCCCAACCCCCCCCCCGAGCAGCCTCCTCCGCCGAGAGCCCCACCTGCGCGCCCAGGTAAGACCCAGAAACGCCTTGAATCGGAGGGGGGCGTGGCTAGGCCGAGGGCCCGCCCACCACCACCTCCTCCTCCTCACGTGACCGGCGTGGGCGTGGCCAGCGCAGGCTCAGCGCGGCGGCCATGGCGGCTCACCTCAGCTCGGGCCGCGTCCCGTTGACGGCGCTGCGGGAAGCCGGGCGGAGGGAGCTGCGCGCCTTCCTCGACAAATGCGCCGGATCCAAGGTCAGCGCAAGCCCGCCTCGCCGCGCCCCGCCGGGTGGACGCCCATCCTCCACCGCCGGCCGGGGATGATGGGTCCCCGAGGCCCCCCCCCCCCCCTCCAGCCGCCCCGCCCCTCCCTGACCCTCCCTCTATTTGAACAGTTCTGGCGAACTGGTAGCGGAAATTTTGAGTAGTTCGGAGAGCCAGTAAATACCACCTCTGGCTGGTCCCGCCCCCATCTATTCTCTGCCTCCTGAGTCCCAGCTGAGAGGAAATGGGGATTTTACAGTAACTTTCCCTGGAATGGGGAGGGAATGGAGATTTTACAGTATCTTTCCCTGCCACGCCCACCAAGCCACGCCCACAGAACTGGTAGTAAAAAAATTTGAATCCCACCACTGACCCCCCCCAAAAGAGTTGGTTGACCTGGTTGACATCTATCAATATTTAAACTATATTAGACACGAAAGGGAAATTTGAAAATATCTATTTCACTTCATAAGCTTCCTGATACGGGTAGTCCTTGACTTATGGCTACAATTGTGCCCAACATTTCTGGTGTTGAGTGAGACATTTGTTAAGTGCGTTTTGCCCCATTGCACGACTTTTCTTTTACCGCAGTTGTTAAGGGAGTCGCTGCGGTTGAAAAGTGAGTAACCTGGTTGCTAAGTGAATCCGTTGACTTTGCAGGTTGCAAAGGGGGAAATCACATGACCCCCCCCCAAGACACAGCAACGGTCATAAATAGGAACCAGTTGCACCAGCCTCTGAATTTTCGACATGAACATGGGGATGCTGCAAATGTCCTCCCTATGAAAAAGTAAGTCCCATTTCTCAGCCCCATTGGTCACTAAATGAACTGTTGTAAGTCAAGGACTACCTAGTGTCTCAGGGACCCCCCCCCCCAGGATTCCCCAGACTACATTTTGAGACCTGCTGACTTAATATAATCTGAAAGCAGAAATTAATCTGGTCAGCGCATTGGAATTCGCAAAACAATTACGCAATCCATTTAATTATTGAAGGGCATTTAATGTCCCAAACATGCAATTATGTTCAATTAAGCTCCATTATGTTTGAAAGAATACATGATGCTCTTCTTTAAAGGTTTCTGTTTACCTGCCTGCATCAAAAGGCTATATTTATTCTCCACACTACAAGAGATGAAACTTTAAAACCCATCAAACTTTACAGTGGACGCTATAATTAATACCAGACTTGACGGTATCTCCAGTTTAAATTCTTCTGGCTTCTTGGAATCTCTAGGAGAAAGCGATCCTACCTGTTAGAAGTAATCTCTGGGTCCTCGGCGCATCGCAGAAGTTGGGACTGTGTTCCAATCCTGGAGTGGCTTAAATAGGTTGTCCTAGGGGAGGACGTGGATTTTCCGCTGTTACTTATTAACTTCCTTTAAAAGTTGGTTCAGGATGGTTTCCAGTCGTCGACGTGAAACTGGAAACGTTGCTCAAATTAGAATGTGGTTTTTCTGTAGGGATTTTTCAAGGCCCTTTGAATTCTAAAACAACCGTGGGAGAAGTCTTCCTGTTTAACTTCTGTTCCCACTTCTGTGAGAAGCTGGCCAGATGAATCGGATATGCAAATATTTATTTATTTTTTTAAAAAAAAAATCTGCCTGTCCTTCCTCCGTGTCTTGACAACTGAACTTCAAGGCAGCCTTATTTATTATCGACTTATAAATAGGTTGTCTTTGCACGGACGTTTGGAATGGACAGGGTAGCCCTCCGCTTACAACGGTTCGTTTAGTGACGGTTTGAAGTTACAATGGCACTGGGGGAAAAAAAATTGACTTATCCCCGTTTTGCACGCTTAAATGACCCCTGCAGCCTCCACAAGGTCACGAGATCAAAATTGGGAGGCTTGGCCCAACCGACTCATATTTATGACGGCTGCAGTGTCCCAGGGTCATGCGATCGCTTTTTGCGACCTGCTAACAAGCAAAACGGACGTGGCGGCTCAGTGGCTAAGACGCTGAGCTTGTCGATCGAAAAGTCGGCAGTTCAACGGTTCGAATCTCTAGTGCCGCGTTAACGGGGTGAGCTCCCGTTCCTTGTCCCAGCTTCTGCCAACCTAGCAGTTCGAAAGCACGAAAAAATATGCAAGTAGAAAAATAGGGACCATTTTTGGTGGGAAGGTAACGGCGTTCCGTGTGCCTTTTGGCGTTGAGTTATGCCGGCCACATGACCACGGAGACGTCTTCGGACAGCGCTGGCTCTTCGGCTTTGAAACAGAGATGAGCACCGCCCCTAGAGTCGAGAACGACTAGCACATATGTGCGAGGGGAACCTTTACCTTTACCAAGCAAAGTCAACGGGGAAGCCAGATTCGCTTAACGACCGCTTTAGTAACGTAACAACTGCAGTGATTCACTTAACAGCTGTGGGAAGTAAGGTCGTAAAACGGGGCAAAGCTCACTTAACAACTGTCTCGCTAAGCAAATGGGAACTTGGGATTCAGTTGCGGTCCACCTGTACTCTGTGCTTATTGTGAGAGTTTTTAATTTTTTTAAATTCCTCCAGCTTAGCCTTCAAATAAGGACCTGATTGGCAGGAGCTTTAAGAGCGGGTCGAATAAATGCTTGGAGGACTGATCTCTCAGGGGTTATGAATCTTGAAAGCTCAGCACCATCTCCAGTCGGGAGCAGCAGTCTGCCTCCAAATCTCAGCTTCAGGGGGACAATGATGGAACCAAGGGAGGTCTCCATCTCTTGCTTCTGAGGAGCCCAGAAGGTATCTGGATGGACTTGGTGGGAACCTAAAGGTTGGATTAAGGTGGCCTTGGGGTGAACCAGAAGGATTGGCAAGGCTGCCCAGATCCAGACTGTAAATCATGTATTTGTTCATCCGTTATACCAGAGGTGTCAAACTCGATTTCATTGAGGACTGCATCAGGGTTGTGTTTGACCTCAGGGAGCCGGGGGGCGTGGCCAGCTCGACATCACTCATGTTGGGGGCGCCTTTGGTGGCCTGAGCACTCTGCCAGTGAAAACGAGCTCCCGAGCTCCGTTTCCATCCCGTGGGAAGGCCGCACGCAGCTCTTGCAAATTCCATTTTTTTTTTAAATTTGATTTATATGCCGCCCTTCTCCGAAGACTCACGGCGGCTTACAATGTGTTCAGCAATAGCCTTCATCCTTTTGTATATTTTATACAAAGTCAGCTTATTGCCCCCACAACTGGGTCCTCAATTTACCTACCTTAGAAAGGATGGAAGGCTGAGTCAACCTTGAGGCCAGCGAACCAGTTCAGATTTCACCACTGAGGTCAGCCGTAACTTCCAACAGTTGTTAAGCGGCCGTAAATTGAGGATTACCTCCAATGCCTTAAGGAGGTTTAGTTTCAAGCGGAGATGAATTGAGAGCAGATACACAGAGGTTAGAGCCATGTTATTGGTGAAGATTGATATCTCCTGCTTAGAAGAGACTACTCTCTAGATGTTTGGTAGATCCAATTTGCCTCGTATGGTGAGATTCACTTCTCATTCTTTTTTTTCCCTCAACCCTTCAGATTGACTTCCTAAATTCGGTCATTGTGGATCTTCAAGATAAAAACGCCGAACTGAAATCGAAACTGAACAAGATGTCCGAGGCGGCTCTCAACGGAGATGAGGAAGAAGTTATTAACTATGACAGGTTGGTGATCGGAAAAATTGGGGATTTGGGTGGCTGTTTTACTTGGAGTGGCTTATTGGTAGACGCAGCTGGATGACATAGAGCAGTGTTCCTCAACCGTGGCCACGTTAAGAGGTCTGGACCAACTCCCAGAATTCCTCAACCAGCAGAGTTGGGAGTTGAAGTCCAGATCTCTTAAATATTGGCCAAGGTTGAGAAACATTGGCTTAAAGCATTGGATAAACCAACCCACTGAGCTCCAGCAACCATAGAGTCTGCTCTCTAGAGAGGCCAGACACTGAAGAATTCTGGGAGTTGAAGTCCAGACCTCTTAAAAGTGGCCAAGGTTGAGAAACATTGGCTTAAAGCATTGGCTAAACCAGGGGTCAGCAACCTGCGGCTCTGGAGCCGCATGTGGCTCTTTCATCCCTCTGCTGTGGCTCCCTGTTGCTGGTCGGCTCCACAATTGATAGGGCTTTCGGTTAGGACAGGTAGAGGAAAAAGGACGCCGCTCTAGGAGGAGACTCTATGGAGGGGAAACCGGACTTCCGGTCGGCTCCAGAATTGAACGGGGGCTTCCAGTTAGGACCTTTGTGGCTCTTTGAGTATTTAAGGTTGCCGACCCCTGGGATAAACCAACCCACTGAGCTCCAGCAACCAAAGAGTTGCTCTCTAGAGAGGCCAGACCCTGGGGAATTCTGGGAATTGAAGTCCAGACCTCTTAAATTCCGGGAATTGAAGTCCAGACCTCTGTAAACGGCCATGGTTGAGGAACATTAGCGTGGAGAATTGAAAAACCAAAATCCCAACTTCGTCAGCTTCCCTAAACTGTTTCTGTCTCAACAGCGAGGAAGACAACCAAGTCAAGAGGAAACCTCGCCTCTTCTGCGACATTTGCGATTGTTTCGACCTCCACGACACCGAAGATTGTCCTACGCAAGCCCAGGCGCCTGAGGAACCCCCCCACTCCACGTACCACGGCAGTCGGAAGGAGGAACGTCCGTACTGCACCATTTGTGAGATGTTTGGCCATTGGACCGCCAACTGCAACGACGACGAGACCTTCTGACACAGGACAGGAGCGGAGAAAATGGAACGTTGTTTCGGGCGCTAGTTGGACCTTGTCCTCCACCACCAATCTCCAAGGGTGGGGCCAGAAGGAGGGAAGAGAGTGGGGACCGGCACTCTTTCCTCCCAGAATTCCTTGCAGCACCCACCACCCAGATTTTTTTTTTAAAAAAAGGACGCTGTGGATCTGGTCTGCCACAAGCAAGATAGTTTATTCTGCCCTTTTTACGATGAAATTAAAATAAATAATTTAACAGGGGCTGCCAATTTTCATTTAGAAATTTCATTTCCTGGGTTTTGCATCCAGAAACTTCCCTCCGGTCGCGTGGCTTAGTTTGGGGGGTGGGAGGGAGGGAGGTGGGGGAGGAAATGAGAGGAGGTGGGGTGTCAAACCCAATAGCTCACTTTTAGCTCACTTAAAGCTCTTTGAAATTATGCTGTTAATTTTCCTATTTGCACTACTACGCTCCTCCAAGCTGCGGTTGTACGGATTTATTTAACGTTTGTAACGTTCTGACACTGGAATGGGTTGAAGAGGCTAGCTCTTATTTTTTTTATTTTTCCAACGTTGTTTGTTTTTGTTTTTGTTTTGCCTCGGCTTTGTGATCTCTCGATCAACCGACACGCGTGTGCGTGTGCTACTGGTGCAAGACCTAGAAGTAGTGCCTTCCTTGTCCGCGAGATTTCTTTTAACGGTGTGAGATTTTGTCGAGGCAAAAAAAATACCACAAAGCAGGTCAGCCACTGTGGGAAAATATTTTTTTTTCCCCCCTAACGAAACCTCTCCAGTTCTGCGTTGGGGAAATCTCCTCCTGTTTTTTCAGCTTCTGTAGAGTTGTACATAAGTACATATATAAATATATTTAAGAAAAACAAAGATTTATATTTTGGAAAACAATCTTGATTGTCTTTAGTGTTTCTGTTCTTCTGAAAAAGAGGGCTTTCGTGTACCGTAACTTGATTCAATGACTTTAAACCGCCTCAAAAAACTTGGGAGATTTTTTTTTTTTCTGACGGGGGTGGGTTTGGGATGGGGATAAGGGGGCAAGTTTGCATGTACCAAAAAAAGGACACAAAAAAAAAATCTTCCGGCTACAGTTTGTATCCTGTAACAGATTTTTTTTTTATCAAAGGTCCGTCCTGAAATCAAGACCGTTTCTTAAAACCAATTTAAGATGTAATTTATTTATTTTCCCCTGGATTGGAATTTTGTTCCTGATGAATGTAAAATAGAAAACTCAATGTTGAAATAAGGTGAAGTTTCTAAGAAGCTGATAACCTTACAAGAACATTTTAAGAAGTATACAAAGGAGCACATTTCTGAGTAAAACTGTTTTCATGCTAATTTAATGCCCCGGGCGTTCCTGTGGAGTTACTCAAAGATGATGCCATTCTGGTTTTGCTCTCTTCTTTTGAATGTCACAAAAAAGAAAGGTAAAGAAAACACTATCAGCCTTCCTTGCATTATGGAAGATTTTAACTCTTCTATAACTATGTTTGGGTTTAACCTGTGTTTCTTTTTACACGCACACACAGACCTATAGAGAGGCACATATCTGTGCTAGTTGTTAATTATTCCCAGATTACAATCAGTATTTGGTCTATGAGGTTTTTTAAAAAATAAATCAATGTAACTGTTTGAACTTTGGAGTAAAGAATGTATTATAGGGATAGTCATTAAAAAAAAGCAGGGAAATCAGTATTAAACTAAACCAACTGTACTGTATCTTTAATAAAGGGATTATTCTCTACTCGTCAGCCTTGCCTCCTCCTTTTCACAACTGTTTGTGAGTGTTTGGTGCTGGGTATCCTGGGCAGTAGGTGCTGTTCAAGCCACAATGCTGGCTTACTATGAGGATTTGCCGGAATGAGTTATTTAAAGGCACAGCAATTTTGAAAGTTTTAAGCTGTTAAATTTGTTTATTTAATTAGCACATGGCATCTACAGAGGTCATGCAATCGCTGATGTACAACACTAATAAAACACATTATACATTCAAACAAATACAAGTTTAAAACATCAGAGATACGCAGATGGTGATAGGGTAGGTAGGTAGATAGATATTGTGGAGAGAGAGATGGATGATAGGCAGAGAGATAGATATGAGAAAGATATGATAGACTGATATAAAGGATGTATAGATGGATGATAGGCAGAGACACATAAAGGATAGAAGATAGATGATAGGCAGAGAGATAGATATGATAGAAAGATAGATATAAAGGATGTATAGATAGATGATAGGCAGAGACACATATAAAGGATAGATAGATAGATAGATAGATAGATAGATAGATAGATAGATAGATAGATAGATAGATAGATAGATAGATCTGTAACCTTGTTGCTGGTATCCTTAAGATTTATATTGACTTTCCCTATGACTATCACTAAGTGTTGTACCTTATGATTCTTGATGAATGTATCTTTTCTTTTATGTACACTGAGAGTGTATGCACCAAGACAAATTCCTTGTGTGTCCAATCACACTTGGCCAGTAAAGAATTATAGATAGATAGATGGATGGATGATAGGCAGACAGATATGATAGACATGATAGATATAAAGGATGTATAGATGGATGATAGAGACACAGATATAAAGGATAGATGGAAGATGGATGGATGATAGGCAGACAGATATGATAGACATATAGATATAAAGGATGTATAGATGGATGATAGAGACAGATATAAAGGATAGATGGAAGATGGATGGATGATAGGCAGACAGATATGATAGACATAGATATAAAGGATGTATAGATGGATGATAGAGACGCAGATATAAAGGATAGATGGAAGATAGAGATAGATAAGATGAGATGATGGATGGATGGATGATAGGCAGAGATAGGACAAGCAGATAGAAAGGATAGATGGGTGATAGATATAAAAGATGAGATAGATGATAGATTATGATAGGTAGATAGAAAGACATGGATACCTTAGAGAGAAAGAAAGAAAGCAAACATGGGCAATACAATATAAAATATTAAAATATTAAAATAAAACTAGGACAAAATCAGCATAATATGGGACCACAGAATTGCAATAGGATGGATGCTATACTTCAACATCTAAGGAAGTTGGGAAAGATCAAGGGAGGGGATGCCCCGCCCCCCCCCCCACCCCCCCCCCCGAGCAGCCTCCTCCGCCGAGAGCCCCACCTGCGCGCCCAGGTAAGACCCAGAAACGCCTTGAATCGGAGGGGGGCGTGGCTAGGCCGAGGGCCCGCCCACCGCCACCTCCTCCTCCTCCTCACGTGACCGGCGTGGGCGTGGCCAGCGCAGGCTCAGCGCGGCGGCCATGGCGGCTCACCTCAGCTCGGGCCGCGTCCCGTTGACGGCGCTGCGGGAAGCCGGGCGGAGGGAGCTGCGCGCCTTCCTCGACAAATGCGCCGGATCCAAGGTCAGCGCAAGCCCGCCTCGCCGCGCCCCGCCGGGTGGACGCCCATCCTCCACCGCCGGCCGGGGATGATGGGTCCCCGAGTCCCTCCCCCCCCTCCAGCCGCCCCGCCCCTCCCTGACCCTCCCTCTATTTTGACTTATTCTCCTCCCCCCTTAATGTGTCTCTGGTCTGTTTTCCTTCTGCATTCATACTATTCTGCATTGGTATTTTTAAATGACCTTTGTTCATCGATATCATGCATTGGTATTTATTCTGCATTGATATTTATTCTGCATTGATATTTATTCTGCATTGGTATTTATTCTGCATTGATATTTATTCTGCATTGGTATTTATTCTGCATTGATATTTATTCTGCATTGGTATTTATTCTGCATTGATATTTATTCTGCATTGATATTTATTCTGCATTGATATTTATTCTGCATTGATATTTATTCTGCATTGGTATTTATTCTGCATTGATATTTATTCTGCATTGATATTTATTCTGCATTGATATTTATTCTGCATTGATATTTATTCTGCATTGGTATTTATTCTGCATTGATATTTATTCTGCATTGATATTTATTCTGCATTGATATTTATTCTGCAGTGTTCTCAAAGCATTATCATTAATCCTCCTTTATCGGTTATTCATCAATGCTGTAACACATTCATGTTATTCTGCAGTATGTTTATTGCATATTGGTATTTTTTAAATTATCGTTATTATTCGATCAATATTGTGTACTGATGCTCTGCTCCGGTATTATGTGTTGATGTTTTAGATTATCATTTGTTATTCATTGGTATTATTCTAGATTGATACTGCACGTTGCTATTTTAGATTATCATTTATTTCTTGATATTATTCTAGATGGAATACATTCACATTGCTATTGGAATTTTAAATTATTTGTTATTCATTGATATTCTAGATTGGTACTGCACATTGCTATTTTAGATTATCATTTATTTCTTGATATTATTTCTAGATGGATACATTGCACATTGCTATTTTTAAATTATTTGTTATTCATTGATATTCTAGTTGGTACTGCACATTGCTATTTTAGATTATCATTTATTTCTTGATATTATTCTAGATTGCGATACGGCACATTGCTATTTTAAATTATCATTTATTTCTTGATATTATTCTAGATTGATACTGCACATTGCTATTTTAGATTATCATTTATTTCTTGATATTCTAGATTGATACCGCACATTGCTATTTTTAGATTATCATTTATTTCTTGATATTATTCTAGATTGATACGGCACATTGCTATTTTACATTATCATTTATTTCTTGATATTATTCTAGATTGACTGCACATTGCTATTTTAGATTATCATTTATTTCTTGATATTATTCCAGATTGATACTGCACATTGCTATTTTAAATTATCATCTGTAATTCAATGATATTATTCCGTTGCTTCGCATGTACACTGAGAGCTTCTGCGCCAGAGACAATTGTGTGTCTAATCACACTTGGCCAAATAAAGTATTCTATGTTACTGTGTGTTTGTATGTTTATGGATTGATATTTTTTATTCATTAATCATCAATGTTCAGTATTTATTATACATTGATATTCTTGTTAGTCATCGATATTTTGGATGCATTGATGTCACTACATTGGTATTTATTATACATGGATATATTTATGTGTCCTTCAAAGTGTTTCTCAGCTTCTTGAAGAGATGTTGTGACATACTTAAATCTGTTTTTTCTTCTTTAGGCCATTGTGTGGGATGAGTATCTTACTGGGCCCTTTGGATTGATTGCGCAATATTCTCTTCTGAAGGTAAGATGTGGGCAAGAGTTCTAAAACATCCTAGAAAAGTGATAATGCACTAAGTGTTTCATTTAAAAAGTATGCATGTTCTCTCCCTGTGGAAATGTTTTTTAAAAAAACACCACCACATTTAGCACATCTGGAACAAGACCAAGAACAGCGATCCTTTATTTCAAAAAAGACTTGTTATTACCTACAGTATATATACAGCATAGGTGGAACCTTGCTCAATTAACTGTGAGAGGGACCTTGGAGTCCTAGTGGACAACCATTTAGATATGAGCCAGCCATGTGCGGCAGCTGCCAAAAAAGCCAACACAATTCTGGGCTGCATAAACAGAGGGATAGAATCACAATCACGTGAAGTGTTAATACCACTTAATAATGCTTTGGTAAGGCCCCACTTGGAATATTGCATTCAGTTTTGGTCGCCACGATGTAAAAAAGATGTTGAGACTCTAAAAAGAGTGCAGAGAAGAGCAACAAAGAAGATTAGGGGACTGGAGGCTAAAACATACGAAGAACGGTTGCAGGAACTGAACATGGCTAGTCTAGTGAAGAGAAGGACCAGGGGAGACATGATAGCAGTCTTCCAATATCTCAGGGGTGCCACAAGGAAGAGGGAGTCAAGCTATTCTCCAAAGCCCCTGAGGGCAGGACAAGAAGCCCTGGGTGGAAACTAATCAAGGAGAGAAGCAACCCAGAACTAAGGAGAAATTTCCTGACAATTAGAACAATTAATCAGTTTAACATTTTAGAACAATTAATCGGCGGAACAATTTGCCTGCAGAAGTTGTAAATGCTCCAACACTGGAAGTTTTTTAAGAAGATGTTGGATAACCATTTGTCTGAAGTGGTGTAGGGTTTCCTGCTTAAGCAGGGGGTTGGACTAGAAGACCTCCAAGGTCCCTTCCAACTCTGTTATTCTATTCTATTCTATTCTATTCTATTCTATTCTATTCTATTCTATTCTATTCTATTCTATTCTATTCTATTCTAATACCTCTGTTCAAACCAAATGGAATGTTTTCATAGTTGTTTTGTTCGTTTCCTTCCAGGAACATGAGGTGGAGAAAATGTTCACCCTCAAAGGGGGTCACCTTCCACCGGCTGATGTCAAGAACATTATTTTCTTTGTCAGGCCCAGGTTAGAGCTCATGGACATAATTGCAGACAATGTGCTCAGGTAAGGTCACCTGGGGACTTTGAAGTCCAGGTTCGCTGTGGACTTTTTCACCAGGACAAACTCTACTTTTTATGTGGGCAGAGGAAGATATAGTACAGAATTCTTTATTGGCCAAGTGTGATTGGACACACAAGGAATTTGTCTTTGGTGCATGTGCTCTCAGTGTACATAAAAAGAAAAAATACATTCGTCAGGAATCATAAGGTGCAACACTTAATGATAGTCATAGGGTACAAATAAGCAATCAAATCATACTAGGAAACAATATAAATCGTAAAGATACAAGCAACAAGATTACAGTCATCCAATCATAAGTGGGAGGAGATGGGTGATAGGAACAATGAGAAGATTAATAGTAACAGTAATGCAGACAGTGAATAGTTTGACAGTATTGAGGGAATGATTTGTTTAGCAGAGTGATGGTGTTTGGGGAAAAACTGTTCTTGTGTCTAGTTCAAGATCAGAATATATGTTTGTTCACCAGTTATGTTCATTCTTTTTTTTTTTAATCAGCTTTTAGCTCTTGTATCTGTTTTGGATCTGTACACTGTCCAGAGTTAGTTTTGAATGGTGGAGTCCTTATTAATCTAAATCAGGTGTCCAAACATGGCAACTTTAGGATTTGTAAACTTCATCTCCCAGAATTCCCCATGACTCATGAATTCTGGGAACTGATGTCCACAAGTCTTGGACCTCCCTGATCTAAATAGTGATAACTTAATATTTAATAGATTAATGGAGTGCTATATATATTGAATGAATGAATGAACGAACGAACGAATGAATGAATGAATGAATGAATGAATGAATGAATGAATGAATGAATGAATGAATGAATGAACGAACGAATGTTCAGTTGATCTGGTCCAGAGACTATTAAAATTGATCTGGGGAAAGCTTGGTCAGATAAAAACCTTCCTTCTCTTTTTCCAGCGAAGATAAAATCCGTTGTCCGCAGCGGGATTTCCACATCTTGTTCGTGCCGCGTCGCAGTTTGTTGTGCGAGCAGCGCCTCAAAGAGCTGGGCGTGCTGCACTGTTTCATTCACCGAGAGGAATACAGCCTGGACCTCATTCCCTTTGACGGCGACCTCTTGTCCATGGAGTCAGAAAACGCCTTTAAGGTCAGAACCCGCACACAGCGAAGGAGGCCGCTCCTGAGACGGGGACCTGAGGCTCTCCAGGCCTCCTTTCCGATGGCAGGAAATGCTGGCTCCCGGGAAAATTGAGAGTGGCTTTCCTTTCTCCTAGGAGTGTTACCTAGAAAATGATCAGACCAGCCTCTACCATGCCGCGAAAGGACTCATGACACTCCAGGCTCTCTACGGGACCATCCCGCTCATCTTTGGAAAAGGAGAGTGCGCACGGGTAAAAAGGAATAAGCTGGAATGTCTGTCCTTATTTATAGCTCAGCTTGGCTTCCTGCCAGCCTCTTTTGCAATAAGGAGCCCCTTGGTTCTGATCATTTAAACCAGCAGCGTCCAACCTTGGCGACTTTTAAGACCTGTGGACTTCAACTCCCAGAACTCCTTTGCCAGCTGGAGAATTCTGGGAGTTGAAGTCCACAAGTCTTAAAGTTGCCAAGTTGGACACCCCCTGATTTAGACACGAAATCGAGATCCATGGAACATTTATCGCTGATACGCAGCAGCTTGGCACAAGGTCCTAACCCCAGACAATCAAACCACAGGAACAGTAGAATTATCTGCCACCTAATTTGTGCATAGAACAAAAGTAATGTCTGAAATAGACGGTGGAAACCAGGGTGAGTTGGAAGGGTCTTCTGCTTGGCTTGGACGTCTACGAAATAAGAGCTGAATCAGAGCAGAGCAGGGCGTGAGAAATGTAGCTTTAAAGGCGCCTGGTCTTTGTGAGGTTAATCTTTGTGGCCTGGTCCGTAAATCTCCGGGATTTTCTGGATTGCAGCATGTGGCAAACATGATGATCCGCATGAAGAGGGAGTTTTCGGGGATCCAGAACCCCATCCTGCCCGTCTTCGATACCCTTCTGCTTCTGGATCGCAACGTGGATTTGATCTCTCCTCTGGCTACCCAGCTGACCTACGAGGGCCTGATTGATGAAATATATGGAATTCAGAACAGTAAGTAAGACCGTGACCCAGAAGGTAGAAACTTTGTCAGTTCCTCTCAGCCCGGCCTGCCTCGCAGGGTTGTTAGGAGGAAAATTGGAGGAAGCGGGCTCCATAGACCACTCTGAGCTCCTGAAATCAAGTCATATACAGGTAGTCTTCCACTTACAACCATTCATTTAGGGACTGTTTAAAGTTACAACGGCACTGAAAAAAGGGACTTTTTCAAGTTTTTCACACTTACGACATTTCCAGCATCCCCATGATCAGGTGATCACTTTTTGCAACCTTCTGATAACGTGGAAGCCAGATTCACTTAACAACCAGGTTTCTAACATCAGTTGCAGTGATTCACTTAACAGCAGATGCAGGAAAGGTCGTAAAAAAAGGGGGCAAAACTCACTTAACAAATGTCTCACTTTAACAAGAGAAATCTTGGGTTCAATTATGGTCATAAGTCGAGGACTACCTGTATATCTTCAATATGTCTCTCCCGGGCCTTTCTTTAAAACATCCGTCTCATTTCTTTTTCCACGATGTTTGGCAGCCTACGTAAAACTTCCCCCTGAAAAATTTGCCCCCAAGAAGCAGGGGGAGGCCGCGAAGGAGCTGCCCACCGAGGCCAAGAAGCTGCAGCTGAACTCCGCGGAGGAGCTGTACGCGGAGATCCGCGACAAGAACTTCAACGCCGTGGGCAGCGTCTTGAGCAAGAAGGCCAAAATCATCTCAGCTGCTTTTGAGGTAATAAAGCAGGGTCCCCAAAGTTGGCAGCTTTAAGACTTGTGGACTTCAACTCCCAGAAAGAGAATTCTGGGAGTTGAAGTCCACAAGTCTTAAAGCTGCCAAGGTTGGAGACCTCTGTAATAAAGTAACACCCAACCTTGGCAACTGACAGGCCTGTGGATTTCAATTCCCAGAATTCCCTAGCCAGCCACATCGGCTGTGCTCAGGAAGGGCAAAAGAACACGTCGTCCATCTTCTCCTCTTAGAACCCAACTACATTGTTTGTTTTTGACTAACTTGATTCACAACGATTCACTTAAGAAAAGAGAGCCATCCCCCATTATCCCGTCAGAGCTGAAGAAGCTTTCTTGGATGAGAAGCGAAACGTCTCCAAAAGAAAAAACAAGGAAGTCCAGTTGCCTCCTGAAAAAGCACCTGTGGCAAGAAAGGTCGTTAAAACGGGGCAAAACTCCCTTAACAAACGTCTCCCTTAACAACGGAGATCTTAGGCTCCACTGTGGCCCTAAGTTGAGTTCTTACCTGCGCATAATTTTTGTGCAGCTTGCAGTGAAAAAGTTTCTTGAACCAGGAGTATCTGAGCTGTAATTGATACGACTGGGATATTCGTATTTTTACACTGGAAGGAAGGAAGGAAAAAAGGGACGACGTCACATCGTTAGATCTAATAGGTGATAATGAAACAGCAGCTTACAAGGAGCGGAGAGGCCCGTTAATGGCCTTCATTATGGTCTATCTGCCTGGGCTTGTCATTTGTAGCGTTGACACTTCCCTCCATTTTTGCACTTGTCAGTAAGCGTGTGGGATTTGCACAGTTTTCTCTCTCTCTCTCTCTTATTCTCCCCTGAAAAAGCTGGGTATAAATTATGAACTTCGGTAGGTTAATTAATAGATCATTACCCTTTGCTGTTATCCGGTCCTTAAAGAGTCATATACGCTCTGTTTTTCATTGCTATGGAGATAATGCCATTAATCCTGTTTCGGAAAAACCACCTGAGATTTGCCAGATTATCATTTCTCAGACGGTGAGAGAGGTGGATTTAGGAAGCTGCAGGTTTGGTTTGGTTTTCCGCCGAGATTCTCAGCCCAAAGTACAAGATTTTAAGGAAAGAAAAGGCAGGGTAAAAATACAGAACTTAAGAAAAACTTGAGCAGACGATCATTAAAACCAATAGATTTTTAGAAATTGGAGTATGTTCCTGAGGTCCGTTTCTTTTACTGGCAATAGTCTTTGAGTTTTGCTGGCGTGCTGGGAAGCACGTTATATGTAGAAATGTCATTGAATTAGGTGAGCCAGTTGACCTCTGAGGGATCCCAGTCAAGGATTCTTATTCCATGCACCGTTTCCATTCAGCCTACAGAAAAATACAACCATCTTTTATGTTTCTTCTGGAACAGGAATAAAAGTGGACCTGTCCAATGAAGTTAAGCCACTGCTTTTTTGACATTTGGCCATTCTCTAGCAATTGGACAAGAGGGAAAATAAAGTTGACCCCAGAGAAGACTTTTGATTTTATCATAACATGAAAAATGATCTGGTGGTGTGGCTTCTGTCAATCTCAACGAAGCTGAAGGGGATTCTTAGCTGTCGGGCAAAAGGGGTAGAATCCAAATAAGATTAATAGGGCTGGGAAGAGGGAGGAACGAGAGAAGGTTTAGTCTAGTGCTTAAGGCATGAAGCCAGAAAGGGGGAGACGGCGAGTTCTAGCCCCGCCATAGACTTGAAAAACACCTGGGTGACTTTGAGCCAATCACCAGGAGACCGTGAGTTCTAGTCCCGCCTTAATCATGAAAGCCAGCCAATCCCCCTCTCTCAGCCCAACCCACCTCACACGGTTGTTATTATGGGGAAAAAAGGAGGAGGAAGTAGGGTCGGATATGTTCGCAGCCTTGAGTTATTTGCAAAATAACTCAAAACAAAGGCGGTATGTAAATAAAACGAATGGCTCTGGACTCTCCGATTGATGTTCTTAGGAAAGGCACCACGCCAAAACCGTGGGGGAGATCAAGCAGTTCGTCTCACAGCTGCCACACATGCAGGCTGCCAGAAGCTCTTTGGCGAACCACACCTCCATCGCGGAGCTCGTGAAAGACATCACCAGTGAGTAACTCTGAAGAGTTATCTTTTTCCGGGGAACGGGCCTAAGGGAGGGTGGGTTTCCCCTCTTGAATGAGGGTCAGACCGAACCAATTTTAATCTCCTCCCTCGGTATTTTGGCCATTGGCCAGATCTCGGCGGTATCCCTGCTATCAAAATACCTCAGGATCCCATTAACGTCACTTCTTCACAACTGGTTTCATTTTTCTATTGTAAGCCTCTGAAGACTTCTTCGATAATTTAACCGTGGAGCAAGAATTTATGTCTGGCATAGATACCGATAAGGTAGGCCAATGTTTTCTCAAAACAGCTGATTAGTTCTGCGTAAACTAATTTCCTGTGGAATTGAGGGGATGTATATCTGGTGAGGGGCATTCACCCAAAAAAACTGGCATCCATAATTTTGGGGGTTAAACATCTTTGAAGGCCAGATTGCTGTCGGCCAAACTAGTCCTTTCGCCAGTGTTTCTCTACCTCGGCCACTGGGTGGACTTCCAACTCCCAGAATTCTCCATCCAGCATGGGTGAACAAAAACTGCAGGTGAAAAGGTAGCCTTGTGTACAATTCATCAGACTGGCGCGAAAGATCGTCGGCATGAAACCTCTTCCATGTCTTCTTCAGCACGTCAATTCTGCAAAGAAGGTAACCTCGTGATTTTTGTTAAAAATTTAATTGGATTTTTTTTTCCCCCTTCGCAGGTCAACGGCTACATAGAAGATTGCATTGCCCGAAAGTATCCTTTGATTAAGATTCTGAGGCTCGTTTGCCTGCAGTCGGTGTGCAACAGCGGCTTAAAGCAGAAGGTGCTGGATCATTACAAGAGAGAAATTCTCCAGGTTAGACTTTCGCAAGGGCAAATAATGATACAGCTCAGGGAAGACCTTAAACCAGGGGTGAAATCCAGCAGGTTCTAACAGGTTCTGGAGAACCGGTAGCGGAAATTTTGAGTAGTTCGGAGAACCGGCAAATACCACTTCTTGCTGGCCCCAGAGTGGGGTGGGAATGGAGATTTTGCAATGTCCTTCCCCGAGGAGTGCGGTGAGAATTGCAGTATCCTTCCCCCGGAGTGGGATGGGAATGGAGATTTTGCAGTATCCTTCCCCTGGAATGGGGTGGGAATGGAGATTTTGCATATCCTTCCCCTGGAGTGTGGTGGGAATGGAGATTTTGCAGTATCTTTCCTCTGAAGTGGGGAGGGAATGGGAATTTTGCAGTATCCTTCCCCTGGAGTGGGGTGGGAATGGAGATTTTGCAGTTTCTTTCCCCTTGTGGGGAGGGAATGGAGATTTTGCAGTATCCTTCCCCTGGAGTGGGGTGGGAATGGAGATTTTGCAGTATCCTTCCCTTTCCACGTCCACCAAGCCACGCCCACAGAACAGGTAGTAAAAAAAAATTGAATTTCACTACTGCCTTAAACAATTTGGAGCATTTTGTAGAACGAAAACCAGTCACAGATAAGGAAAGCGGGGAAAAAAATCAACGAAAAGATCAAGATATTTTATCCTCCCTTACGATGTGTTTGTTTTCCTCGAATACGCAGCAGTGAGTGACGCTTTCTTTTTTCTTCTTCTTCGAATGGTTGTTATAATTCTCTATAATTTCTTCCGAAAATTGTTTGCAGGCTATAAGTGCAGAGTAGAAATGGTGAGAGGTCACAAATCGTTTTTAACGGTTTACCCGGACTTTCCAATCCTTAAGAGGAAAGCTGAAACGAATTCATAGATTTGAAAATCCTGGATTTGTTTTTTTTTTCTTCTTCTTCTCTCCCCTTCCCTTTCAACCTGGCAGGTAGGCAGCTCCTACGGTCTCAGAGGGTAAACTCGACATTTCATAAATAAGGTATAAAATGAATATACCCTTGTGCTTGTTGCAGACTTATGGCTACGAACACATCCTGACCTTGAATAGCCTAGAAAAGGCTGGACTTTTGAAGCCCCAGCTGGGCAGTCGGAACAACTACCCAACCATCCGGAAAACTTTGCGTTTGTGGATGGACGACGTCAACGAGCAGGCAAGCTCGCCTCTCTGCCTCTTGCAGCTTTTAAGAGACGGTTTTTCAAAGCGGTCCCAAGTTAACCTGCTATTAGTCTTCAATTCCACCCCTTTTTTTTTTTCCGCAGAACCCGAACGATATCTCTTACGTCTACAGCGGTTACGCGCCTCTAAGCGTTCGCCTGGCACAGTTGCTTGCCCGGCCAGGTTGGCGAAGCATTGAAGAAGTCTTAAAAATACTCCCTGGTCCACATTTTGAAGAGAGGCAGCAGCTGCCAACTGGGCTTCAGAAAAAGCGTAAGTTTCTTTGGACACCCCGTTTAATTGGAAAATGTTTTTTAATTTAATTTAATTTAATTAATTCAATTTATATGCCGCCCCTCTCCGAAGACTCAGGGCGGCTCACAATGCATTTCAAAAAATCATTATAAAAACAAACATTTAAAAATTAAAAACATTAAAAACATTTTAAGTGCTCCAGGACTGTGGATAAGGACTGCCACAGTCTGGTTCCCTCTTGTAGACTTAGGGGTTCCAGCGGCCACATAAATGGGGTGATTGGACACTGTGGGAGGCACCCAGTTGTTTCCAAAATATTACAATAACCCAAAGAATCTTGATTATGTTTAATCAGTCATGTTTAAATTCTGGAGTGGTGCGGTGGCCTAGAGGTGGAGCTCTTGCCTCACAATCAGGAGGCTGTGAGTTCGATCCTAGGTAGAGGTAGATATTTCTCTCTCTGGCACAGTGAAAATCTGAACAAAACTCTGTATTGGCAACAGGAAGGGCATTCAGCCAGTAAACGCTCTGCTAGCTTCATTCAGTTGCCCAGACTCCACTCCACAAGGGATTCTGGGGTCGTTAAACGATGATGATGATGATGATAATCACATTTAAATTCTGCATTGCACTTCATACTTCTTCCTGTGTGGCAAACGTTTCATAACAGTATTGCAGGGAGTCCTTGATTTACATCCATTTGTTTAGCGACTGCTCAAAGTTACAAAAAAAGTGAGCTACGACGTCCTGGTACTTACGACTGTCATTCCCGTGGTCATGTGATCAAATTCGGTTGGTTGCCTTGTCTGTCTGACGAATCAATGGAGGAAGCCGGATTTGCTTAACAACTGTGGCAAATAAACGTGTAAAATCAGCCCCCTGGCTCACTTAACAACCACTTTGCTTAGCGACAGAAACTCTAGTCCCAATTCTGGTCGTAAGTTGAGGACTCCCAATAATAGCATCCATAGTAGACTTTTTCATTGTCCTTTGAACTGCGTCGCAAGAAGAGGTTGAGTGGGTGGAAATGAGCGGCAAAGCATCGCACAGAATTTTGAAGGCAGTTTTCAATTTTTTTGTCCCCTCCCTCCCCCCCTCCAACGAACATTCCAGGCCAGCATGGAGAAAACCGCGTCACTCTTGTCTTCTTTCTGGGGGGCGTGACCTACGCCGAAATTGCAGCCCTCCGGTTCCTCTCTCAGATGGAGGACGGGGGCACCGAATACGTCATCGCCACCACCAAACTGATCAACGGAACGAGCTGGATCAAGTCCCTGATGGAGAAGCTGGAGCCCCCACCCTTTTAGGAGAAGCAGGGGCAGACCGAGCAGGACTCGATCGAGGTGGCATCGCGAGACTCGGGAGAAACGGATGCCTTCGGAAGAGAGGACTTGCCAGTTGAAAAGGAAGACAGTTTCTCAGCTGCTTTCTAAAAAAAATTCCTTCTGGATCCAGAAGGAAAGCTCAGCCTGGCAACCTGCATTTTGCTTTGCTTCCTGTCATTCCCAGATTTTTTTCTTACAGTTTCTAAATCCCTTCTTCCTTAGTGTATATTCCACAATCTTTCAGGACGTTTTTTCCTAATATTTCCTCCTCTTTCCCATTCTGTAGTTAGCTTTTGTTTTCTTACTTCAGTCCATTGATATTCTTCATTTTTCTCCCCAGGCAGTTAATCATGTTGGTGGATTGTAATTGCAAAGCTTGCAATTCCCTCTTGGGCTGCAATTCTAAAGCTTGAAAGTCTGCAAATCTGTAACAGAATCTGCCCCTTAGATTATACAGCTCTACCCCAATCCTCCTATTTTCATGGAATTCGCTTCCTCGATTTGTTTCTAGCAGGTTTCAATCCCGGAAATCACTGTTTTGCTGCCAATTTTGAAAATCCTTCTCTCTTTTTCCCCATGAATACCTCCTGAAATGCTTACAAGCCCTCAATATTGAACCAAACTCATTTGCACTGAACATTACTGCGAATAGTGGGAGAAGAGGCTACTGTTTAATCAAACCTCATTCTGTTGCAAACAAACAAGCAAGTTTAAAAAAATGCTGGAATAATACCTTTGAAATCCGAGAAGATAAATGTTATAAAGACGCCAACATGGGCATTTTCCAGCCTGTATGTGTGTGCTTTTTTGAACGTGTGCAGTTTCTACATCGATAGCGCCAGCAGAATCTCTCCGTATCATGAAAACAGCACGATTCTCTCCCGTCTAACGTCATTCTTGCAATAGCTGCGTTACTCCCCATTCTCCAGAGTGTCACGGCCCCATAATGCAAAACCTTAGAATCAGGAAGGGAAGCTTTTTTTCTGGACAGTGTTGACCGAGTCTCAAGGGAGATAATTATATCCTAATGGCTTCCTGGGTAGTTTGATTTTGGTCTACTTTTGATGAAGGCCTGGTTGATCACAAGGCTAATAATTTGATAATAAGAGCTCCTGATTAAATTTCGAGTCCATTTGTCGAGCCGTGATGTCTAAGCCAAAGGGGGGGGGGGGAGGATATAATTGAGACCTTTTAAAGTGTAATAGCCAGGAAGAGCCAGTTAAACAGAAGGGGGAAATAAAACTTTAAATAGAGCAGTGACATGTTTTTCAGGTTAGAGATAAAGTCGGGCGTGTAATGCAAGATTTCTGCTGCAAAAAAACATAAAAAACTGGTTATAAGCAGAAGTGAAGTTTTCTCTAAAATGCTAAACTGCCTGTGTGCCTTATGCCATTTTCTTCCTTTCCAATCCTCCTCCCCCCCCCATGTTATTTTCAGCTTTCCCCTCAGCCTTTAAGATAGCCAAGAGAGAAAATGGTCCCTCCCCAAATCAGAGACATCTGCAAAATGTCACACAAGGACTTGGCCACGTGGCCACAGTTTCCACTGACAGGAACAGAAGGGTTGATATTCAGCCTGTTGTTGGGATTAGAGCCCAGTGATTGTTGCTACATACGCACACAAATACACAGACACATAAACTGAGCAAAACACAGACCCAAGCAACAAATGTGAGATTTAAAGCAGATGTTGAATTTTTGAAAACGTGCTGTTTTTAGCTCTATCCATATATGTTTAACTCTCGTCATAATTTGATTGTGTTGAACAACTACACACCTCATCTTTTTAACAAGCATCGTGTACGTATTTTGGTAAGATTTCAGCTCAGCATGTAAACCTCCCTCCCTTTCATAGTAAAAGTTATTGCAACAGCAGGGAGAAAGTTACTCTCACATTGTCAAAAACCGGTCCTTAAATTTATATTACTCAGTGGTTAGAGATAAAAAAAAAATTACCCTGTACTATTTTGGAAAAGTAGAAAACTACAATGGTATCTTAAAGTGTAACAAATTTATTACACTGTGTGTTTTTGCACACAAGTGTATTTCATCAGGGAAAGTACTGAAGTATCTTTTTTTAAAAAAAAACCCATTTTCCTCATTACTTCTATTCTATTTTCATTTTTAAAAAGCCTCGGGATATATATATATATATATATTTCCGTGCAGCGAAGAACAAAGAAGATCTGTGTATCCCATTGCAGAATTGCTCTCTGACCACACCTATTAGTACTTCGCTCGTCTGGCGTATATATAGAGAGCATCCTTGTGCTGCCTCTTCAGATGAAGAGAAGGTCCAGCCGCTTCCAGAAGTCGCTCGCTGAAGACAAGCCCCAGAAAGGTCCACGAAAGAGATCCTCAAACCTCATCCTCCAAAAAAAGGTGAGCAATTTATCCGCATCTAAATATAATTAGCTTTTTATTTCATAGAAGAGGTGTGGCGTTTTAATTATAAGAACTGTAATCTTACACAAGATAATGTTACATCCGAACGTGCACTGCTACTGAAAAATCAAGACGTTTGGGGATTTTAAGGAAATTCTCTGAAAGTACTTTAAAAAAAAAAAGAAAAGAAAATGCATTGCAGGTCCTTGGTTTGCTGGCTATCTAATTTGTACCTTGTTGGGAAGGGGAAAAAATTATTTCAATTAGCAGTATGTGGATCTTGGCTTGGGTTTTTTCCACCTTTGGGACTAAACTGAGATTAATTACTAGCTGTCCTGTCAGGAGGTTTCTCCTTGTAAAAGGAAAATTCAGCATAATTAACATGCTCAGAGCGAAATATTTCAAATCTTCGTAAAGATAATGGCAGCATCTTTTAAGTCATTTATTAGATCCCCGACTGCATATTTCTAAATATTGGCAGATTGAAAATGAACTTTTTATAAAGTTTAGGCACTATCAAATTATTATAGTGTTGCAGTCATTTCGATGGGGAGATTGATTTTTAAAGTCCCCTCCCCCCTTATTTTGGGTGGATGGAAAGATGCAGGCCAAACTATTTGTAGATAATCACTAAACCAGAAACATTATTTTCCCGGCAGCCCGTCCATTAGATGCAATTATAACATTAAATATTAAAGTAGGGTCCCTCTGGAAGAATTGACTGCTTTGATGGCTGGAATTAGTTGGTACTAATGGATATATTAGCTATATATCTTGAGGTTCTGTGGCTGCACAGCCTGGAATCCTATCAGGCTGGCCGCTTGCATCAGCTTTCCTAAAAATTATGGTCAAAGCTTGCAAAATTGTCTTCCAGTGACCTCACTCCCAAACAGACCCATATTTTAATTCTAGGCCAATTTACTCAGCAGGCAGAACATGATGCCCAATAAAGCTGCTTTCTCAATGCAGATAGCCTTCGACATTCAACAGTTCATTTAGCGACGGTTCAAAGATACGATGACCCTGAAAAAAAGTGACACTTAATGACCCTTGCAGCGTCCCCAGGGTCACGCAATCAAATTTAGACACTTGGCAGTTGACTCAAAATTATGACAGTTGCAGTATTCTGGGGGTCTCGTGATCCCCTTTGCAACCGTCTGACAAGCAATAGGGAAAGCCGGATTTGCTTAACAACCGTGTCACTAACCTAAAAACTGTGGTGACTCACTTAACAAATGTGGCAAGAAAGGTCGTACAATGGGGCAAAACTCACTTAGCAAATGTCTCGCTTAGCGACAGAAATGTTGGGCTCAATTGTGGTCTTACGTCGAGGATCCTAGACAGAACCACCCGTAGTTCTGTCTATGATCCTCTGCTTTAAATCACCTGTTGTAGATCACGAACCAGCTTGTGGTCGGTGGCCTCTTTCATTCTGTGGTTCTCTTTTCCCGCCTTCCTTCCCTCCCTCTTCCAGATCCAGCTGTTCCCATGCAGTTTTCCCCGCCACCTTTGAACTCCAGGATGGTGCAAGAATCCTTTACTCTCCATTTTCTGAAGGTGATGAAGGAACTCCTGGCTTTTGTGCTCTTCAGTTACACCGTCTTGTTTGGGGCGCTGTTGTTGGCTGGATGGACGACTTACTTCCTTGTGCTAAAGTGACAGCGTGTTAGAGTTCTGTCTGGAGCTCTGGAGACCTCAGCTGGACAAAACAGCCCTTTAATTTTGTTTTGTGATAATCCTGGCGCTTTTTAAAAGGAACCACTTGGGTTCAAGCTAAGATTTCATTTTTAAAATCTGTTTCTCGAGTATCAGAATCTCAGAGAGTTATTATTCCTCTCTCCAATCCATTTTTTTTTTCTTCTATAATCTCTCGGGGATATCCGTATTAAAAGCTGGCAGGTTGCAACATGCCTTTTATTTCCTGATATTGTTAAAACACTTTGATGTCGACTTTTTGCCTCGCTTTGATTGAACTCTGAAATTAACTCCCGATCTTCACTTTTTATTTTTATTTTTTCATTTTTTAATGAGGTTTTTATAGTTCCGGTGTCAGACAGCTTCCTCTTCCAAAAACAGCTCAATAAAATTATTTGCAGGTCTAGGATTGTCTGTGTTAAATGCTTACAAAATTAAGCATAACAACTCACATTGCTACATTTTATAATGTCTAAGCTTTTGAAAAAAAGGAAAATTGAACATGCATACACAGTCCTGCGTATTCTGATTGATGTTTACTTGATAAAAGTTCAGTAACAACAAAGCTGCTTTTTATTGTTTTACGTTTCTTATTAATAAAATTTAACATACGCTTTAACTCCAATCCTTTATGTAAGTGTCAAAAGTATGCTGTACGGATATTTTGTCTGAAGCTCCTGAATGTTTCAGTTTCTCTTCAAGGGAAATTAATTGCCCAATAATTGAGTTATTGGTGGGTTTCTCGCTTGCTGACTTGATTGACATGAATGCCTGTTTTGGCTTGTGCAAAGCTGCCTGTTTGAAATGTGTGAATGTATGTGTAAAACCATAGGATTCAGAAGAGTTTAATTCTGACCTCAATATCAAGTTAATAATGATTTAAAGTTAGTTTTTAATCAGCTGCAAACATATACAGATCTTGCAAGCCAATTAAAAATGTAATGAGTGAAATGCCCAGGACGCCTTATATTGGAATGTACAAATAATACAAATAAAAATAATTATAGAAATCAATGATAGAAATAAAAATAATTATTAAAAGTAATTTTAAAACACTGAAAATTCTTTTTTTTTTATGATGTTCACTGCTTGACTCCTTTGAGAAGTTGAAAAATTTTTATTTTGGCAAATTAGTAACATTAAAACTGCTGCACTAAATGCACTAACTAAGTTTATCAAGTGATGGGTGGAAGGGCGCATGCGCTCTCCAATAAATCATGCGCGAACACCCCACCCATTTAAAAAAATAGCTTTTTCTGTTTCCGGCAAAGAATGAACTACCGACTATGGTCTGACGATCTAGATCTCGCTGACTCTATGATGCAAGGCCTTCGCTTTCCATTGGAAATCGAAGGAAACTCGTTCCATCCTAGAGCGGAAACCATGACCTCACCACAAAGTGGGCGCGGTCAGAAAAGAAGAGCCAGGAAAGGAAACTCGGAATGACGTAATTGTGGGCACGTAGAGCAGGAGGGCTAAACTGTCTCTCCGACAATCCGCTCTTGCGATTAAACTGGGCGTTGGAAGAAGACGTCATTTCCTGCGCGCCTTGTTGCCATTGAGAGAGAGGGCCAAGATGGCGTCGGCGGGGAGCCGTTGGCTGTGGCGCTGCTGCGCCTTTTTCGGGTATTCATCGCGGCTTCGGTTTCTTCCCTCCGCTTCCCCGAGCTCCGCGGCCGAGGGCTCCCGGGAGGCCGAGCCTCGTCTTCCCTGGGAGCTCCGGGCCCTTTTCACCCTCCCTGCGGCTCTCCCTTGGGCGCTGCTTACACCGGCGGACGAGCGGCCTCTCCGGGTTGGGGGTCCCGGGCCGCCTTGGACCTCGATTCCCATCATCCGCAGCCATATCTTGCGTGGGTTTTCTATTAGGGCTGCTGGGCGAGGCCTCCTTGCTTGGTGTCCTCCCAGTGTGGGGGAGGGGGGGTTGGCTCTGTGGATGCCAAGATCTCGCCTCTTCCTGCCCGAAAAGGGGAGGAAGACATGAATAGCAGTGTTCCACTATCTCAGGGGCTGCCCCAAAGAAGAGGGACTCGAGCTATTCTCCAAAACACCTGAAGGCAGGACAAGAAGCAATGGGTGGAAACTCATCAAGGAGAGAAGCAACCTAGAACTAAGGAGAAAATTCCTGACAGGGAGAACAATTAACCGGTGGAACTCCTTGCCTCCAGAAGTTGTGAAAGCTCCAACACTGGAAGTTTTTCAGAAGATTTTGGATAAACCATTTGTCTGAAGTGGTGTAGGGTTTCCTGCCTAAGCAGGGGGTTGGACTAGAAGACCTCCAAGGTCCCTTCCAACTCTGTTATTCTATTTCTAAAAAGGGGGTTTGATGTGGATCTCGGGTGGATTAGGGTAGGTAATTGCCCCCCCCCCGTTACCCCACCCTGTGGGGCTGGAGGAAGAAACCAGGGGCAGAAACCTGCATAAAAGTTCATGGCCGGTTGAGATGTAAGGAGAAAGGACCTGCTGGCCTCTGTTGCTAAAGACAGCCAGATTTCCCCTCCCTCCCCCCCCCCCTCTCCCCCTTTTTTTTTTGTTTTTTTTTACTGTCTTGTGGGTTCTTAGAAGAGGGAGGAAATTTCTCAGGGACGACTCTCACCCTGGTCATCATTTCTTTACCCTCCTACCATTGGGAAGGAGATATAGAAGTATAGCCAGCCACACAAACAGACTGAAGAACGGTTTTTATCCGTGGGCTGTCAGGCTCCTGAATGAGAAATAACATCGTAACTACGTAGTACGATGGACTTGCAGGGCCAGCGCAACGTGTAACGTGTTCGCACCGGTGCAATAGGACTGGGTGTTTTGTTAATAGGATTTATTGGGTTAGGGATTTTGTCTTCACTGTGAGTTGTATTGTGTTGGGGGGGGTGCACTGAGGGTGCTCCACCAACCTCATTGAACGTATGTTGTGCACTGACAACAAAGATTTGAATTTTAGGAGGGGTGCCTACTTTCCCAATTGTGCCCCTTGAAATGACTTTATAAGCCCCGCTTTTCTTACACATTGCTGCAGGAGGCCTTCGCTGTGCTGGGTTCGGGCTGTTGGCTTGTTCTTTTTTGTTTTTGTTTTTGTTTGCTCGCTGCTCTTGTACCTTGACGGCATGTTGTTTTCTCTAGGCGGAACTTTCCACTCTTCTCCAGTGTGAGGACACAATGTGTGCCTGGATTGAGGGCACCGTGGAAGAAAATGGCCACTCTGGGCTTTGGAATGACCTTGGCCGCTATTCCGATTGCACAGGTAGCTTCCCGTTTTATTCTAATGCCAGAATATGAGCTTCTCCTTAGGTTTAGTTTTACAGCCTTCTTTAGGTAAATCTGTCACTATATTCTAAGTGTTTGCTATTCTCTTCCCTTTTCCAACTCTTGACAGCTTTTGCAGGTGTTCAGACTGAAAAGGTTATTCTCAAACATACACACACACACACTCACATGTAATGCTAGAATGGAACTTTAAAAAAAAATATTGCTAGTTATTTAATGAGAAATTGCTTTCTTTTGTAAGGGAAAACTACATAGAGCTCAGTAGAACTCGGTTTCTGCAATAGCCAAGTTGTTTGCCGTAGTTTACCTGAAATTAATTACCTAAAAAGCAATTAGAACCTCCAGATTTATTGCAATTTCTTTTGCTCTCTATTTTTCCAGCAAAATCTTTCGATTTCTTGCAAGTTTCCAGTTATATAACAGTTCCTATGGGTTTTTTTTTTCTTTTTAATGACAACACACATTATTTCCTTTTCTGCCAGTTTTGAAAAGTCATTCTGCTTTTGAAGCAGCACATCATGTTTGTCTTTTCAGAAACACGATCCAGGTTCTCTAAGCAATGAAGCCTTGATCCGAAGAGCAGTCTCTTTAGTCACCGACAGCACCGGGACGCTCCTTTCTCAAACCACTTACGCATTAATTGATGCTCTAACAGAATATACAACGGTAAGACACTGCCTTCAGGATGCCACGTCTGGCAGTGTGGTGCAAGTACAACTGTATGTTAAGCCATTTTAGGAAAGAAAGCTTGGTTCCAAAAAGTGGCCTACAATTCCCAAATATAAAGTAAAAAGTAAATGTTAAACTCTAGACAGGTAGAACCGTAACAGGCTGGGTTTATTTACAGGCAGTTTACACACTGGTGTCCCTGTACCAAAAATACACGCATCTACTGGGGAAAATGAATTCCAAAGAAGAGGATGCGGTTTGGCAAGTAATCATCGGGGCCCGAGTGGAGGTGAGCAACCTGAGCTGGTGCTTTTTGTCCTTCAGGGACTCAGGAGGGCTCCAGTATCTGAACAATGTTGTGTAGGAACCCAAGAGGGTCAAATCCTTGGTAATATCTAATGGGTGCCCATAATTAAGGAACCTTGGGTGAGAATAATCTGGAAGCTGTGCAAAGGGTGCACCGGATTTAATCGTTTTAATCCTGGCTTTGTTCAGATGACGTCAAAGCAGCAGGAATATCTCAACTTGGAATCCAGGTGGATGTCCGCACTGCGGCTTTCAGAGATGGCTGCAGAAGCAGCATATCAGTCAGGTGAGATGCGTGCAAGCCTCTTCATCTCACCCCCTCCTTCAAACTTGACAGAATCAAATGCCTTTTTCATTTTTCCACCTGTTGGAAAAACGTTTTAAACAAGAAATGTTATATTTCACTGAACAGTCTCCGAAAGGGTGGAACTGCCCTGAAGTTACTTAAATCCCTTCAGACATTCAGAATACGCCTTTTAACATTTCACTAACTCTTAAAAGCATCTTAGGAACCCCAATTGACCTGGTGGTCTTGAGGATGAACTTGTGCGTGATATAAAGGGTGTGTATGTGTGTTCATTTAAAAATGTGCAACCAACAAATCCCTAATGGAGAAAGGAGGGCTACAAGACCAATCTAGCTTTACCACCGAGAGAGGTGTACATATTGTGGGTTAAATCCAGAGGTAGAGCTGTGAGTCCACTTAAATCAGTGGGAGTTGTTAATCCTAATCCCGTTAGCTTTAGTAACTCTACCATGGCTGGATTCCAATCCTCTTTAATGTGAGTTCGTGTTACTGTAATCTGAGTGGCCTTGAAAATGCACAAACGCTGCTTCTGCAAAAACGAAAACCATTGAGCCAACCTTTTCTTTTCAGGGGCTGACCAAGCCTCGGTGTCAACCCACAACCACATCCAGCTAGTGAAAAACCAAGTCCAAGAAGCACGGCAGCTGTCCCAGAAGGCCGAAACCAAGCTGGCTGAGGCTCAAACGGAGGAGCTCCTGAAGTTGAAGGAAGAGGAACCTTTGCTAGCGACCTCCCAGCAGGCCGTCAGTGAAGAAACAGAGGAAGCTTACCTTCGTGAAGATTGAGGGCTGCTAGCGTGGACACGATCCTGCTTGGCAGGAAGGAACGCCACGGAGAAGGGGGAATGGATGCCGCTCTCCGGCTCCCCCAGCCTGGTTGGCCCTCAGCTTTGAGCTTTGGGTGTTCTGTTGCCTGTCTGTTTAAGTTCACAGCTATGCAAATGCGAAATGATCTACCAAGGGATGATTTTTCTGGTGCTTTTGAGGGCTGATTTGAGACGATCCATCCGCCACCAGAAACTATAGAGATAATTGCGCGTTGTAATCACTAAGGGCTGTGTCTTGTGTTGCCTTTTTTTTTTTATAAAGAAAAAAGCGAAAAGCACTGGTGGTGTGAAGGACAAATGTTCTACTTGAAATTTCAAAGATTAGTTGTGGGAAATTTTAACCGTTTGGCGCCTAAATGTCATTTTTTTTGTGTGTGTTGTTGTTTTTCTAGTGATGTACTCGGGATCATTCTCCCCGAACCAATTTTTAAAATAAAAACCCAAGGAACAGAATTCGACTCCTTTGTGGTAACGGAAGGGCAAAAAGTGCTCTGGAAAAAACAGCTCTGTCATTACGATTGAGGACCAGGCTTAGCTTGTAGTCAAAGGGAGTCACCTTTGGCTACAAACTCCCTCTTTAAAGCAGCCGCATTCAGAATTCAAACTGGGAGCTGTGTGAAATAGACAACATTTGGAGATAGGACGCATCTCTTTAATTATTTTATTGACTTTTCTGATGATGCCAGCTTTTAGAACCACTTTAGCGGAGTTAAGTTTGCGTTGAGCTAAAACGGGTGCACTACATCTGCTTGTAGTTTGAGCGCCTGCATACGTTCGTCATTTAGTTTATGCAATGTCCCTATGCAGTCGCCCACAAATTTGGGTGTTGATTTGAGCAACAGAAAAAGTCTTGTTCGCTTCTAGCTTTGCTCTTACGCGGTGTTCCCCAACTTTGCCAGCTGTAAAATGGGTGGATTTCAATTCCCAGAATTCCCCAGCCAGCAGAAACTCTGGTCTAAAGGAGGAGCAAAAGAAGTCTGGCCATGTTCTATAGATTATATCCATTGCAGTAAAGCAACAAAGAGCCACGTCACACTCGAGAAAGGACCAGCATCAAAACGTGCGCCCAGAGCCTCCTTAGTCTCTTGCTCTCTTCAAACCTATTCCGAGGCTTCCAGCATTTTTAAGATGGAGGAAGCCGAGTCCCACTTGATGTGTTGCATTTGAAACTCCACAGTCAAAGGCAGGGGCTGGCTGTGTTGCAGATCGGGTCCCTCGGCAGAATCCTTCTTCCGCCCCTTTCCTGCAAAAAACCCCCAGAAATCAATCCCTCCATTAGCAGTTGTGCATCGTGTCCTCTCTGAATCTGATTGTCTCGTGTGAACTTTCTTGTGTACGAAACCAGGTGGACACGTACAAGGCATCCTCCAATCAGCTCTCGGGCAGGCTGAGGTTCTCTCACAAGTGGAAATCCAAAGTCAAGGACACAGATTGGAGGACATCAGCCCCAGTGTTTCTCAACCTCGGCCGTTTGAAGATGAGTGGGCTTCAACTCCCAGAATTCCTCGGCCAGCCAGCACGCTGGGAATTGGAGTCCAACCACCTTCAAGCGGCCAAGGTTAGAAATGTTGGTCAGCAGAATCCTAGAACCTGGAGGTAGGCATAAGAAGGCCACTCAGGCAACATTGCTTAGGGCAGTGTGGTTTGCCAAGTTTCTAGTCCATATGATGGCAGCAAAAACTTGCCGGTGAGATCTTGTCTGGGCTCAAGATGGAAGGACAAGTGTTAAAAAATTACAAAAATGAAGTTAAACCACTTTTGAATACACTTAAATGTTTCCGTATTGGGTGAGAGTCTAGGTTTGGAGAGTTGGTGTCCTTCAGATTGTTAAAACACATTTGCTCACAGCTGCCAATGCTCCAAAAGCTGAGCTTTCTAGCTTACCTTTGACAGGGGATGGGGTTGGGGGCGGGGGGGTTCTTTTGGAGCTCACGCTGTCGGTCCCAGATTTGGCTTTGGGGTCTTTTTTGGCACCCTTCTTACCCTCCTGCAAAAGTAGAAGGCAGATTTCTACATTTCACTCAACTGCAGAAACTTTCCTTGTTTTGTCATAAATTAAATGACGAATGTCGTTTTTAATATTGTTTTCATTTTTCTTTCATACCGTTTTTCTTTCATATCGGGTTTTTTTTTTTCATTTTTATTTAATAGTTTTTATTTGATATTGCGTTTTGGTTTATTTAATATTGGGTGTTTTTTTTTTCTTGTTTTTTTTTTTACATAGCTCCCCACCACTTGTGGGGAGATGGTGTTGAGATGGTGAGCAGCTATACCAACTGATGAAATAAATATCTTCCCCCGCAATTTCCACACAGGATTTTTGAAAAGGCAAATTCACCCTCGGTAGGTACCTTGTCTTTGGGTGATGGCGGGGTAACGTTCCGCTCGGTTATCTGTACCCCAAAATCGCAGACAGTCTCCAGCAAGGAGGCCCCTGCTAGCAGCTTTTCTAAGCTGACGTGAGAAGAGCCCAGGATCTTCACGATGGGGGGGTCACTTCGCATCTCTGGGGACGGGGATTTCTTTTTCTTTTTCTTCCCACCCTAGTTGGACACAGAAGGGAATTTGACTGCAGGATTCTGGCCACCATCTTGGCCTTTTTTTTGTCTCCCACAAACACGCCATGGACGCAACCGCATGGATCTGTCTTGTTTCTCTCACTCCATCCTCCCTTCTCCCAGCGTTACCTTTCCAGTATCTTTCTCCTTCTCTTTCTCCTTCCCTTTCTCTGCCTTTCCCGAATCGGCTTTTCCTTTCTCTCCTTTTTTCCCCTTTCCTTTCTTGCTTGGTTTTTCTTCGGGAGTGTGGATCACAGGCCAGGAGACAACCTGGAAAATGAGCGTTTCGTTGCTCTGGAAGAAAGTTTGAGCTGGAGAAGACAGGAAAAGAAGGAAGGGAGGAAAGGAAAAGAAAAAGGAAAGGGAGTATAGGGTGGGGGAGGAAAGGAAGGGAAGGAAGAAAGGAAGACAGACTTCCAATTGAAGACAAAAATGTCTTTATCGCAGACAAGGACAAAAACTTGGACTAAGGAGCCTTGGTGGTGCAGCGGACTAAAGTGCTGTTAAGTAGCACATAGCTGCCAGCTGCCTGCAATTACTGCGAGTTCAAATCTCACCAGGCTCAAGGTTGACTCATCCTTCCATCCTTCCGAGGTAGGTAAAATGAGGACCCGGATTGTGGGGACAATAAGCTGACTTTGTATAAAAAAGAACACCGCTTTGGGGGGGGGGGCGAAAGCCCTACTAAGCAGGTATATACAAAAAGTATGAAGGCTACATTGTAAGCCGCCCTGAGTCTCCGGAGAAGGGCGGCATATAAATCGAACCAATAAATAAATAAATAAATAAGTTGCCATGGGGCTTCTTTCTTTTTCCCATGCCTTATCAGTCCCCAACAAAAACAAAAACTTTTGTCTGTGTTATGGTCTACGGTGTTACCTCGTCCGAAAAATATTAGTTAAATAAAAAAGGATCCAATGGGAAGTACTAAAAATTGATCAAATAAAATAAAACCGCAAACACCCTCCGGCAGCCCTCCTGTCGGGAAACCCACGTTTAAAGAAAGACAGAGGGTGAAGCTCTGCTGAACTACTTGGTGGCATGAGGCGCTTAAGGAAACACACGCTCGCACCAGTCCAAGGAGGAGTTTTTTTCTAAACCAAAGCATTAAGAACCACCTTTTCCTCAATAACCGACACGGTGGTTCCAGCCAGAAGATAAGCTTTGAGAGACACCAGATCCTCAGTGAGATGCTCTTTTCGGTAGTCGCAGTCGATGATCTCTGTCCAGCCCTTCTTGGCAGTAGAGTGCGTATTTGCTAAGTGGGCGAGAAAGGGGGGAAAAAACTGCCATTTAACCAACGACGGTTACCAGCTTTCCATTCCGTCCGCCATCGTTCCCACTTAATGGCAGAGACGTTTTGGTACAAGAGAGCTGAAGCCACAAGCCACAGATTCATCCCTCCTCCTCCCTCATTGTCCGAATTCTTCGGTTACCCAGAAGTCCTCAACGCATAGATTTCAAAATCGGATGTTTTTCTCTGCAAAGATCAGGAACTGACTACCTATTATAGGTGTAAAAACACAGAGAAAAAAACTCTGGGGAAATGCGAGCTTGCGCTGCGTTCCTGCAGCAAGCTTTTTCAGTTTGCTTTTTTTTTTTTTTTACGAGTCTTTCCCACAACCGGTTGAATTGGTTGGCGCTAGCTAACCTGCCTTTCGTTCTCGCAGCCTGGCTTGCTGGCTAAACCTTGCTCTTTTTGTGATGGGTCAATGTATCACGTATATCTCCGGTAACCTGGTTAAGCCTCGGGCCTGCAGCCACAGTGAGAGTCCTCAAAAGCTGGGCGCCTCGCACCCCAAAGAGCCCAAGGAGCAGATCCCTCTTTCCTACCTGCTGTGTTTAATCGCACCAAGAAGGGTACGCACCGCCTGGCTCGGGCAGCTGGTCTGACTTGGGCGAAGGCTGAGAAGACCCGGTCTCAATTGTCTCTCCAGCCACCGTCGCTAAGGGCGAGCTCACCGCATCTCCTCGAACCAATGTGCCTCTGTGCTGGAGGAGAAAAACACCTATGGTACCCTCAAATGCTTCATCCTGCTTTTTATTATTTTATTTATTCAATTTATTTATTTTGTTTTTATTAACTGTCATCCCTGATTTGGTCTGTTTTTAAACATGCACCCCAGTATCAGATTTAACTGATTAACAGAGTTGGAAGGGACCTTATAGGTCATCTAGTCCAACCCCCCACTCAAGCAGGAGACCCTACACCATTTCTGACAAATGACAGTCCAGTCTCTTCTTGAAAGCTTCCAGTGATGAAGCTCCCACAACGTCTGAAGGCAACTTCTGTTCCATGGGTTGATTGTTCTCACTGTCAGAAAATTTCTCCTTATTTCTACGTTCAGTCTCTCCTTGATCAGTTTCCATCCATTATTCCTTGTCTGGCCTTCAGGTGCTTTGGAAAATAGCTTGACTTCCCTCCTCTCTGTGGCAGCCCCTCAAGTATTGGAACACTGCTATCCTGTCTCCCCTGATCCTTCTCTTGTCTAGACTAGTCGTGCCCAGTTCCTGCAGGCGTTCATCGTATATTTTGGCCTCCAGCCCCCTAATCATCTTGGTTGCTCTTCTCTGCACTCTTTCTAGAGTCTCAATGTCTTTTTTATAATGTAGTGACCAAAATTGGATGCAGTACTCTAGGTGTGGTCTTACTAAGGCTTTATAGAGTGGTATTAGTACCTCACTTGATCCTGATTGAGTCCCTCTGTTCATGAAATTTAGGATTGTATTGGTTTTTTTAAGCTCCATTGCACACTTCTGGCTCATATTTAGCTGATTTTCCACTAAGACTCCAAGATCCCTCTCACAGTCACTGCTGTTAAACTTGGTTCCCCCCAGTTTATATGTGTGCATATCATTTAGAAACAAATGACTAAAAAGTTTCAAAAACGTCTT